ATCTTTGGTACAAAGACTCGTGATGTCAATATTGAAACACCATGATGGTTGAGAATTTTGAATGTGAAGGATATGAGTGAAACAAATGTTATGGTTAGAGATCCCAATAACTAGGAAAATACAAGATATACACTTGCATACATGTTTGATGATGCTAGTATAAATATTTGAAGAACACCTAAGACGGTGTAAGAAAGTTAGAATATACTAGCATTTACAGTCTGCGAGAGGCAGCTGATAAACATGAGACCCGATTTAGTGGGGGGTACTTGGCAGGCTTATTGATTGTCCTAGTATGAAGCATTGAAATTTTATTGAAAAGGGATCATGAGACACCTTAAGAACAATAGACCTTGATATAAGTTATCAATGGTTTCTGGCTGTATTGGTAATATATTGATGTGGACGAGAATACCTTATAGAAGATTCCAAGGCATTCATTGCACATGTTTTAAACATCACTGGAAGTGTTGTGTCTTGGAATTCTAAGAAGTAAACGAACATGGCTCAATCAACTAAGAAATCAGAAATGATAGAGCTAGCAACGCCTAGTAAAGAGAAAAGTTAATTGAGAGGGTCATTACTATAGATTCCCTTATGGGAAAGACCGATCCCTCCGGTAGTTGATTCATTTGTAATAGCACCGCAGCTATTACTAAAGAAGGGAAAATAGACGACAAATTCGTCATAAGCACAGTACTGTACGAGAACTCCTGACGATAGGAGCAATGAGGGCGGATCCTGTAAGGTCCTAACAGAATCTAGCTGATCCTTTGGCGAAAGGATTATCTAGAGAGAAATTCCAAAATACCGCCAAGGGTATGGGACTAATGCCTACCGAACCACGGACTACAAGTGATGGTAACCCGACCCAATAGACTGGAGATCCCAAGAAATGGGTTCAATGGGTAATAACAAGTCATGAGTAGTATGCAAAAAGTTCATGCATAGTGAAGCATGAATCCCAAAGCAATGGAGGTTGAGTTAACAACTCTTAATGAGATCTATACCCTATGTGGGGTGGAATACTTTACTTTGGGGGTACTCCTGATAGACTCACCTATGTGAATGTGGGAGTGTGGCTGCTCCCTATGGAACTTTCGAGGCATAAAGTTCCTAGAGCGTTCACTAAACCGGGATAACGTGCATGGGCATAAACGCACGGCCTATGAGAGAATATCACTCAATGAAAAGATCTGGTGTGCTACATTGTCTGAGATAGGGTTCAAGACTACGAGTCACCCATATGAAATCAGAAGTGTAACCACTACGCTAAGGTTCAAATCTTCGCGATACCTTAGCTTATGCCCAATCTTATGGAACTGTTGATGCTCATAGATAGTTTCAAAACTATTCAAGTGGGGGATTGTTAGGATGAATAGCTTTGAAAAGCTATAAATGAAATTCCTAATTAATTATCCAGTATTTTCCCATAATACGAAAATAGGATGGATAATTAATAAAAGGAATATTATGGAGATAATTAGGAATAATTATCTTAATAGATTATATTTTAATTATGGAAGTAATGATCTCCCTAATTAAAATGTAACTTATTCCCAAAGAAAGAGGGAATATTCTGGGTTTTCTGCTCCTATAAATAGCAGAACCCTCATACCCTCTAAACACACCTCAGAGAACAGAAACACGAAAGAGAGTGAGTTCATAGAGCTCCGGTTTTCGCACCGATGAGCAACAAAATCAGAGTGGCTATTTTATCCTGGAGGCGATCGGCTGATAGTCTGTCATGCACAATGAAGGCAGTGCCGCGAACGTCTTAAAGAGAGCGACCTAGTCCACGACTCAGCCAGATCGGTAACCCTATTTTTCCTGTTCGGTTTCTAACACCAACCATTCAAAAACTGAAGTAAAACAAAAAGGAAGAAAAGTAAAGATTGCAAACTCACGTGGCTTCAGATTGTTTCGGCCTGAGCGCACGAGGATTTATAATCCCACCTATAACACCTTTGCTGCTAGCTTATAGATCTCACACCAGTGTGGCATTCATCCTGGTCGACCAGCACGGAGAGACCTACGACAGCAAACAACACAAACAGAGAAGGAGTGAGAATTTTTGAAGAGAAAGAAAGAAGTAATGAAAGGGAAGAGAAAGAGAGCGAATAAGAGAGAGTAAAAAGAAAGAAGAATGAGAATGAAAGAGCTCTTATCTTTACCACTCCCCCTTGTCATTTCGGTTGAATTTTGATGATTAAAGGTGAGTTAATGTATTGCTTGTGTCAGTAGTATTTGTGGTAGAAAAAAGAGCCAATTAACAATCACACTTCTTGTCAGCCTCTCTGTACCTGATAGGCCACTTGCTCTTTCTCTGAGCCACCTCAATCCTCACAATTGCGATTATCAATCCCCAAGACACAACGGAGCCAATCTCGTCTCCGCGGGATCAATGCGGGAATTGGTAAGTTGGAATGCAATGGAGCTTCAACCAGGACCACTCACATGAACTCTAAATGACCAGCAAACCAGATGTCCAATCAGCATTCCAAAGCGAACCGACCCATTCGAAACCAACCAGGGAACACCATGCACTTCCCACACCCAATATCAATCCGAGTTGTAACAGTAATTTTGAGTCTGTAAGTACAGTAAAAGTATAGTAACGCCACAGTAATCGCCCCCGCTGGGGGTTTTCTTTTTCCAATTAACAACCAAGAATAAGAATATGAATATTCGGGAAATTAAAGAATAAGAATGAGAATTATATTTACAAAAGAGAGAATCATATCATTATCATTGTGTATTTTAGAGAGCAGGGGCAGGCAGATTATAATTATCTTTACTATATAAATTCTAACTTAATCAATCGACTAAATGATGAATGAAGAATGACGACACTAATGGGAAGTAATAATATCCGCCTGCATATAAAAATGAAAAGAACCTACTTAAATTTTCATATGAGCCCAAACTTTATCCAACTCAACAAGGTAATACAAGCGTCGTTCCGAATGCTACCAATCATGTTCTACTAGACAATACTAAAAAAACTGGGATTCATACTCATTATATTCCGAGAAACTGCCTCCTTGTAAACTAATCACAACCATCGTCATTGAGAAAACCATGTCAATACCTAGTCTGTTATAACCTTCCCACATTTCTTTTTTTCTGTAGGCTTGTCCAGTGCTCTCTTCTGCTGCATCAAGAGAAGGGCTATACGAAGGGCTAAATTGGCCCGGCAAGGCGACGATGCATCGGGTAACCCAGTAGGGCGATGGAGCGGGAGAAACCCAGAAGACATAAACGGCCCCTTCACAATTGGGTCGGCTTGGATGTGGCCCAATATTATTTGGGCCCAGAGTTGAATCAAACTGATACAAGTCTGGTGTATGAATCCATGGTCCACGAATATAACGATACATCTTCCTCCTCCAAACAATATATAGAAGTTCTTCTTAGCAATCCATCTAATTTATTTTTTCCCAGCTCCTGCGTAAAGCAAGGGAGGGTTATTTGGTCTTTTTATTGATCCGGTAAGCAGGTAATTTTGGTGGGCTTAAATCACCTAACTCATTAACTACATAAAGGATTGGACTTCAATCGAAAAACTGGTATTGTTTTTTAGTTGCTATGTTATGTTATATTTATATATTAATATTATTAGCGGTTGTGATTTTATTGCAGTGTTTGTGAAACTGTATCATATTGGTGGTTCGATTGTAAAAAACTCTTAAAGGAAATTAAACTGGTAAGTGTGTTTTAGCGCTATGAAATGATTGAACCACGTCATGGTTTCAACATAAAATACATTACTGTTGGCTCTTTTGGTACAACCTTCAGTACAGTTTCGTAATCTGTTATTTATTGTATCCATCTAGGTAATTCATATTAGGTGTACAATTCGAAAGCCCGCATAACCATTCCTTATTAGTTTTGAATGAATCGTATATCATTCAATTTAATTTTAATAATCAATTTTTGAGATAAAAATTAAATTAATTATGCTCTAGAAAATTATATTCGCTGGAATATTTTGGAAAAAAATATATGTCAATCGAGAGTCCTATAACATCATACAAAATAACATTCTCTTTTTTATAATGGTGATCGAATTGCATTAAACAGGAGAAAACAGGAACAACAATACACTGTCCGATCTATATTGTTTACATTTCATAAATTAACTCACATGACATAAGACAGAGTTGAAGAGAATTTTCAATGAAGAAGAAAATATGTTCTTTATATAAAAGAAAATGGTACCTGCTGGAGAATTTTTAGCACTCCTATGGGTAATTCATTAAGTTTTCAATCTATAGGTTATCAAAATTTGTTAGCACTAGGTAGCTTACAGTGTTAGAGAGAGAAAATAAATATAAAAAAATGATAATGACTAACGACATAAATTCTGATTTTGTGAAAATGATGTTTCATATTTCAAACATTTTACCATTAAAGATTGGCTTTCAATGAAATGTTTAAAAAGAAGAAAGAGCTATTGTGAAGATAAATGTTTCATTAACGAAGACAAACGCATTGATACTGGTGGAGATGATGATTTTTTTTAATGGTAAAGCGATCACCAAGAAATCGAAAATAAAATTTGCACTTGTTCTTGACAACGAGGTGCAAATAGTGTGGTTTGATTAAGTTTTCTAAAGCCGATTCCATTGCATGACTTTTGTTGTTTAGTTTGGGTAAGGACTTTTATCAGTGAATCTATTGGCACATCGAAAAATTCAACGAGTATGGTACGTTTTTATATTTTTAATAATTAAATAATTTGAATTTTTATGGTATCAAATAAAATATGTCTTATTTGTGATAATTATTGATGTTTTTTACTTGGAGTAAGGAACTTTATTAATAAATATGTTAGCACGTCGGAAATTTTTACGAGTATGGTACTTTTTCATATTTCCATTTATTAAATAATTTTAAATTTTTTATGGTAAGAAATAAAAAATGTCTTACTTCAGACCATAGTTAGTAATATACGGTAAGGAAAAGTTACGTATAAAATACGTATGGGTGTTTTACTTCAACTTTAAGCTAATATTACGTTCAATAGTACGTCAATAGTCATATATATAATTAATTATTTGAAAAAGTTAAAAATATATAAATAATAGAAAAATTAGCAATTTAATTAATTAAATACATATATTAAACATGTTATATGGGTTTTATACGTGTTTAGTACGGGAGCCATCAAATAAACGGAAAAAATGAAACGACTTAACAATAATACGGATACAGAAGTTTTAAACGGATAAAATACATACAGGTACATAGACGTGTATTAAACATAGTATTTACTAATTATGCGTCAGACAATTGCTATTGTTATGTGTATCATTGATGGAATTCATCCGCCTAACGGGCGGGCTCAGATCTACTAGTTATTGCAATGTGATTATTTGAGTGAAATCTCAATTCAACAGATACCCGTAGGTGCATAGGTAATGTTATTAGGGTCGTTTGGATGAGAAATTGTAACGGATCAATTTGACACAATTGTCTCGTTTTGAGATAATTGTACCAAATTGTCTCGTTTGTCAGCAAAAAATTTGGATGGATCAATCTGCCTGAGGTATTTTGAATTGATCCGTTTTGAGTCAATTTCAATTACCTGGGATGGGGGCAGGTAATTCGAATTGACTCGTTTTAAACGAGACAATTGATCAAATTGACTCATTTCTAGATTGATCCATCCAAACGACCCAAATATTTTCCTACAAACATATCACCATAAAATTATTAACATTCATAAATTATCCCGGATTATATTGTAGGACTAATAATAACATTTATAAATTATTTATATTGTTCCAATTAAATACAAAAGGACGTGGTTTTCCCGAATAGAGTGAAAAATGAATTGGAGTTTTAGCAAAATTCAAATCCGACACCGAATTCAAAATAAGCTTAGAACTAGTGTTCATTAAACCGTACCGTACCGGCGGTTCAACCACGAAATATCAGTATCGGAGGCTAAACCGATATGCGACATTTACCGGTATAACGGTTGAACTACGGTTAAACCACGGTTTTACCATAAAATACCCTACCACTGACTTTCCCGATACGGTCTCTGATACGGTTTCATGGACCATGCTTAGAACCTACACTCCACTCAAACTCGTACCCAGCTTTAACCGAATCGAGTACCGGTAGATTCGTATCAATTACCATTCGACGGCCTGCACCTTAGTCAAAACGGCAATGACTAAAGAGAAGAGAGTAAACCAGAACCAAAGGAAAAGAAAGAAACCATTGTCCTCTCAGTTTCTGTTGTGGGACTGGGAGCTTTGGCGATCACATTTTCCATTTTATCCGTTGCTGGGGAAAGTGCTGCTCTCCTCGTGCAACTTGGGTTGGAGCACCACAACAACAAAAAATAATCCGCCAGACTCGAAAAGAAACCTGAATCCATGAAAGGGAATTGGGAACCCCTATAACAGTCCCTCTTTTTCACTCCTTCAAAAATCTCTCGCTCTGTGGTGTAATTCCTGCTTCTGCCACTAGCCGACTACTACAAGACTCCCTGCAATGGCGTCTTTCGCAATTGGATCACATCACCTGAACCCATTGCGCCAATTCAAGAGACACTCACTCCATCCTCCATCATCTCCCGCTTCTCCGCCGCCTTCGTTCGGCTCTTCCAACTGTAGATTTCGAGGTTCAACTCGGTTCGGCGGTGGGCTGCTGGTGAGAGCAGAGGATAAGGCTAGGGACTCGTCTTATTCGTCGCCAATTCAACAGAGGACTCAACAACCCAATAGTACTCAACAGCTCCAGGTTCTTAATGGCAACCCAATTCTTCATTTTTGCTGCTTGGTGGATTATCTTTGGATAACCCTCGGTTGCAAGCTTGTCCTTTAGTAGCTACTTATTAGAGGAAAGTGCAAAGTTGGAGGCTTTACTTGCGGACTTGAACTATTAGTCATTAGTGTCATAATGCCGCTGCATAGGGAGTAGATGCATGATCTTAAAATCTTCCATGGCCTGTGTAACTTGCAAGTATTCATATTGGTGGTTGTATTGCATTTCATCAGGATTTCACAGAAGAATCGGGGAACTGTGATCCTATATGTTCTGTAGATGAAACGAGTTCACAAGAATATGAGGCCAACTACCAGCCCAAGACAGACTTGTTGAAAGCTTTTGCAGTAGTGGGAACAGCTTTAACCGGAGCTGCGGCGATTAATCATTCGTGGGTGGCGGCGAATCAGGTAAGTCATGTCTGTTTTAAGTTATTGTTCATTGGAAACTGAAGCTTGAACTTCTCTGTTTAATATTAAGGCTTGCTCTATTTGATAATCCTGGCTTTTGCTGATACAGAATCTTGCTATGGCATTGCTGTTTGGAATAGGATATGCTGGCATTATCTTTGAAGAGTCCCTTGCCTTCAATAAAAGTGGGGTGGGATTATTGATGGCTGTGAGCTTATGGTCCGTTCGAAGTATTGGAGTGAGTTTTGCTTTCCTTGCTGAATATATCGTTTTCCATTGGCAGGCACCTACACTTTTAGCTAATGTTTCTTCTTTTCTTGTATATGCTATCAGTCATTTTACTGTAAATAAAAAACCTGTTATCCAGCATCTAGTGTATCTCAACTTAAGGTCCCTGTATTGATCCACCATCGATGGTATTATGTTGACACATAGTCTACTACTTCGCTACCACATACAACTGTTACTTCATGGCAATTATTGATTGTTTGTTCTTTGATTTTCTTGAGCAGGCTCCTTCAGTTGATATTGCTGTCTCAGAGCTCCAACATGCATCAGCAGAAGTTAGTGAAATAGTCTTTTTTCTGCTTGGTGCAATGACAATTGTTGAGATAGTTGACGCTCATCAAGGATTTAAGCTAGTCACTGACAATATAACAACTCGAAAGCCACGCTCTCTGCTTTGGGTGGTTAGTACCATTTTCCTGCTCCATGCACTTTAGTAGTCAGCCTTCCTTTTCAAACAATTGTAAAAAATAATCTTCTGATTCATCATAAGTTCATTTCAGTCCAGTCATTATGTATTTGTGTTTGACTGTTGGGTGTTCAATTATGCAGATTGGCCTAGTAACATTTTTCCTGAGTTCAATCCTTGATAACCTGACATCAACAATTGTCATGGTTTCTTTACTGAGAAAACTTGTGCCTCCCTCAGAATACAGGAAGTATGTTGCTAGCCAATGCTCTCTTGTTATTTTTTTTTTTTTTTTTTTTGTAGCATTTCTTTATATGTTACTCAGAAAAATGTTATTCTACGCCACAGTTTGCAGCACCATATATAGTCTTATAAAAATTTTGTATATCCTAGTATTGCTTGGCTCAGGCGGATAACTTTTCATCCTTTTTATCAGTTCAAAAGCAAGAGCTGCTTTGCAGATGTCTTAAGTTTCTTGATTTTGGATAAAGGAGAGAATTGATTGAGGAAGTAGAGTTGTTCACAATTGTTTCAATTAGCTAAATCATTTTATAAAAAAAAATCTGTGATTAGTAAATGAGATACGCCAATAACTGAGCAGAATATATTCTCATGCAGCTTTCTCTATATACAGGCTTCTAGGAGCAGTCGTTGTGATTGCAGCAAATGCTGGAGGTGCTTGGACTCCGATTGGTGATGTTACCACTACAATGCTATGGATCCACGGTCAGATTTCCACATTGCCGACGATAAAGGTTTTCCCTTTTATCCTTGTTTTTAAATGAATTAAGGTTTCCCCCTTCTACCAGTGCAAGGGTCTTCCATTTTATTCAACTCTTCTAGAAGTTCTCATGACCTCCATTTTGTTGCTTCAGGACTTGTTTATACCTTCAGCGGTTTCTCTTGCTGTGCCCCTTGCACTTATGTCCCTAACCAGGTTTCCTTCTTGCACTCTTGGAGAATCAAGTGACCAGAGTCCCATCAGATTCTGTCTTATCACTCTCAGATGAAAATGATGTTGGTTTGTCTTGTTTATACAGTGAAGTTAACGGAAAGGGACAGGATGCTGCAGATGTCATGCCAACCGAACAGATGGCTCCTCGAGGACAGCTTGTGTTCTCTATCGGTATTGGAGCTTTGATATTTGTTCCTGTGTTCAAGTCCCTAACTGGGCTGCCTCCTTACATGGGAATGCTTCTTGGGCTTGGAGTTCTCTGGATTGTCACCGATGCCATTCATTATGGTGAATCAGACCGCCAGAGGTTGAAAGTACCCCAAGCTTTATCACGCATCGACACCCAGGGTGCCCTTTTCTTCCTCGGTATCCTTCTCTCTGTCAGCAGGTATGGGCATCTGCATTTGAGAAAGCTATTTTCATGTTTATAGTTATACCTGATGGCCGATCCTGTTCCAATCATTAAAACAAGTCAGCTTTGGTATCCAAGGATCATATAATTGTCGTGCAAATTCTCAGGATCAATTAATAGTGGAATCATGCATTTCTTTCTTCCAGTTTGGAGGCAGCCGGGCTTCTTCGCGAGCTAGCAAACTATCTTGATGCTCATATTCCGAACTTTGAGCTCGTGGCGAGTGCGGTGGGAGTCGTGTCTGCAATCATCGACAACGTCCCCCTAGTTGCTGCAACAATGGGAATGTACGACCTGACCTCGTTTCCCCAAGATTCAGAGTTCTGGCAGTTGATCGCTTACTGCGCTGGCACTGGTGGATCCATGCTTGTCATTGGCTCGGCAGCTGGAGTTGCGTTCATGGGGATGGAGAAGGTTGACTTCTTCTGGTACTTGAAGAAGGTAACTAGCTAAAAAACAACACCACATTCATACTCCAAGTAAATTGGACGAATCTCACAAACTCAACTCAATTCTTGATTGTGTTACAGGTGAGTGGATTTGCTTTTGCTGGCTATGCTGCTGGAATTGCTGCATACTTGGCTGTTCATAACCTGAACCTTTCGCTGCCCACAACACTGGCCGAGGTCCCATTCCTTTCAGGTTCGTAAGATCCGAGGCTCTCCTCAGCTCCGGTCTTTACACAAAGTGCGGCATTCCTTTCGACATAGATCCTTCTGAGGACCAAGTAATGTTGTTAATTGTGATTATAACTTAATAAGGTGCTCGGATCCCTTTTTAGTTGTATGTGCATCTAAAGCATAGTGGGGATGCGAGTCCAGGTCCTGCCTGCTTTTTACCCTTCGGAGAAATTCAGTGACAACCGGAGTTGGCAGGGATCATTACAGACTGCAGATCATTTAGAAGCAAGTTCTGCAAGTGTTGTTATTTCATATCAGTTGTAGACTGCAAGATGTAGTTTTTTGGAAGGGAAGGTTCTGCTTGTTATTTCCATTTGCTCTGTTGTAATAAAAAAAAAGGTATAATGATAATGTAGTGATGCAAATTTCCAGATCATATAAAAGGGAAGCCAGCCAAGGGAGTGACTCTACTTCCTCAAGTTATATAAAATGGAAAATCAGGAGTGCCTCAATAAAAGTACATGCTGCTCTAAACCTAAGATACCAGACTACAGAACAAGCCAAAAACCAAATGCATGCAATCAATCATACTCTGAGACCCAAATCCAACGGACTACTAGCAATAGCACAGGAACAAAACTGTCACAAATTTCACAACAGCCTGAAAAGTTATCATAACTTGAGGAAAACGATTTCCTCAACAGCCGGGATTTCACCAATCCTCTGCAGACTCTCCTTGCTTGGCTGGTCATCCACACCAATTGCCATCACAGCTTGCTTTCTGGGAGCGATCCTACCGACGCTCATGAAACTGACATTCACATTCTCCTGCCCCAGTATGCTCCCCACTTTCCCGATCATCCCGGGCTGGTCCACCTGTCGGCAAAGTATAATGCTGCCTTCCAAGCTGACATCGACCTCGAACGACCCCACCCTCGTCAGATGTGGAACCCCATCCTTCACACGTCCTTCGACCCTGATCTCTCCGGTATCAGAAATAGCACTGGCAAACTTGGATTCCACATTGGCGATTTGGACCTGGATGGAGTCCAGTGGTGCCTCGGGAGATCCATCTAGAAGGATGCGCTCCTCAGTGATCCTCACGCCTCTTTGTTTGGCAGTGAAGTCTGCATTGACCAAGTTCACGAAGACACTGGATATGGGCTCAATTATGCCCTTGGTGATCATGGCACGCAGCACCCTCGTGTCAAGGTCATCGGGGGCTCTAGCAGAAGCATACGTCACTTTAACGGATTTGACACCACTTCCTCCAGTTACTAGTTGGACAGCCAAACGACCGAGTTTCTCAGCGAGTATGACATATGGTTTAAGCTCTGATAGCACCTGTTGGTGGGAACATGAATAGACAAATCATTTCCCTGCAATTCTCGTCCATGATTTACTAAGGAAATAACTAAATTTGATACGGGAACAGCCATACAAAACATGGAATGGAATGCTGAAAAGAAACAAGTACCTCGGCAGGCACCATGGGTGCATTGACTGCAGTAGAAGCAAGCTCACCCTTCAAGGCTCCAACAACAGCTTCAGCAATTTCAATAGCCACTCCTTCCTGATCATCCAAACATTGGGATCAAAGGGAGAAAAGAACATGAAATGATGAAGAGTTTCCTATTGGGATGTTGAGTAAAGCATACCTGAGCTTCAACAGTACTAGCACCAAGATGAGGCGTCACGATCACATTCTCATGCTGCACCAATTTGCTTTCGGGTGATGGGGGTTCCTTTGTGAAGACATCAAGTGCAGCCTGAGCAACAATTCCAGAGTCCAATGCCCTCACCAGAGCTTCTTCATCAATCACACCTCCACGGGCCACATTGACAATTCTAACGCCCTTCTTCATCTTTCCAAACGTTTCATCATTGAGCATCTTTGATGTTGTAGGAGTAAGAGGCATGTGCAGAGAAATGAAATCTGCAGTTGCTATGGCTTCATCAAAGGTCACCAGCTCCACGCCAATAGCACGAGCACGGTCTGCAGGAGCATAGGGGTCGTGTGCAATAACATGCATTCCGAGTCCCTTGGCACGCCTAGCCACTTCTGTTCCTACTTTTCCAAAACCCATGACAGCAAGTGTTTTTCCAACAAGTGAGACACCCACATATTTGTTCCTTAGCCACTTCCCTGTATCATCCAAATGAAATCAACATCAATTCCTCAAAAACCAGCATATCCACAAATCAACCGAGAGACAAAAAGATTAAAAACCCTTTCAAGTGTATCGAATCCACAGATGTAGAAAAGCATTGACAAAATGTCCAGCATTTAGTTAAGGAAGCAAAGAAAAGTTCAAAACTCCAAACACTTTCCAATCCCCTCTTTCAAAAACCAATCACCTGACCCTTGAATCATGATTAATTCATATAGTTTCGACTTTCGAGTTTGATCCCATGAGACAGAGCAAAACTTGAATAAAGTGTCAGCAGTTAGCACAGTCAAGCCCCTCTCAAAACCCAAAAAGCGCCTTCAGATTCCTCCTAGAGATTGTTACTAGCCATCAGAAACATCCAAAGTTCCTCTCTCCTCCCGGTCAAAACCAAACTCATCGGTTTTTCCCTACGCCGGGAAATGAAGAAAGTTTTGGCCTTTTGCATCTAAACAATCACGTATTCCACTTTTGGGCAAATGAACACGAAAAACAAGTGAAAAAAAGTGGGATGCCAAAAGAGAAGAACAATGGTTCCCAATAAATAAATCCACCGAATCATATCATATAGAATCTCCACAAGAGCGACCATTCTCGAAGGCGAGCAAAAGACACTTTTATATCAACTGTAAAAGAAACCGCATAACCAATCTATCATCTGCTCGACGAAATGCGCCAAAGAATCAAACTCAAACAAGCAAACAAACAAAAAACCCAAGAAACCGATCACTAACCTGCTTTAACAGAGGCATCCGCCTGAGCAACATTCCTGGCCATAGCAGCCAAGAGCGCAATCCCATGCTCCGCCGCCGCTACAGTGTTGGCCGTGGGCGCATTCACCACCAAACACCCATGCTCCGTCGCGGCAGCCAGATCCACATTGTCGATCCCAACGCCAGCCCTCCCGACGACCTTCAACCTGCCTCCGGATGACTCGAACACCTCCCTGCTCACCTTCGTCCCGCTGCGCACGATCAGGGCGTCGCAGAGCGAGATCTTGGTGTTGAGCTCTTCAGGGGACAGGTTGTAGGAGCAATCCACGTTGGCGAACTCCTTGAGGAGATCGAGCCCGGCCGCCCCTAGCTTCTCGGCGACCAGGACGGTGGGCTTGGCGTCGAGCCCCCCGGTGGCGAGGACGACGAAGCGGCGGCTCCCGCGGCCGTGGGCGGCGCGGAGGCTGAGGGATGAAATGGAGAATTGCGCGGTGGATGAGATGGAGAGCGAGGAGGAGAGCTTGGGGTTGAGGGATGGGACGTTGAGGGTGGAGGTGGAGGCGGCCATTTCGGGAGAGAAGGTGGTGGATCCGGCGATTTGCGGCGGCCGGGAAATGGGAGTGGAGAGATTTGGGGGAGTTGGGAGTGGAGATCTAATTGGGGATTTTATAATTTGTAGTTTGTACAGTTGTGGCTGGGGGAGGTTTGGTGAGGGTTTTTGGCCTTTTTTGGGTGCACGCGCGCGAGTGGGAGGAAGGATAGTGAAAAGAAAAGGAATAAAACGGAAATGAAATGAATATTTATTAAGAAATAAAAATAAAACTAGCTTATTACCCGGTCTGTTGGCCGGATTACTGTATGTTACCCACTTGTGGAATGAGAGAGAAAGCAAGTGAGAGTTAAGGGATTGGGATTCCACTTGATTAGGATCGACCCACTAATCCGATTCTTCCCGACCCGCCCCAACCTAAAGGGTCAGAAAGAGTCAATAAGAAAATACGAACGGAGAGGATTAGTCATATATCTTGACTCTTCAGAAGTGGGTCAAACAGGATCAAGGTTGGGTGAGGGCAATTTTTAGCGCTGAGCAGAGTTCTGGGTTGAATAACTTTACTTAGGCCTAGAAATTGGTGCTGATGCATACTGCAGTTTTTATTATACCATCATCAATCATCATTGAATTAGTCATGGGCATCCCTCCCCGTTGTCGGTCTAAATTCTAATGATGGCTTCATTCCTTGCACCAGCCATATAAGCTAGTTGTCATCTCGAGCATGATTTGTCTATGTACAAATGATACAATTAGAGTATGAAACTGAATTCAAAGAAAAGGAAAAGAGAATTCTATCACATGCCAATAAATACACACATAATAGTTGAAGCTAAGTGAAAGTCATTACTCGCACATCAATTCTAAAAAATTACAGACTAAACAATTGCTAGAATGGCACTGAAACTACCAAGAATCATGGACGAAACAACTTGTCAAATTAAATAATCCTTATACTGAAACTACCTTCTAACTTGAAATAAGACATGATAACAGTTCATAGCTCTCTTCTCACTATGAATTGGTTGCAGCTCGTCCTTATCACTGCCTCCCAAGCTCAATTCAAACAGAATAGAGACTGTTATGTAAGATAACCATATCCTTACTGATCATAATTCCTTTCTTCACTCCATTTTGTCGGAGAAAAGAGTTATCCCCCTCTTCTGCATTTCCCTTTCCCCCTCTCTTCTCCCTCTTCTTCACAAACCGATCCCTAAACCAGCAACAACAACACAAAAATAGCCTTCGCCTCTGCCATCTCCATCTACTGAACGCGTTGGTGGCAAGACAGGACTGCAGAAGCAAAATTTTCTAAAATCAAACTAATTTTTTTGAAGGAGACTCAACCACGAAAAAAGAGTAAAGCAACATTGCTAATAGTTCAGATGGTTGGTTTTGATGTTATACGTTGCTTTTGTTCTGGTCTCCAGTATATCAACTGCAACAGAGATGTTTCCTCCAATCATCTTTAGTGCACGATTTAGAAGCAAGTCCTCCTGTTTGTGTCAAACGGAAACATTCATGGGTTCTTAACTCCCCTGTTAGTGTAAATGCAGCAGCAGCAAAGAAGTTTGACAACACAGCAAGCACACAGGCAAAATGATACAATGCAGTAGGTGATATGTGTCTCGAAGGTTTTGAGTTACTAAAGTTCATGTTAAAAATAAACATGAATTAAAATGGATTGTTCTATTAAGCAAACATCCCCTCTAATCATACAAAGATCAGATATCCAATTCACAAACAATTAAGCCATAAAAAATCATCACACATCCACCACCTTTGATTGCCTAAATTTAGGTTTTCGCAAAGTTATGGACTCTTAAGGGTAACATTCATGGGTAGTCTGTTTCATAACTCTAGAGAGCACAGTAAGCAGCCACCAGCCAGACACAGTGCGGTAGGCGAATATGATTCTCAATTCACAATTTCTCACCACCGGAAAGAACATACCATAATAAGCGCAGCGTTCATGGGTGGTCTGTTTCATAGCACTACTACACAATTTGTTAAAAAAGAAAGAAAGGTATTTAGCATCACGACGGAACAACTTTTACAGGCCAACAACGACAACATGCTGCAACCACCAGAACTGGTATCACAACTCATAGGGAAAATCAAAAGATTTACTCTCAAATTAAGTAGTTACAACATCGAGCAATCATTAAGCACATACACCATCACAAAAGTCAAGGAACCTGATTCGCAAAGCATTCAAACATTTGAGGACATTTATGCAAAGGTACAACTTATATGTCTTTTTTCCAAGCAATTTCCATCAACATGCTAATAAATTTGCAATGCATAAAATAAACGAGCCAAAACTTGAAATTCAGCATGTTTGACCGACCCATGTCAAATCCTAATTATTCTTTAATTTTAAACTTTCTATTTGAAAATAAAAAATAGTGAAAGAAAAGAGATGACTGCAATTCGCCATTTGCACATCGCTTATTCGGGAATAAAACCATAGAAATTCAAAAGGAACTGAAAATGTTTAGGATCGTTTTAATGTTTAAAATAACCAAATAGATCTTTCTGTTTAGTTTTTTTACTAACAAATATCAAACGATTCCCTATAAAATACACTATAATTTGATCATTATGATATCAAATAATTATATAATATATATTTGAAATGATAAAAATTGGACTAATTGGGTTGGTCAAGGTTGAACCATTGAATAACTTTAAAATACATTATATTTTAGCCACTAAGATATAAAATAATAGCAAAATATATATTATGCCAGAGAAAATAACTTGTTTTAGAATGGCAAACCAATGATGTTCATTTGTTTTACATTAAATCCGCATGTGTACGGTAAGTTGGCCCGTTCCACAGAGGAAAGAGAAAAAAGTGACACTCCCTATTCTACCCTTCCTACAAACGCTCATGGAGCAGGGAATTTGAAATGGAGGAAGAGTTTTTTCCTCCCTGCTATTATATGTTTTGAATTTAAAAAGATACAACAAACCTACTTAGTGTGATTGGTTATGATCCTTGCTTTTTTATAAAATGGTCATGGTTCGAATCACAATACGTGTCTTTTTTATTCACTTTTTAATGAATAAAAAAAAGTTATTGTGAAGACCAAAATGGTCTTTTTTATTCACTTTTTAATGAATAAAAAAAAATTATTGTGAAGACCAAAATGTCCTTCCTACTTTCACTCTCGTTACAGGAAATTTGAAATGGGAAAGCTGTTTTCCTCTTTGGCAGGGTGTAGGTGGCTGACGTGGCGAATGGAGTTGAGAAATTGGAATCTAGATCTGATGCGCAGAATCTACGACTGTGGGCTGCTGGGCTTGGTTGGTGAGCCTTCTATCGAAATTGTTCTTTGCTGCCTTTTTTGGGTTGGTGAGTGGTGTGGACTTGGGTTAGGTGCCGTTGTTTTCTATTTTGTCTATTCTTCCAAGTGTTCATTAATTATTAAGCAATAACAGAGCTTATAGCTCGATAGGGGGTGTAATGTTGTGCACCAAAATATTATGGATGAGAATTCAATTGGAATTCGTGAGTATCCAATATGATCATATTCGTTTAAATAAAATTGGAACTAGTGGGTATCCCATATGATCATATTCGTTTAAATAAAATTGGAACTCGTGGGTATCCCATATGATCATATTCGTTTAAATAAAATTGGAACTCGTGGGTATACAATATGATCATATTCGTTTAAATATTATGGATGACAATTCAATTGGAACTCGTGGGTATCCAATATGATCATATTCGTTTAAATAAAATTTGGTGTTGATAAGTTTAAGATCTTGTACGAGTTTTTCCTTCTTTCTGACGGGTTGAATTGTATGCGGATTTTGTCAAAACTAGATTTGCTATTCACTCCATTCGTACACGAAGATGAAAGCAAGATTGTTACGCATTTGGTTCTAATAACCATGGTTTAAACATAATTTTATCACAAAAAAACCATTCTACTAACTTTTTCGATGTAACTTCTCGTACGATTTCACAATCATTGGAAAGAAACCGAAGAGACTAAACCATAAAAGTTGTTGGCACCAACTCCTCTGTTCTTCTGGATTTGCAATTCAGCATCAGCAATGCGAATAGTGTACAATTCCAAAAACGACTCTCTGATAAGATTCAAGAAGATGACGATAACGAATTAAGAGATACAAAGTTACTGAGGTAAGCATCAGCCAACATTTGGCCCAGCTTGATCTGAGCTTCAGTACACAGGTGAATGTTGTCTGCCTCCAGCTTCAATCCTTTTGCATCCACGCAAACCAAGTTCGCCATCTTCATACAGAGTTGTGCTTCCCTCACTTTCTCCAGGTACTTATTGCCTCCCAAAGCCAGCGACACCTATATATACAACTCCACGTGACACTTAATCCGAACAACGAATATCGAACTGATAACACTGACTAAGAGATTCAAATATGAGACATTCAAATGATAGAATCAAATATTTGAAAATCTAACAGTAAAATCGAGTAACAATACTCATAAAGTCTTCGTAACGACTTCATATATGCAAATTCCAATAATCCAAATTATTGGAATTTGGAACCACCGAGTCTACAACCTATTCAAAGCTAATTACCTGAATGACAGGGAGATCCGGTAAGCCCAAATCCTCACGAACGTTGTAAATCAGCTTCTCCATTTTCTCCCTGTACGCGCCCGCATCACGCTCCGTTGACGTGTCGCTCTCTCCTTGGTACCACAGCAAGCACTTGATGATCTCCGCCGTTCCTACTCCTCCGGATCTCACGCTCTCTTTCGCTCGCCTCACCATGTTTTCGTACAGCTGTTCCCCACGCGCCCACTCGCCGATCGCCGTCCCTCCCACGGCACACGGAACCAACCCAATCGCACCGCTACCGCCGCCGCACAACCGATCCCTCACGGAATTCGCGAACGACATGCCGGGGCCCACCCCGCACGCTTTCCCCGCGTCGATGTCGGCGTGGAGAGGGACTGCCGCCGTCTCCCAGCGGAGATCGGCTGAGAGGCGGAGGATTGCAGGGTGAGATTCGCACTCCGGCGGCACGATCCCGTCCCAGATCTTTTTGTGGTGGTTGGCGATTACGCCGCCGCGGCCGGCCATGTTGCTCTGCCCCGATAGGATGAAGACCTGCGACGGTGTATCCTGCTGTTCGGACATTTGAATTCCCCTTAATCTTCTTCGTCTCCGGCGAATTGTTGAGTTCGGGAGGATGAAATGATTGTGGGCAAGTAAAAAAAAAATTGATCGGATTCGTTGACCAAGGTACTATTTGTTATGTTTGCTTTAGTGTTAAGTTATTATAATTATAAAATAGAATCTTCAAATCAGCAATGTCGTTGTAGTATAGTGGTAAGTATTCCCGCCTGTCACGCGGGTGACCCGGGTTCGATCCCCGGCAACGGCGTAGTTTTTTTTTATCACTTGTTCATAATTTTTGCAGGCCAACACTCCTTCAAGTTGGGCTTTAATTTATTGGGCCCAGGACCTTAAAAATAGTTCCAGGCCCATATAACATTTATCGGGAGGATCCCGGCCCATTGTCCTAACAAAGCTACGAGAAAAGCAAAAAAAAAAAAAAGATAGTGGCAAAGCTACTTACTAGCAGATAGCAGTCGGCAGTAGGAAAAGAATCCGCCGGAGAAAACCCGTTTAACCAAAAATTCTCTCTTTGTAATCCGTTTCTCAGATTCTGAAGTGTGTGGATATGCAATCACTTCTTCTCCCGGCGGTACACGCCGGCATCTCGTCCGCCGTGACGGTGGGAACGAACCCGTCTCGCCTTCATTTCCGATCTCGGCAGACACTGTTTTCTACGCATTCCGTGCTACCTTCGCAAAAGCCCGCTGCGCAGCTGTCCTCGCTCCCATTTCTCTCCTGCTCTCCGTTTACCTATGATCCTCTTGGAAGCAGGGTCTGCAAGAAATTGTCTTTCTCATCGAAGATTGCTGCTTCGGCTCCAGTTTCTGCTGCTTATACTTCCCCAACTGATGAATCGGAGAGAGCCAAACTTGCTCAGGTCCGAAATTTGCCCCAATTCCAATGCATAGTTTAGCTGGAATATGAGTTTCGTAAGCTCTAGTTCAGTATTCTGTTCGTGTAGTTCAGCTATGCAAGTTTGTTGGTTACTCCAATTCTGGAAAATGCGGTTTAGTTTGTTGTCTTTAAGTGGTGGGTTGGTAAGGGAAGTTGTGGGAAATGATTGAATTGTGTGAATTATTTGTTTAGGTGCTGAATTTTGATGACCGGGATAACCTGCGCATTGTTCTTTGAAGTAGGATGGGTGTAAAGGTTGTAACTTTTGTGCGTGATGTAGGTAGCTAAGAGATTGGAGAATACATCCAGGCGTTTCAAGCGGTTTGGAAGTATAGGTTTTTGGGGGCAGCTGATTGCCACGGTGGTGGCTGCTGTGATCCTTTCCTTTTCGGTCGTTGCCACTGGCAAAATATCGTCGCCTGCAAGTTTCTATTCAACCGCTGGTGGGATAGCAGCAGCTTTTATTTCAGTGTTCTGGTCTTTTGGGTATATCCGGCTCTCTGAGAAGCTCCGGAGGACTGCGAATGAGCCTTCTAAGGTATTATTTGTTTGTGTTTGATTTGTTGTCATTTCAGAACTGTACATGCTTAAATTGTACTTTCCAAGTAATAGCTTGCAGGCCAAATTGATTGATGGGGGTGATGGAGATAACACCTTTATATTTGGACCTTGCACCAAATGCTAACCACCTATCTTTCTCTGAATGCTAAGCTGGATCTTTAACTGATCAGCAAAATTGCAAGCAAATTAGTTTCATCATATCTACATTCAGCTCGACCACATAGACCCATGAGTAGTATGCACAGATCCTTTTTTCACATTCTTGTTATTGAGTTCATAGTTTAGCATTCCAAGGGTAACGATCAATGAGAGAGAGAATAGTTCTTCAGAATGTATGGGATCACAAGTTTGATCTCTTGATCTTGTTTCATTTTCTTGAGTTGGATATTTTATCTGTATGCTAAGGTAGATATTCTTGCATGGAGTGTCAACTATTGAGCACCTTCCATCACCGATTCACATGGTCTTTTCAGTTTGAAATATGACTTGTATGCCAATACACGAGTTCCCGAATATTTGATTACCACTGCACGGGATCCAGTTACTCATTTTCTAGAAAATTGAATTCTCTGGGTCTGTCTGTTTCATACACCTCGTGTTTCATCAGATTCTGTGGGTTTCAGGCACCACCTCGGGCTGAGGTCGTAAAAGGCTTGAGAAATGGCATAATCTTGAATCTAATGGGCATGGGCGCTGCTGTTCTTGGCATGCAAGCCACAGTAGGGACATTGGTAGCCAAGGCATTGACTTCTTCTGCAAACCCTTACCAGGGGGTCTCTCCAGGATACAGTCCAGTTCTTGCATTGGACGTTTTCTTGGTGCAGGTATATTGTCTCTCATTGAGCCTGCTTCTCTGCTATATGATTGCTAAGTCATGGTTCCAAACTATGGAATTACCAGGAAGATTCATTCATTTGGCATAAAGTGTTCTTACTTTTTCGGTTCGTCTTACATCCTAATTATGGTGTTATGCTCTCTCCTACAGGCATCAGCAAATACAATCCTCTCTCACTTCCTCGGGCTTCTCTTCTCCCTAGAGCTGTTGCGATCCGTTACACTACCACCTTCAGAAGCCACTCCAGTACCTAAGCTTGCATAATTTATATGGTGTAAACCATTTTCAGGTAGGCAATCAAGAGTTTTTGTCAGGTCGAATCATTGAAGTTTGTAATATTAGAAACTCCGGTTGTGTTCAACGGAATAAGTTTCAGTATGTGTACTTTGCAAACATAAGAACCTTGGTCGTGAAGTTTGAACTTCCCAGACCTTCAGCCAATGTGCATAAATTGCAATTCTCCTTTTTGCTTCAATATATGAAAACAGAGAACCTCTATTGGAAATATGAACAACAATCATTCTGTTTCTTCAGGAGAGAAAACTTTGCAATATGAAGGTACAGATAACAGAATCCAACAAAGCTATATTTTTTGACATACTCAATTCAAACATAACAATCAATCAAAGCTTTTTAATATGTTACAGATGATAGAATATACATACATACATGATTCATATACTCACGAAGACATTAACAATATCTCTATGTACAAAACCAGAAACTTTGATACCATACACAAACAATCAATTGTGAATCAATTAGCATCAGACCAGGTGATATCCAGATCACCCCAGTCACTCTCCGCCACACCCAAGGCCTTCCACACCGCCTTCGAAGCATCAACAATGTTGTTCGGACAAGGAGGCTGGTAATCATGATCAGAATCACACCCCATGGTTGAGTCACATTCATCCACCACCATGGCCCTGACAGTCTTCCCATTCCCATGAATGTTGATGAAGTTGAGACACCTCGATTTCTTGTTGAACCACCCCGTCGACAGAGCAACGATAGGCTTGTCGTCGGAGTGGAACTGGTTGTCGCACTCGGATGGTGCTCCGCCGCTTCCCCCTGCCTCGAAGCTGTTCCACGTCAGGGTCGCCTTGGTGCTGGCGGTGACCGGAGGGGAGCATTTGTAGGTGGTGTACTGCTTGCCGGTTTTGCAGCAGTCGGATTCCTCGCCTTGGTTGCATTGCCCCGGTGGTGGAGTAATCCCTGTGATGTGGCCACTTGGCTTGCAGGTCTGGCAGTCCACGTAGGTCGCAGCGAGGATGAGAATTGTGACGAGGAGAAGGATGGGGGAAGAGGTTTGGCTGGTGAACTTCATCATCGTGGTTGTGTGTTTTGGAGTCTGTATTGAGTTTAGATGTGATTGTGTTTTGGCTGTGAGGATAGTGGATTTGGTTCAGGGCCGTTTTTATAGGCTTGAGCTGAAGAAGGAATTAATGGAGGGTGCATGAGCCAGTGAGGACAAGATTGCGGCCATTGTGGTGTTAAGAGTGAAAGCAACTGAAGCACCGTGAATTGCACGAGGTAACTGAAGAGAGAATAAAAAGATTGCTAATCTATCAGTTTCTGAAGCATCCTGAAGTTGAAAGCTTTTCTCCTGCTTCTGAGTGGATTGACGTTTGTCCAAAGCTTCTTCAACCGGGGTTCGGTTGGCATGTATGCGGATTTTTTCCACAATGAAATCCCAAAATTACCAGTTAATTTTTCCAAAATGCACAAATTTGGTATGCTTCGCTGCTGTTCAATGATATTGATATTTAATTATTGATTCGCTGGATACCGGAGTTATCTTACATCGATCGCTTCTAAGTTCTAACAGATGCGATCTATACAAATGGTTGTCCAGAAACGCGATCTACCCGTTAAAATCGCAGCCAATTCTAACGATTTTCAGCTAACATACAACTTTAAACAATTGTAAGTTTGCACTCAGTTATCTGGTCAATACAAAATAAAAATTATTTTAAATAAATTTTTGAGATCTTCAAAGCTAGTTTCAACAAGCATTCTTTCAGGGTTGGTCAATGTTGATGCCATGAGTTTGTAGTTTTTCTATCATGTCCGTAGTTCCCAGTCTAGGGGTGTACGTGGGTCAGGTGGTTCGGATTTCGTCATTTTAATCACCCGACTCATATACTGCAGTTTTGAAAATGTTCAATCCAACCCAAAAAAATTAAAACCCTACGGTTTGTTTATAATTGGGTTGGATCGGGTTGGAGATACTTTTAATTAAATATCCAACCCAACACAAAAAGGCAACTATTGTACACTACGAAAATATTATATAACTAATTAAGATTTTAAACAAATAAATCGAGGCAAAAGTTTCAATATGCATAAATATTGTTTGGATTTTAATGAAATGCAATTTACTTCAACATATGTCTAGTTTTTTCATAAATATTTGTCGAAGTAAGCTAATGTAGTCATAAGCTAACACATTCATAATATGTTGATCTTTTAAAATTGTACACACAAGAAAAAGAATTACGTGAATCATAACTTATATTAACTCTATGTCTAAATATTAAGTTGAAGAATGTATTAGACTTGAGAAACTACTAGAGAAAAATATGATAAAATAGCTTAATTTTCTCACAAATATGTTTATTTATGACACAAATATGTGTTGTATACGAACACTGATGACAATAGTTCAACACGGGTTGGGTCGGGTTTTACGGGTTGCGTTAACCAAAATCCGGACCCAACCCAAAAGAGGCGGGTTGTACAATAGAAAACCCTCACCCAACTTTAAACTTTAATATTAACGATAAATGCGGGTGGGTTGGGTCGGGTTGGACGGGTGGGTCGGTTTGCGGGTTGTTTTGTTCACCACTAGTTCCCACCCAATCTTCACTCTTTATGGCCCACCTCAAATTCAATGCGTGGGGTTCCTTAATACTAATATTCGTTTCGCATCAAGTGCTTATCAGGTCGGGTATGGACCGAAACAAGTTGATACATTCTCACATGTTATTGAAAGAAAATAAACACACACATTTAGTTTTTTATGATAACAAAGGAAAAAGACCTCATAAGTAGAAAAATAGAGATCGGGTAATTAAGTTCAATTAGTTGAAAGATGAATCCTTGTCGTTATTAAAAATTTAATTGGGTTAAAATATAATTTAAGAGAAGAAAATTTTGAAGAAACAGAAACAAATAGTAGAACAAAACAAAACATGACGCAATATAATATACTCCGCCTCACACTATTGTAGATTGGGTAATACTCATCTCAAACATGAACGCCGAACGGGGCCAAATATCTCATAAACATACAATGGGCTCTCTTGCAAATAAGAATTTGTAGTTTTGAACCACAGATATAGCAGAAAGTTATGTTTTTTTATGCTTTTTATATTGTTGATTTTACTTTAAGAGATTTTAAATTTCTAAAATATCGAGATATCAAATTTCACATAATCGTAGAGATTGTATATCTTGATTTCTAAGGGCATCCATATTGATGCAATTGCATTTGTACTCTTTATTGTCACCTCATCATTTTTGCAATCCATCTCACATTGTTTTCATTCACCTAAATCAATGCAATTAGTTTGCAATTGCAATTGATTTTTAATACAATTTTACAAGCATAAAATACTTAAATAATAAATAATTTAATAAAAAATAGATTGTGTGACTTGCAACCCATAATTGCATTATATGCAAACTTGCAAAGATGCAATTGTCATCTACATCAATGAAATTGGATAATGCAATTGTGAATAAATGTCATGTTATAATGCAATTCCAAATACAATTCTAATGTGGATGCTCTAAATATTTTTCCTCCTACTTTATCTCTTCATCTTTTTTTACCCCACTAAATATCCTTACTAATAAATTCTTAAATTTTCGAGGCACTCTGATTCTTTTGGTTAAGAGTAAACATGTCATTTAACGGGGAAAAATAGAAATTATATTTTAATTGAATGTTCACAATCATAGTTACCAACCAATAAATTTTTTATAAAAATCAACAATCCGAGAGTTACAATCTTTAATTGTTATAGTCTAGAGATTTATACTCCAATGTCCATAACTTCAGCCATTGTGCATAAAATATTGCAGTTCTCCATTCTGGTTCAAGATATGAAAACTGAGAACTGTTGAAAACAAGAACTGAAATCATTATGTTTCTTCATGAGAGAACTTTGCAATATGAAGGTACAGATAACACACTCCAACTTAAGCTATATAGTTTTGAAAAACTCAATTCAGACATCCAACATTTCACAAACAATCACAGCTTTTAATATGTTACAGATGATAGAATATTCATATACATGATTCATATACTCACAAAGACATTAACAATGTCTCTATGTACAACAACCACACACAGAAACAATTAATTGCGAGTTCAATTCGCATCAGACCAGGTGATATCCAGATCGCCCCAGTCACTCTCAGCCACACCCAACGCCTTCCACACCGCCTTCGAAGCATCAACAATGTTGTTAGGACAAGGAGGCTGGTAATCATGATCGGAATCACACCCCATGGTGGAGTCACATTCATCCACCACCATGGCCCTAGCTGTCTTCCCATTCCCATGAATGTTGATGAAGTTGAGACACCTGCTTTTCTTGTTGAACCACCCCGTCGACAGAGCAACGATAGGCTTGTCGTCGGAGTGGAACTGGTTGTCGCACTCGGATGGTGCTCCGCCGCTGCCCCCTGCCTCGAAGCTGTTCCACGTCAGGGTCGCCTTGGTGCTGGCGGTGACCGGAGGGGAGCATTTGTAGGTGGTGTACTGCTTGCCGGTTTTGCAGCAGTCGGATTCCTCGCCTTGGTTGCATTGCCCCGGTGGCGGAGTGATCCCTGTGATGTGGCCACTTGGCTTGCAGGTCTGGCAGTCCACGTAGGCCGCAGCGAGGACGAGAATGGTGACGAGAAAAAGGATTGGGGAAGAGGTTTGGCTGGTGATCTTCATCATCGTGGTTGTGTGTTTTGGAGAGTCTGTAAGTAGTCGAGATGTGATTGTGTTTTGGATGTGAGGAAGGTGGATTCGGTTCAGGGACATTTTTATAGGCTTAAGCTGCTGCACACGGAATGTTTTGTGTTGGAGGCAGGACAAGATTGCGGCCATTGTGGTGGTAAAGAGTGAAAGCAACTGAAGCAGCGTGAAGTGCACGAGGTAACTGAAGAGAGAATAAAAAGATTACTAATCTATCAGCTTCTGAACCCTCCTGAAGTTGAAAGCTTTTCTCCTGCTGCTGAATGGATTGGCGTTTGTCCAAAGCTTCTTCCACCGGGTTTCGGATGGCCTTGTCTGCGGATTTCCCCCCCAAAATACAGGAGTTAATAAATAAATGTTCAGCATTCTACACTTGGACTAAAATATCACAAAACACACTATGGTGGTGTGGTTAGCTGCAATGTTAAGCGATTTCGATACTGACCCGCTGGACACCAGAGATGATCTTGCCCAGATCGCTTCTACTTATGCGATCTACACAAATGGTTGTCCAGAGACACGATCTACCCTTCAAAATCATGGCCAACTGCAGGGAACTTCAAACGGTCATAATTTTGCGCTCAACTATACGATCGACGCACAACAATTTTTGACTCTGCATAATTTTTCGAGATTTTCGAAGCCGGCTTCAACAAGCATTCCTGGAGCATCGGTCCAAGTTGATGCCATGATATTGTAGATTCTATAACTGTTTCAAACAAATGATGGAGATTCGCATAACGACAAACAGAAGCTATCCTTAGCAGATCAACTATGAAAGGAATACCGAGATCTCGACGTTACAAACTCTTGAGTACTATAAGCAAAGTAGCAACCTCGTTCAGCCAAAGAAATTGGATCATTTACAAACTGGGACCTCACTGCCTAACGCCACAGCTAACAAAACAAAGCAACTGTTTCTCATCTTCCCTCTCAAAGCCATCAATGCAATCTACCGGAAAAGATACCCGTGCCATTGAACTACATGAACGAACAAGAATCCGAGATCTAGCAGTTAGATTCTGTGGAAGATGGAGGGACAAAAGGAGAAAGAGAAGAGGCAACACTGAAACTATGCATTCCCTATAGCTATTTGACCTTTTGCAGAAGCTAGCACGAAGACGTTCCCAAGCACATAAGAGCCTGCAACCGCGTTCAAAACCTCTAGTACCTGAAAATGCCCAAGATGATGATGATGAAGCGTTTGTCGAGTGAGAGAGGCTTGGATTAACGTATCAAAGTGAACTAATCTTTGGAAATTAAGCATAACGCATAGCATATCATTGCCTTGCCTCTGTGCTTATGTTGACTCTATCAACTAGTTCACTGAATGGCTACATCATTAAAAGTGGAGGGAGACAACTATGAGTAAGAGAGCCTGTAAGTACAAGCTGAGAATCCTCAGCCACACTTGATAATTCTAAGGATTTTAGCTATCAGACAACCTCCAATGCAAGGGTCATTGAATGGGACAGTAGACATAATTAAATCCTGGTGCTCATAATTAATTTTCATAGAAAACCAATGTGATTAAAATTCATTGCCACACCCCCAAAACAGACTCCTCTTCTTCCCCCGGAGGCCCCAAAAAGGTCCCCTTCCAGGCAGATAAGATATGGTCGGCATGGACAGAACAAGTTGCAGAAATGGACAATGATCTTTTCTATGCAAAGAGATCTATAGAAACAGATGACAATGATCCCTAAACACCGACAGTACAGAACATGAGCATACAGGTAGGAGGTAAAGCTCACACCTAGATATCGACTATGGGCTGAAAACTTCAAACGACAAATCAAGACCAAAGCAAAATTAACCAAATAAAAACTTTGCGGAGTAGAACGTGATCATGGTTTCTGAAAGATTAATGACCTTGTGAGAAATTGAGGCCACGGTCAATACTGGGATCAACTACCAAGAAAATGTTATAGGGCGAGTTCACATATCATTATATCAATAAGGTAGACATGGGAACTTGAAAGCGTAGGAGAGGGGGGAAAGAGTGATGCATAGGAAGCATTTACCTATTGAACCTTCTTTTCTTTCTGTGATGGCCGCGGAAGCTTCTTCAGAAGGGTCTCATCAATTTTCCTTTGCTGAGCTTCAAGTATTCTCTGTGCTACAACCAACTTTTCATCAATCTGGTGCTGGAATTTGTCATACACCACTGGGATCGAAAGACTGAGAAGAATCCCTGCAGAAAAAGGGAGCCAAACACCACTTAGAAAGTTGCTAGACTGCAGCAATAAAAACTCTTACAAAAAATGGAAGTATGACACTAAGCAACTCACCAGCATACGCAAAAGTAAGGAAACTGCAGAGGCTACCAACGTAAGACACGATCCACGAGACAAAAGAGATCTGGAGATACATCATGAAGAGCAGGAAACAGTTTTCACTTTTCACCTTAGCCACAGAGATGGCGAAAAGGATTACGATTCTTCTCGGAAACGAAATTACATCAGGTGAAATCAAGAATACCTGTAAGAAGACTTTCAAATTCCTACCAATTGCAATGTCACATCCAACTGCCAGTACATGGTTCACATAAACTTGAACAACTTGAGAAACTCTGTCAACAGTCTCCTCAGTTATTTCTAGATCAGGAATTGGCGGCAGCGGCCTAAAACGAAACACACGAAATTTACTCAGGATTCAGAAATTCACATTTCCAGCAATCTATTCCACTGCCAGTGATCAAACCCTCTTAGCATCTATCGCTGCTGATCACAGTTCTCGGGAGCGAAAAGGTAAAGGCATACACAGAAAAGCAGGAAAAATAGCAATTTAGTAAAGTTACCGATTGAGAAGAGAAGCAGATTTCGCCCACAGGAAGAGTATCAGAACGAGGAGGAACAGCACATTCGCCATGAACGTCAGGAAATTGTATCCCGCTCGCTCGAATAGATACCACGAGGTCGACGAAACGATTAACAACGTCAAGCTCGCGCCCCATCTCCGCCATAACAGAACATCGGCCACTGAGAAAAAAAAAAACAGAGAAAGCGATGAATTACAATCCAAATGAGGAAGTGAAATAGGATGGCTCGGCAATCGATTACACTTTTCCGATTGAAACATGCATGGACCATGAAAAAAAATTCAGCAGAATTGAAGCATTCGGGATAGCGCGGGAGAGAGAAGAGACCTGAGCCGCCGCCGAGGAGCTGGTGGACGGAAATGCGGCGAGAAGGAGGTGGAGGAGGGGTGGTTTCTCCCATGGCGATCGAGAACTTTGGAAAGTTCACCAGAGATCGCGCGCGAGAGAGATATGGCAATTAAAAAGAAGTCCGGCGGAGTGGGATGAAGGATCTTTTGCACTGTCAAAGGTGCCAACGACGCCAAATTTCGTGCTCTTTGGTTTTCTCTCGTTGTATATTTTTTTCCCGGAAAGTGGATAATTTGGCAATTTGGTCAGAGCCGGGCCGTGGACCTTCATCGATGGATTAATAGCCCAAAGAACAGTCTGAAAATTTCACAGCTGGCCCACTTCAGGGAATCAGTTCACGTTGTGGAAGTCAACGGTTGACTATAAACTCGAAACCACAATAGATAGAAGCTACATGGGCATGTACTCTCAGAAATGCTTGACAACATGCCTATTTGGATCTAACACAACTACAGTCTACAGCTGGTTTAGATACATTGCAGAATGCAGAATCGATAGTATGGCGGAGAAGAAAAAGCTCGAAATAGAAGAAAGTCTGAAACTTGAAGCATTCAGCGGAACTTCACTTTGTTGCTTCATCCTCGCTCTCGGATCCATCATCTGAGGATTCTTGTTTCTGTCGCTCTGCTCCTCCTTCGGCAGGACCTTGTGGCATCTTCCTCCTCTCTTTCTTCTTCTGCTTCTTCTTTTGCCGTTTGGCACGTTTTTTGGCTCTCTGCTCCTCTTCGGCTTTCAACCTTTCCTCCCTTCTCATTTTGAATTCTGCTTCTTCTTTCCTTCTCGCGTAGTCGACCTCCATCCTAGCAACCCGATCTTGCTCTTTCCGCCTCATTTGCCGATACTGCTTGTTAAAAACCAAGTAGATGTGAGATGAATATATGAGGACTTCAATGGAGCCATAACATTGATTTGTGCACTATGAAACTCAAAACTTTTTAGACAGCTAGTTTTAGCAGCTATATTAGCTGCTCATAACGAAACACAATAGATCACGGTTATGCCCATATCAATTTCCTAGAGGTTCCGCATTAGTTGAAAGCACAAAGATCGCCATTTTCGGAAGCATACTCACAAGAGATTAGATGCTCAATGCAGTAGTAAGGTACAAAGGATAACTCAAGAACCAAATATTATGTGTAGAGAACAACAAGAACCTATGGCAGCTGAATGGATAGATAAAATGCAGAGTTAAGACCACGCAAAATAGGCTGAAGAAGATCATCGTACCATACACAGATAGACAACCTGGACCCTAGTGAAATTAAGTTCAAAGAGGCTGAAGAATGATGTTGATGTTTGATTTAACTCCCAATTAACATAATCTGTAGAAATAAAACATCACTACCAGAAGCCAAAGAAGTAATGCTAATAGTACAAACAGAAAGACCTCCACCCACCACCATACATGTAGGAAGAGATCTTCTTTAAGTTCATTACAATGTTATTAGACTAGAAATGATTTTTGATTAATTTTGTATGTTTCTTTCTGCTGAGAAATCAATTTTCAACAAATTAAGCCTATGAAGACATCACTACAATAGTTCAATTATGCGTAATGACATTTCGACAGCAGATTTCCCCCCTTAGCAAAAGCACCATTCATTCAATCAGAGAAGTGTCAATGCTGCTCCAGCTCATCGCCTTAGCATCTACCACGCCAAAATAAGCCTAACAATGCTTTCCGGATAATGCTTGCGGTCGTGAACATTAAAATTTTACAACAGCTTAATCTGCCCTTGTTATAGTCGCCATGTTCATCACCTATAACACTTTACTCTCTGAACCTGCAATCCTTTAGCTTGAACAGCAACCCTAACCCCACAAATTCTAACAAAGACTAATCCCAACTCTATTCGTTATGCATTCACAACTTATCACAAAAGTTCAGAGAAGTTACAATGAGGAACTCCTAAACCTATGCAAACTCCACCATAAAGTAAAACGAGAGGCACTCTTGTGAATGACGAAATATACCTGGTGAAAGTCACCCGAACCGGCACCGGCGGAACTACCAGAAGTATTGCTGACTCGAACAGGTACATTCTCAAGTATCCGCCGAAGCTTGAGCTCCAAGTCCTCCTCCTCTTCCTTGAACACCGGCCCTGTATACTCGACGATTGCATTTGATCCCGCGGACGTGGCCAGGGTACGCGGCGGAACTGCTGGCGGCCTTGGATTATCTGCCGCCGCCGCTGGTACTAACTGCAAGTCCCCGTCGTTGGGCTTGCCCGACGACATTAACCTAACACGCAGAAAACCCTAAATTCCTACCTTCAAATGCTATCTCGCTCTGTTGTTAATCGCGGGAAAAAAAACCGACCTCTGCTACTCGTTTTTCCGCTAGCGATTGGGTCAGGTTTCCAGAGAACTAAACGACGACTTGCCCTTCGATGCGAGACTACGGCGGCAGGTGCTGTGTCCCGGCGGAGCTGGGCGACAGGGCGAGAAATCTATCGGGTACCGGCGGTCCTTCGGAATGGCAGAACTTGAAATCGGCCCGACTTCCTAGTCATGGATACGACTTGCCGGCGGTAAAGAAAATGAAGTTTCGTTTGGGTTAAGCTGCAAAACTGGGCCTGTCTTGGGCCAAGATAGGCAAAGTCCTTTTACGATGCTCTACTAAGATAATTGGGCCCATGTCTTCAATTCTTTCCCTATGATGGGAAAATCGGCCCCTTCTCCCGCAAACGAACTCGTTTGTTTTTTTTTTTTTTTCCAAGATCAGTTTTTATTAAAATCAATCAAGCAGAAGAGAACAGAAGTGTGCGGGAGTCGACCAATAGTCGAACTCCCGATGAGAGGGCCTTTTTGTGCCACAAGATGGGCAGCCCTATTGAGTTGACGGGACACAAACAAGTAAGAAACTTTGCTACAATGTGAAGCCAAGCACCGAACGTCCTCCAGAATAGCTCCCCCGCGATCATGATTCAGTTCGCCACCCACCATTCGCCGGATAAGCAGTTGTGAATCCCCATGAAAATTAACAAAGAGGAAAGAATGCGTTAAACACCATTGGACTGCATCTCTTAGCGCTAAACATTCCATGATGAATGGGTCATGAATGCCGTCATAATACTTTCCAAAGGCGAAGAGTAAGTTACCTGACAGTTGGTATCCAACAAATCCAATACTCCCTCCCTGCCCACGTTTGGCGGCACCATCGAACCAAACATTAATCTCGACTGGGTGTGGTATGGACCTGGGAAGACCCCTGCGAGAGCTTGAATGAGAGCCTGTGTTTGCTTGCGGGCCAGGATTAACAGCCTGTTGATGAGGGGAACCGCTATCCAACGCGCGCCATTCCTCCACCTGTCGCTGAAACTGTCTAAACAAGGCTGCTGGAAGGTATTGAATATGATCATGAATTGCCCAGCATCTCCCCTTCCAAAGGCGCCACACAAGGAACACTACATCAGCTATTTGAGTTTTAGTGAGGTTCATAGAGAAAAATAAATGTTTCCAAGCATCATCAGGATGCATGCCAACAAGTGCCACTCTCCATTCTTCTAGATTTGCCCTGCTCCATAAGCCGCTAGCAATCCTGCATGAGAAAAAGAAATGGGAAAAGGACTCTGGTCCCTCCGAGCAGATTGGGCAAGTCGAGTCAGTCACAACAGTCTTGGTAAACATGACCGTCTGCAAAGGGAGGAAACCGCGCACAGCCCGCCAGAAAAAATGCTTTAGTTTCGGAGGGACTGGGATGCTCCAGAGAAACTTCCAAAACCGGGTCTCAAAGGGGAGGGCAACTGGAGGATGTTGTTGGTTGAATTCCGTCGATAGCAGTTGATACCCTGTCTTTACTGTATAAATTCCAGAGGGTGAATAATGCCAAACCAACTTATCACAAGCAAAAGAAATGGGAAGTGGTATGGACAGGATAAGTGTCACACTCTCTGGCAAGAATAGGGATTCCAACAAGGTTTTATCCCAAGAATGTGAATCCAAACAGATCAGATCCGAGACAAAGGAGGGTAAAGAAGACACACCAGCTCGGAGCATGGGGCAGGAGGGGGGAGAAGAAGGCAGCCAGTTGTCTTGAAGTATGCGAATTCGAGATCCGTCCCCAACCTGCCATCGCAGGCCTCGAATGAGTAAATCTCTTCCTTCCAAGACACTCTGCCAAGCCCATGATGGTCGGTTTCCAGCTGCTGCCTCGAGGAAGGATCGATGGGGATGATACCTCGCCTTGTACATTTGAGCAAGGTGGCTGGTTGGATTACCCAGGATACGCCTGGCCTGTTTAACTAAAAGAGCAATGTTAAAACGGTTAAAATCCCTGAATCCTAACCCACCCACAAATTTACTTTGGCACATTGCATTCCACGAGATCCAGTGTATGCCCTTCTCCCTATCTTGCCCTGCCCACCAGAATTTCGACAGCTGCCCATTGCACCGACGGCAAGTCTCTTGAGGTAGCCTAAACGCTGACATCGCATAGATAGGACAAGCAGCCCCGATCGCCTTGATAACCACCTCCTTAGCCGCAAGTGACATAGCCTTAGATTTCCAACTACGAATTCTAGAGGCTAGGTCTTCCTCGATAAATTGGAAGGTCAGGGACTTGGACCGTCGAATCTGAGAGGGAAGGCCGAGGTACCCGTCCTCCGGGTTCATTGTATCAACTCCTAAATAAGTACTGATCGCCACCAATTCCTGCTCAGAAACATTCTCACTAACACGGACAGCCGACTTGTGTAAGTTTACTCGTTGGCCACTAAACAATTCATATTCAGCAAGTAATTCAGTTAAAGCAGCACATTCTGGAATTGAAGCTCTGATGAACAGATATGAATCATCCGCGAAAAAAAGGTGGGAAATGGGGGGAGCGAACCTGTGGACTTTCAATTCATGGAGTGAGGAGCTACGGACAGCCTGTGTGATTTTAGCAGCAAAAGCTTCTGTGTAGATAGCAAAAAGCAGCGGCGACAACGGGTCGCCCTGCCGGATGCCTTTCTGTGGTTGGAAATACCCATATTCTGCTCCATTGAGTAAAACTGAAAATCGGACTGAAGTGATACAAGCCTTGATCCACTTCATCCACTGTTCACAGAATCCCATCGTTTCCATGACTTGAAAGAGGAATTCCCACTCCACACGATCGTACGCCTTCTCCATGTCGAGCTTGAGTGCCATCCACTTGTCAGATCCTCTGGTTTTAGTTTTTAAAAACTGCATCACCTCCTGCCCAATAAGAATGTTGTCCGATATACAACGCCCCTTGATAAAACCATTCTGGAACGGGCTGATGATATGAGGGAGAATAGAACTCAGTCTTGTGGAAAGGATTTTGGAGATTGCTTTGTATAGCACCTGGCAGAGCCCGATCGGTCTCATTTGTTTCATGGAGTCAGCATGAGCAACTTTCGGGATGAGAGTTAGCAGCGTATGATTGATGCTATGTAGTAATCTTCCCGTCTGAAAGAAGGAGAGGATAGCATCAGATACATCCCTTCCTATCTCGTCCCAGAAGCATTGGTAAAAACCAGCAGTGAATCCGTGGGAACCCGGCGCCTGAGTCTTCCCAATGCTAAAGATAGCTTCCTTGATTTCTAGTCTGGACACCTGGGCAATAAGCGTGGCATTCATGGAATCATCAATCTTGTTAGGTATATGCAAACTAGTCACAAAAGAAGTAGGATCCAACCCATTGGAAGTAAATAAGAACTGGAAGTAAGACACTGATACTTCCCCTTTCTTTGACTCCTCAGTATGAATTTCGCCCAGCTCATCACAAAGGGCCTGGATAAGATTAGCTCTCCTCCGTTGCATCGTTACTAAGTGGAAGTAGTGCGTATTGGCATCCCCTCCCTTGAGCCAATTATTCCTCGATTTCTGTTTCCAGTACAACTCTTCCTGCTGATATGCTGCAATTAACTGGACTTCCAGCCTATTAATCTCAGCCCAATCCACCGATGTTGCCCCCCTTGAAGTGTCAATTGCGCCTTTGAGTTCCCGAATTTGCCGCGCTGAGTTGGTAGTACCAGCCTTGGCCCATCCCATAAGCTCTTGTCGGGTGTGTTTGAGTTGTGATTGTACCTTAAACAGAGGCGTGCCACTAACCGGTTTGCGCCATGCTTTGTGTACAAGGGGGGGGGGAACATCCGGATTGGAACCCCACCGATTATCGTAGTGGAATCGCCGTGTCCGTTGATCAGCAGGTTTCACAAACCGAACCAGCAGCATCCTATGGTCAGAGCCCCGGTCAAAGAGATGATGCACCTGTAATTCTGGCCACAGGGAAACAACCAAGTCATTAGCCAAACACCGATCTAAACGAGATTGAATATGGCCTTCATTTGACTGCCGGTTAGTCCAAGTGTATGGAGGGCCAACATAGCCCAGATCTTGTAGGTTCCCTGCAGAAAGGAATTGATGGAGTTGGTCCAGAGCAGCTAGGGTTGGAGGTCGGCCTCCCTGCTTCTCGGCACTTGATAACAGGCAATTAAAATCTCCTAACACAAAGATCGGATCATCATACGACGAAACAAGGAAAGATATTTCATTAAGCTCAAATTGCCGGGGGGCTACATCACAATGTAAATGGACAAATACTACAGCAAATCTTCCTAGAGAATTATGCTCACATTCTATAAACAAGAATCCAGAGGATTCAACTGGAACTGAACACACTAAATCAGGGCACCAGGCAATGGCTAATCCACTACCAATATTCGACCTACTATGGATTCTGCCCTCAGGAAAACCCAAACCACCTAGCTGATCAACTACAAATTCATCATCACGTCTAGTCTCACTCAAACAAACAAGGATAGGTGCATCTCGGGCTAGGGCCTCCCGGAGCACAGGAACTGTTAAGGGGCCCCCCAAACCTCGACAGTTCCAAGCAAGGATACTCATCTATCAGTTGGGGACCGATTAGGGCCGGCTACCTCCACCCTACTATCCTTGTTTGTGATGTCAGATGTCACTTGAGGGCCTAAACAAGCCCTTTTTGCTGTTGGCTCCCTCAACTCGCCCAGGTCCAAGTCTTGATGATGGAAAAACCGCGGGGGATTGGCCGGAGCTTCAGTCTGCATCGTTGTGGAAATCCGCAGATTGCTAAGGTGTGATGTCATCCCCACTGGCAAAGAAGCAACCTGGGTCGGTGCAGCACAGAGGAGGTTGGTGGGCACTCGTCTCTCAGATGGTCTTATCCCATGGTTGTTCCCAGCCAAGGTCCACACAAACCGCTTACGTCTCCTTGATAGCGTAGCCTCATTCAACCAAGGCCCAAATTCACTTGCCACCAAATGTTTTCCATACCTTGGGGGATTGCCAGAGAGTTCATCCTTCTTCGGACAGAACCTGTTCACATGACCAACCACCCCACAAAGGAAGCAAAATTGGGGCAGGGATTCAAATTTCACCTGAGCCTTGAAGCTACCTTTTGCGGGATCCTCATGTGCAGCAGCCACCTCGTCAGGGAGTGGGAGTTGAAGGTCCAGAGTTATCTTCGTCCTAATGTAGAGTCCCCCAGATGAGGCAGACCGGTGGATAGTTGCCATCTCCGCCGGACCAAGGGCTGATCCAAGGAGGGTCCCCATTCTCTCAGTGCAGCAGTAGTATGGAACCCCCCAGATTTGCGTCACAAGCGGAACCCTGATTAGTTCTGCCGCTAGCTCCGCACTCGGGGCCTCCCACTCGCGAACGTGGAGGATAAACTTCTCAAAGATCCAGGCAGTCCCCGAGCAGATGCGCCGGGCAGTGGCCGCATCAGGGAGAACAAATTGAAGCAACCCCCATTCCACCAGCGCAACCGAGAGATCACATTTCCACACCCTGCTTACAATGGATCTCAGAGCCGGTAGCGAAGGGAGCGGTCCACAGATACGGGCAATCAAGGTTTGATCAATCCTCTGGGCACCCACAGCAACATCGGCATCGTTGAATTGAACGGCCGCCATTCGCACTGATCTGGGAAAACGCAATCGGGCGATTATGTCACGGGAGAAGAGCGATTGCAGTGAATCAAGCCAAAGTAGTGAGAAAGCATATCCACAGCGGCTGGGATTTATACCGATGTCGAAGAGGGCATGCCGGAGTCGCCGGCGCACGTAATCGGAGGCCAGTAACGGCATCGTCGCACGAAGGCGAATCGCCCTACCACTCGCCCGACGTGGGGAGAGAGGAGGGAGAAGGTTCCGGTTTTTCTTTCTTTTACTCAGCCCTTTTTTGCAAACGAACTCGTTTGTTGTTTCGGCTGAAATTAATAAGAACAAGCTAAACCATTGTATTGGATCTCAGCCTTTTCGCTTTAGGGTTGTGTTATAAACGCGCTGCTACGGATCGAGAAATCGCAGGAATCGACAAAGCAATAATATTAAAGCGAGAATCGAAAACACGACACATGATTTACATGGTTCACTAACACGATGTGTGTTAGCTACGTCCACGGGCGAGAGAGAGCCAGTTTCACTATATCAAGGAGATTACAGATTACAGAGGAGTATGAGAAGTATTTATAGTACTTCTCCATGTGGGTCTAAACCTAATCCAATATGGCAAAGGAAACGGTTACAGACCAGGCCCAGAACCTGAACCCAAATAACATTGAGCCCATACACCGTGGGCCGGGGGCGTTGCCCCCGCACCCCCACCGGGGCGTTGCCCCTGGACCCCACTCGGTGATCGGGCAGCGAGACCCCCGATTACCAGTCGTAGCGGCTGATAGTCCGATTCAAGTCATATCAACAGGTTGCAAATACTATACTATTATTACAGGGGGAAACATTGGGATCAAACTTACAATATTTGTGGCCCATTATAATTTCTAATGCGTCGAGAGAACAATAATCTACTTTACTTCTACTCCTAAATTATCACGAATACTACTAAACTGGTTTAATATTCTTTGACGTACTAAAATCAAAGAACAACTTACATTTTATAGGACTCTTTCACAACCCCTTTCCCTCTCAAACAAGGTAAACTAATCCTAATCCAACAAGTAATTAATAACTTCCTCAACAAGACACAATAAACTAATACGAATAACAATAATTATCCAATAATTAACTAATAATAATATCTAATTACTACGCCCAACTCGACACCAAGGCTCACGAGTGCTATAATGCACCAATTTGGTATCTTGTTAGAGGGTGGTATGATTTGTATCAGGGGTGGTATCTCACGAATTTTATAGGTTTTGTAACATTGATGAGTTTTGTAACATAACTCAGACCTATTACAATTGGCATGGAACTCTGCTGTCCCTATGTTTTTATTGGTAGATTCATTCACAAATTCACAACACGCATCGATTCTAATTGCAGATGCATTGAATCTCCAATTGGATGGATTACAACACAAGACTTTTCATAATACCGTGAGAAACTAATTTAAATGTCACCTTCCACAAGTGAAATGGTCGAGCATCAATGAGAACTGGTATAATGTTTCGATAGCTTACGCAGGTCGTTTAATGGATTCGTAAGCTTGATGTTGTTTGTCTCGACTGACTGACGCTAATTAAAGGACATGTTAATGGTGTACTTCGTGATGAACTCACAAAAACATGTTGCAGCATGTGCTGGCCCCTTATCCATATAGCCCTCTTTGATTGAGAGCTTTTGCAAGGGGCAATGAACCCAACACAAGATTGGGGACAAGAATCTAATATAACTCGATATGTAGCAAGCCAAGCAATATAATGTCCATCTCCTCTGTACCCTTCCACGCCTTTCTAATCGCAGGGGAACCCATATCTGCTTGCTGTCTGTTCCCTTGCTGCCGTACTGCATGCTTCTGTTCATTCAATTCTCAGCTCAGCTCCAAATCTCCAATCTTATACGTTCTGAATCCTGAGACACTGGTTACCAAACTGTTTCCGATTTTATCCGCAACCCGAATCCGGTTTGGTTCAGACCCAACGGCAGATGCTGATGATAATCTCGGGGTTAAGGGGTTGGTTCTCGGTTATTCATACCATGTGCAATGCCTTGGAAAAAAGCGAGCTCCTTTCTGGTTTTTCCTGATCTATGTATATTTAAAAAAGTCGAAGATCCAGTACTGTAAACTGAAACATCCTCGATCCTTTCTTCCCCAGTCCCCCCACGTGTTTTCTCAGTTGATACATTATGAAGGTTGTCAAACCGGTTTATACCGTTGTGCCAGTTTGGCAACTGAAATGGTACGACCGGTGGTATAATCAGTTTGTGCCGGTTAATGCCGGTCTAAAAAAATATGAAACAATTAATATCCAATGTATTTAATCATATATAAAACATATTTGAGGACAATTTAGTTACAATCCAACAAATATCATCAACTTTTAACTATTACATTCATAAAATGAATAATAAATTATTATTTTTATTCATTAAATTCATTAAAACGATGTCATTTTACTTAGAATGCGTACGTCGATCATACCGGTCATACCGATGGTGTCATGTCGGTTTCATGACCGGCACAGGTTGAACCAGGTTCAACCGAATGGCATGCCACCGGCACGACAACCATGCATCATCCCAAGTTCTCCTCCTGTACCGTTAATAAATTCGTTAGTGGAATGATCACATTTAAAGGACTACAGTACCCACTAATCATAAAGAACTATAAATAGGATGCTGTTGTTTTTACATGGATTTATATGCTTAGTCGATGAATATTATTCCTGACCCAAGTATGTTAGGCAGATGACATAAGACTCCTAGCTAGTTTGTTATCTTTCCTGACTAGCATTTTTTACATGATACAATGTTCTTGTAAATCAAGATATGACGCTCATTCTCGTAATATTTATTGGGATGATTTCAAAATAAAGATAGGTTTTTCGACAAGACATTAGAGTCTTTGTTGGAAATGTAGTGAATATCAAATCCTCGTAAAGCTTGAGGTATTTAGACATATCATAGGTAGATGTAATTCTCATACTCTTATGGACTTTTATTCGTGGGGAGTGAAAAGTATCATAGGTTGAGGTACGAGTAGTTGTCTTTGTAGCATGACACAAGTAAGTTTTAAAAATATAACAAATCTTTAGTTATCCTAATGCAAGAGATCGAACTCACCTCCCTTTAATGACATAATGGTATTTGCCACTACATTAAAGCTTAGTTATCCTAATGCAAGAGATCGAACTCACATCCCTTAAATGACATAATGGTATTTGCCACTACATTAAAGCTTAGTTTGGCCCTGCTGTAACTTTTGCAGAAGCAGTTTCTGGCTGTAGCTTTTAGATAAGTACTTTACAAAAAAAAAGCAGTTTAGTGTTTGGCTGTTAAACTATTAGAAGTGCTTTTTAATATGAGCGGTTGTGTAAAATGACTATAAAGGACTTATAATATAAAATATGAATAAAAATTTTAAACAATAAAAAGTAGTAAAAATGGATCTTGTTAGATTTCTTTTATATTAAATAATATGATTTTATAATTTATTTTATTTTTAAAATGATATAAATGAAGGAAAATTATATTTTCTGAAATAAAATTAAAATATGGTAAGGATAATCTTGTCTTTTCAAAACAGCTTTTCGCAGAAGCTCCAAATCGGAGCTTCTGCTTTTATGTTATACAAAAGCGCTTTTCGGCTTTTCAAAAGCCGAGCTTTTAGAGGTGTTTGGCCCTGCTTCAGCTTTTGAAATCGAAAAGCACTTCTAAAAGTCGGGCCAAACATATACTAAAACCCACTTCCTGTTATATATATTAAATATTTATTAATATTATGGAAAAAAATGACAAACCTAATTTCAAGTCCCGACTCTGCTCAATCTTAAACATATTCAATCAACTCGAACTATTGAGACATGTTGATTCTGGATAAATAAGAATTTAAGGATATTACCCATCCCTAATCAAAGCTAATATCCTTATTATTTACATTGAAGCATTAAAGCCTTGCATATTTGGACAACATAAACAAATAGATGATGCTCACATCACAACTGTAGCTAGATCTGTATATATATTGTTCTCTTCCCACCAACAACAGAATATTTATGGTGATTGTTGGATGGGTATAGGACTTAAGAGTACATATTCCATGGTCAATAATGTACCTAACACTAGTACTTCTCGACCGGTTCAATATATATATACACAAGCTTGCATTAATTTAGTAAAAACCCCATGATATCAAATTGTGCATTGTCAGAAGATAGGATATGGGCAGTTGCTATAACTGTAACCCTGTCTCCCATTTGGGAAGCCGAGGCCTCAACGTTGCAACTTCCCACATTCTATTTAATTTAGTCTAAAGTACACCAAAGCATCAACGGCAATGGGTTGATGAGTAGATTGGGTTGGTTTTGGGTATCATATAGGGGTGGCCATTCGGTTACCGGTTAACCGGCCGGTTAAACTGATAACCGGTAGGTTAAACCGATAATCGGCCGGTTATCGACTAACCGGTAACCGAAGTAACCGAACTTCGGTCGGTTATCGGAGGCTAGGCGTCGGCGAAATGGTTTTTAGTCTTAAAAGTGAGTCGGTTAACCGATAACCGAGATAACCGAGATAACCGTTAACCGATAACCGAGATAACCGAGAAACCGAAACCGAAGCCACAACAATTCAAATTATTTGCCAGTGAACCGATATCAAATCGCGGACGAACCGCCCACTACCCACCCTACATCACACCACATGATTTTCTTCTTCTCTTCCTCGGATACCATACTGGCTATATATATATATATACAATTCTCATCTTACATGAATTAATCATCAATACTAATAATGTAGCTTTGAATTAGAAATTAAGATGCCAGTGCGTGGGGGAAAGGTGATATGCGCTGTGGGAGTATCCAATACGATTTAGTTTAATTAATTAATTAATCAACTGCTCAAACTATGGTTTGGAATTATTTTAGTTTGGTGTGGTTCGTGAAACATCCTCGATAATTCCTCGCATACATGTGCTCACTTATTTTAGAGTGTGTCTGTCCCCCAAACTGCAGAGATCTGAGCAGGCATTGGTTAACGACTTAATCAGTGATTAATATATTATTTATGATCTAATGTTTAGTATTTCTGTATAAACTTGTCGATTATATGTGTTTGGCATCTCTCTTTTCTAGCAAAATCGTTCCGTTCATTGAATCTAATAAGGCGTGCATAGTTCCAGTGGCGGATACAGAAATTTTTTATAGGGGTGTCCTCTTTAAAAAAATAAAAAATAAATAATTAAATTAAATAATTCATAATAAAAACATGACTAGTACTAATTTTAACAAAAAGCCAGACGTGTTTTCATATTCTGAAAAATAATATAAAATATGCTCGACGTCGTTACTGCTCAACAAATCTATATATCATACTATACAATAATTCACGAATTGATCGCATATTGAATTTCTAACCTTGTTCTTTATGTAACTCAAAGTTGAAAGACTCTTTTAACTCTTGCCGTGTAACTACAAAATCAATTCAAATTAAGGATAGCCCGTAATTAGTTTAGTTGTTAGGTTTTGAAAATAGTTGGGGATAAGGAATACTGTTTTTACTATTTCATAGTGTTTAAATAAAACAAGAAATGAGTTGCAAACTAGAGATTATGTTTAATAATAGTAGTGTTCTAGGTTTGAATAACACAAACTGCCATTTCTATTTTTTTAAATCTTACACAAACTACTATCGAGAGTAGTATAATCGTTTTTTTCAAATTTTAAGGGTGTTCCGGATTACCAATTATAATTTTTTTCCATACGAAACTACAACCAGGGTTTGGATAATCGTTCTTCCAAATTTTAGGGGTGTCCCAGGACACCCCTAAATGTCCATGTATCCGCCACTGCGTAGTTCCCCAGCTATTTAAATATCTACAAATTTAAATCTCTCTAGTTATTTGGACTCAATAATTATCTTTAAAAAGTGTTTTTTTTATGAATATACAATATATTTATAACAAATTTGTGATCAAATATGCCATCCTAGCTATATTATTAGATTGTTAAATAGTGGTAGACTGTCGTGGAAGTTGATAGATGATGGTTAGTATATTTCTACTTTGTATCATATGTACAACCATCCTGTTGTATGATATATTCCTACTGCTAGTGTCATAGTACACTTCCATATCACCATGATATAATTTTATGTATTACGAAGCCTTATTATCAAGGAATATAGTGATAAAACATGACTTAATTTTTTGTTTCTATTTTCATCAATGTGGGTGTCAGTTTGAAGTGCATGAATAATCATATTTCTTTATGAAAAAATTAGAATTCTAAATTAAAATAAAAGAGATATAGTCATAGATTTTATGCAAATCTCACAGATATGGACAAAGTACAGGGGAGATCCATGATTCATGATTCGTGATTCAATCTTAACCAACAAGACGTGCTTTTGAAGTGAAATGTAGAAGGTTTTGCCATAACTCTGAAGTTAAACGTACTCAACGCGCGAAACAGTGCAGTGATGAATGATTTTACGAGAACTCAAAGTAATGCATGAAAAAAAAATGATGAAGGAGTAAATTCAAAGCGAATAATATCTTTGATTAAAGATGAATAGATATGTTACGAAATGTGTTTGAAACGAAATTGATTCATACCAAAAATTAACATACTAGGTTTGTAAATAACCGGAGAAGTTGGAGGTGATAATTTCATAATAATAATCAAGAAAAGAAATAAACCCGTTAGATATTTATTTATTTATTTGGCAATTATTAATGACAAATTTTGTTAAGTCGGTGACCGCCTCGTGCCGGTGGGGACACAGATAAGCGTCGGGAGAGGAAAAAAATAACCAAAATAACAACAAACAAATAATAATAATAATAATAACCGGCCGTAGGTTGAGATGTCAGCGATGTGGCAGGTTTTACAGCCTGGAACTTTGCCAGCTCATCATCAATCATCCCTCGCTCCCGCTCTCTCCAATCCAATTCCCCCGCTCGACACCAGGTTTGTCGTTTTCCCCACGTCAGCCACTCCCTCTCTCGTCCCATGCACGAAAACGGAAAAATCTTTAATTTAATAACTTCCGAAACAGAACAATCAAAATCCATTACGTAAAATGCTCTCCAGCCTGGCCTGGCCTTGCCGCGCCCATCTCCATCTCTATCGGCCCACCCACCTCCTTTTTCTATCTCAGTCACCCATCCGGTCAAAATTAAAGATTTTGGCGGTTACTTTGCGGTTGAGCCACTCGAATTAATGTTCAGCTGCATTCTCATCCTCCAACTTTATTTCTAGAGATATCTCAATTTGGTTAAATCGTAATATATTAAGCTGACACATTAAACAGAATCTCGCGATTTATCATTATTGGTAGAAAATGAATATTATATGGTATATTAACAAGATTAACAAACTTATTGTAGTGGTATTGATTTGGTAGTTGTTCTAGAAAATTAGGTTTTGAATTTTTTATCGAGTAGTTGAGAAATAAAAGTTGATTACTACGTAAAATCTTAAAATTTAGATTGATTTATAGGTCATTAGTTCATCCTATTTAGTATTTACGTTTAAAAATTGCAAGAGCTTCAACGGTTTAAAAATTAGTCAAATCCCACCATCATTCTAAATGTTGTAACTGAAAAAGTTCTCTGAGGATTGAAATGTAATTCACCAATTTATTCTCCCCAACCGCCATTAACCACTTAACGTATCGCGAGAATTTCCGGGTTTCATAACTACCCGGCGCCTTCCAGACGAAAGAGTAACTTAACTTCCGTAACCGCAACGATAATACTCCCGTTCTTTCTTTCTTTCTTTGCCTTCCTTTTTCCCTCCCGAGATTTTGGTGACCGGATTACTTTTTCTCGGCCAATCCTAACGCCTACGTGGCGGTTATACAGCTGTATTTCTCTCGTAACCGGTAACAAAAATTGCCGGTCACGTACCACTTATTTAGCCGATTGGTTTACCGGCTTTTGTCGGTTGATTTACCCTAACAATCCCCTATATATAAAGCACACTCTTTTCTTCCTCGCATCTCTTCATCCCAATTGTGCTGCGGCACAGAGAGTCTCTCTTAGGTTTCCCCTTTCAAAAAAAAAAAAAAAAAAAATCTCCCCAAGAAAAATTTTGAATTTCAAATTCATTTACAGTCCCTCCGCCGACGATGGACCAAGATTCCGGCATCGATCGGGTGAAAGGCCCCTGGAGCCACGATGAGGACGAGCTCCTGCAGCGGCTCGTGCAGCGTCACGGCGCGCGGAACTGGTCGCTGATCGCGAGGTCGATTCCCGGCAGATCCGGCAAGTCCTGCCGCCTCCGGTGGTGCAACCAGCTCTCGCCGCAGGTGGAGCACCGCCCCTTCACGGCGGAGGAGGACGAGATCATAACGGACGCCCATTCGAGGTTCGGGAACAAGTGGGCCACAATCGCCCGCCTCCTCAGCGGGCGGACCGACAACGCCGTCAAGAACCACTGGAACTCGACGCTCAAGAGGAAACACTCCGCCGCCTTCTCCGACGACGAGCGCGAGCATCAGCCGGAGAGGAAGCCGGCCGGAGGTCAAACCGTGACGTCCCGTGAAATCAGTCCGTCGCAATCCGGATCTGACGTCAGCGACGCTGGCATCCCGATGGTGGCGGCGCCGCCACTCCAGTTCGCGCGTCCGCCTCCTTCGATTGATAGCGAAGCCGAAGTTTCTACGGAACTGACTTTGTCTCTGCCGGTGAAGAAATCGGGGGGATTTTTGCCAATGCAGGGATGCGGCGGGGAGGAGGTGTCGACGAAGAAATCTGGTTTCGAGACGGCGTCGTTTGGGGAAGGAATGCGGGCTGTGCTTCAAGAGATGATAAAGAAGGAAGTGAGGAATTACATGGACGGGAAAGAAGGGGAGGGGATTAGAAATGCCTTGATTGAGCGAATTCAAATCGGCAATTTTATTTGATTTCATTTAGTTTAATCGAGTTTTCTTAATCATCTCCGATGAATTTTGTTTTGGCCGTGTACAAAAAATTAGAAGGAAAAAATGTAAAAGATGAGGAGAAAAAAAAAGTGATAACTTATTTTCTTTCTTTGTTTATTTATTTATTTATTTATTATAACACAGGAAAACAGTGAACAAACAACTGGATGCACAGCTGTGGTGTTAATTTAGTTTATTTTATGTGTCTAGTAATTAGTGAACCGTAATTCTTTTGAAAGAGCCTCAGATGGATAGTACGGCCTGTGTGTGGGGCAACACACATCGAACATTGTATGCTTGAGCGATCTGGTAATTCCAATCCTTTCAACACAGCATATTTGCTTACGCTTTAGTTGATGAAGAACGAACTCTAGTTCCACTCGAGCATAACAAAATTATCGGTGATTGTTAGCGAGAACGATATTATGTGTTGTCCACCGGCAAAAATCATGTAAAAACCACTCATCACAATGAAACTACAAAATACATAAAGACAAAATATTAGTTGAAATTATTTCATTTCAACTTTCGTGGTTTGGGAGTGATTCTAGGAAGGTTTTTTTTTTTTTTTTTTTGTCATTGCACTCAGTTCATGTTTATATATTAAAAATGTTATTATTGGAGTTCGAACATTGGTCACTTAAATAAATGAATAAAGAGCATTGTAACCAACTAGATATATTTTATTTATTGTTGTTTCTTATGATTAAACTCTAGGAATATGTTTGGTGATGATGCTTCTATATTTATATTTTATCTTAAGTTATTTATATTTTATAGAAAGAGATTGGTTCTGAAATCGAAACTCAGTAGTATTGATTCAAACATTAATATCAAATTGTATGTTTAATTTAGTTTAGACAAAATGCAGAAGTGTAACCAAAACATGGACCTTTGTGACGAGTATAATCATTTTTTGTGCTAAATCTACACATAATATAATGATAAAATTGGAAAATGAGAGTCTCATTTCAAATTTCGTGGCCTAAGAGTGATTATAGAAAGCTCTTTTACGTCATAGTGTCTAATTTATCTTTATATTATGTATAGATTTGTGACAAAAAAATCACTATATTTGTGACAAAGAATCATGGTATGTGTTCTCATAGTTGGATTTATCGATATCCCGATACCCTGGTCCGATACTTCACTGACCAAGGGTCTGATCATCGTGCCATCCTTCTCGCTGATAAACCTTACACCAGGAACTCTCGCCCTTTGTTCCGATTTGATGCGCGGTGGGCGGAGAATCCGGAGGTCAGGGCGATGGTCAAATATGTCTGGCAGGAAGAAATTCATGGGTCACCGATGTTCCAGCTAAGGGAACGCCTGAAAAAGCTCCGTCATCTTCTGTATGATTGGAGTAGGGAGGGTACTACGAACTCCTTGCGTAATATTCATACGCTCCAGGCTGAAATTGAGAGGATAAAGCAGGTCCATCCTATTGATTGGGATGCGATTCGCCCGTTGGAGCTGGAACTTACTCGACAATGGGAGGCAGAGGAAATATATTGGCAACAAAAATCTAGAGTTCATTGGCTCAAAAAGGGTGATAAGAACACTTCTTACTTCCATACTGTTACTAGAGCTCGGCGAAAAAGAAACTTTGTGGAAGGTCTTCGCAATGAAAATGGAGACTGGGTCACGGAGGAGGTTGGTAAGGCAGACATTGCCTGTGGTTTTTACAAAACCCTTTTTACCTCGGAGACCCAGGTTGGGAATATGTGGGATAGAGTGGCAGATTTGCCCATTGCCCAGAGTATTACACCCGATATGAATGCTAGTCTCACTGCAGAGGTCCTTCCTGCAGAGGTGCGCAAAGTGGTGTACTCAATGGGATCGAAACAAGCCCCAGGTTCTGATGGGTTTACAGGCAAGTTCTTCAAAGCCTTCTGGGATATTGTGGGCACCTCGGTGGTTGAAGCAGTCTGCTCGTTCTTTCGGACAAGTAGGATGCTTCGTAGCTTCAATCACACCTGGTTGACTCTGATTCCCAAAGTAGATAATGTGGAGACCATGAAACAGTTTTTTCCTTAATACGATTATTTTAATTTTTGAGATTTAAGGGGGTATTTGATAATGCCAATATTTTAGTGGTTTTTTATTTAAAGTTTGTATTGAAAGATCGTACGTACCGGCAGTTAGACCATAAAACTTCACATCACAGGCTAAATCGATAGGTGACATTTAGGAATATGAAACGATTGAATCACAGTTAAATTATGACTGTAGTATAAAATATTCTTTTTTTTTACGAAACCTGATTTCATTACGAAATAGGAAAATGATACAGAGTTGGACCATGATCCTTGAAAGATAAGAAGTCTAACCTAACCGAAAAGGCGAGCCCAAACAAGACACATAAAATGAAAATCCACCCATAAACACAAAAAATCAGCAAACGCATAAGAGAAAGACACCAAAATCCCACCCCAGCATCCACGGCAACCCAGCCCAAAATAACCAAAAAAACCAAACACACCTTCCACCACAACCCATCCCATAGACAACCCATAGCCCAAAGAAACCAACACCATCAGACCACACCTTGCCGTGGTAGAAACCAACTTTTTTCATACGATTTTACAATTATTTAGTTCAAACAATTCTTTTACAGGGGTGGAACAAAAGTTTTAAGGCACATTTGAATTATCTATTGCAAAAAAAAAAAAAAAGTCAGTTAGCGATAATGAGAATATGCGATCTCATGCAACCCAAAATACACTTTGCCATTTCTATCTTTTTAAAATATATTTATGCAACTCATACTCTTGCTCATTCATCAATTTAATGAGTAACATATATTTTATGTAATATTATTTTCATACGTTTTTATTTATTGAATTATTTCATGATTTTTTTTATGAATGAAAAGTACTATATTGTTGCTAGACATGTATGGGAAGTCCGTACACAACACATTGTCCAACTAACTATTAGCGACATCTTAGCATCATGTCCTATATATTTCAAATCAAGCAACTTCAGATTCATTACCAACAGTGTGGTAAAAAAGAATACTCTCTATCGAGAAAAACTTAAAGGACATACTAAACTCTATTAGACATTTTCTTTCATCCTAAAGGTTGATTATGTATGTATTATGAGAACAACTCTAATATTCAACTATATGGTTTAGATAAGTAACGAATGACAATTAGTTATATTTTTTTCCATTCAATAATTATATGTAATGAATAGATAGAAAACAATCATTTCATGCATTTCCAATCATCTATTATATATCATATATCTCACAAAATTCTTCTGGGCAATGGACCCAGCCCGATGCTAGTATCTAAAATAGGAAAGATGAGAAAGGGCCCTCTAGACTGAATGTGCGCTGGAGGACACACTGGAGGCCTCTTAGAACAAGAAGACCAGTTCTAGCACTCTCGAAAGTCCACCCAAAAGCCCAATCGAATAGCCCAATTCCTGGCTGGTTGCCTCTGACGGGGAACGGGGAAGTGAGGAAAGAAGACTGTCAGCCGACCCTGCCTGGTTAGACAGCGAGCGCTGTCGTCTCATCGTTTTCACTCTTTCGCCATTTTTGACCCCGATCGATCTCTAAATTAAACTGTTGCAGAGGCCGGAGCCCCCCGTCCGTCGGCTGGAAATTCGTCTCCGGTAAATCTTCGATCAAGCTCCTCCAACCTTCGCCTTGCTGCCTTCCGTACCAAAGAAGCGAAGAGGAGAGAGGGAGCAACGGAGGAGCGATGTTGCCTACCTCGTCCAAAGCCAGGGCTTCGTCCTCCGCATCTAGAGCTCAATCCATGTTCCCGCAGTACCTTCGTCGAATTATCAAGGTTTTTCTCCCTTCTCTCTGTCTGGAAAGTTCGTCTCGTTCAAGATCTGATATATCCTGCTCAATTCCAATTCGTCCCTGGAACTATGCCCTGACTAGTTAGGAAGATCTCATTTCGTTAGTTAATCGTCGCAATTGGCGCCCGTAGCCGTGTACATTTAGCGGCTACTTCTTGAGAGTTGTTTGCTTCCTTCATTTGAGAGGGCATTGTAGTTAGAATCTCCGGTTGAATCTGTAATGTTTGGGGGTTATGATTTGTGAACCACGTGAATTCGGAATCTGATTTGATGTCCTCATTTTCTCCCTGAAATGGTGAGCTTTGTGGCTTAGTATGGATGTAATCTCGTATATATCAGGATTCAGGAACTGTGCCACTCTGAGGGGAAGTGGTGTTTTTCGTTTGAGCTATTATTGGTTTCGGTTATCTTATGTCTCTTTGTTCTACTTTGTTTGATCATTCTAGTGGCAACAAATGGACATTGAATACACGTTCTGGCAAATGCTTCACCTATGCACCTCTCCGAAAGTTGTGTAAGTAATCTTCATCGGTTGTTCGATCATTGATATGCCTTTCGTCTTTCTTTCTGTTTCTTCAGTGACTCATTTTGCATTATCGTTCGAAGCAGCACAGCTTAAATTACTTGATATTGAAGGATTTCATACACGCTTTCCAATTTCCTTTTCTTGTTTCCCCCCATCTGCTTCTTATTATTGAGTATTCTGCTATACAGTAGTTAAGATGTAAGGTTTATACCTTTGATAACATCATGGTATTGCTGGAGTCATGAAAGCAGGCGACTGTTAGATAAATTCTGTAGACTTTTTGTTTCACATTTCATGGTGACCATGCCTTGCGATCCTGATTTCTTTTCGTTGTATGGAGTAGAAAAAATAACATGTTTATGACTTTGTCTGTAGTTTGGGGGTTAAACAGACAAGCTGGTCTTATTGATATTGGATTCTAATAAGTTAATCTCATTTGTTTGCATGTGTTGCTGTGTGATGGAAGCAGCTATCAGCACACGAAATACCATAAACGTAAGTTTCTTGTCCCTGTATATCTTATTTGTGCGCATTGGATATTCTTGTTGTTTTTGTGTTAATGATAGCGAGCTGCTGGCATTGAGATTAGCAATAAAGGTGGATTGCTTGGATGGACTTCCTTGACTGCTCTATTGGGTCTCTAAGTGGTGCATTATTGAACAACTGTATGATCAGAATCCTTAGGTGGAGAGATAGTTGAGAATTTGGTTTACTGAAAGGAGAATATGAAGTCAACCTCCCCTCTCCCCAATCATGATTTCATTCGCCAAACCAAACGAAAGGGCTTATTTGAGAATGCTGTTAGCTAGTTCCTAGTAGAAATTATGCCTGTTCATTGTCCTTGTGTATGCATAGAGGAATCAATAGGCTTGTACTTTTTAATTCATGAGTTGCATGAGTTTTCTATCAGAGAGTATCTTCCAATGGTTTTGTTGCATATGCAGTTATTCAAGGAGTAGTATTCTGCATTTACTCCAGGAAATGTAAGATTAAAATGAAAGATTGTTGTTCCATTTTTTTTTTATGTCAGAAACTAAGAATCAATGGGCGCGTGACGATCCTGCTTTTGTTGTAATCTGTAGTCTCCTTCTGGCCGTTGCTACTTTGGCTTATTGTGCTGCGTAAGTTTTTGGATATATTTCTTCCCATTCTTCGCCTCTCCTGATAGGATGAATGTGAAGATTTAACACCATCTTTAGCTTATGATTCCTGATATAGATTAGAAAAACTGTTGCTTAAACTTAGTATTGTAGTTAATTCCCTATGATTTTAATCTAAGTTTGACCTTATCTCTATTTCAGGTATGATCACAGTCCGTCTCATGCTATTTTAGTAGTTATATCAGTATTGCTTTTCCATTTCTTGATTGCGGGCGTGCTTCTGGCTACTTCTTGTTGGTAAGATTATCAATCTACTTTAGCAATTTATTTGATGCTTTCATAGTTATTATCAATTTGGTGAAATTGCAGAAGAAATGATAATTCCTTAAGAAATTTTGTGCTCTGCATGTTCTACAAGTTGATGAAATCTTGCTTCCTTTTAATGGAATTGGACTGGAGACCATAATCTATGAGTTGGAATTTGGACGGACTTAAGACAAAGTTGACAAAGTTTGAATTCTAAGGCCAAACTTGAGACGTGTTTGAATATGAAGTTCTGTTCCTCTGATCTTTAAGTTATTGAGGTTTCCAGCCATTGTAATGTGGTTTAACAAGCAGAGTTACAGACTGTTAGATGAATGGAATTCTATATCCAATAATATTAAACGTGTGTCACTGTTCACATTTTGTTGTGAAGTTACTCACATTTAGTCTGACCTACCGTTACTGTGTTATTGTCCACTGTCCGGATGTTTCATGACTCCTCTTTTCACTGTCTGGGTTGTTTCTCGAGCTTCTGATTGTTGCTCATTAGATCTCATGGCTTTTTGTATGTCAGTGATAAAACCATTCCTGTCTTCTCCCTCAGGTTCTTGACTAACTCATACCTTCGCGAGGAGGCTCCAAATACTCACGTTGTCGAGCAACGGGTAGAATGGCAAGTCTAATCAAATCTGCTCTCTGCTTTTTATATTGACATCTTGTTGCTGACACTCTGTTTTTTCCCCCTTTGTAATTTTTCTAAATTTTGTTCTTTGGTTTGAAGGTTGTATGCATTCGATGTGCACTGCAATTCTTTCTTCCCTATGTTTGTTATGCTCTATGGTAAGCAAGGCCTTAAAATCGTGTTGCTCTAGACCTCTGCCATTTTTTCGGTCCTTAAAACACTAATGATTCACTGCTATGTTCCATGCAGTTATACATTATTTTATGTCACCTCTGTTGGTGGCCCATGGTTTCATACCGGTTCTACTATCAAACCTGCTTTTCATGGTGGCAGCCTCGTATTACCATTACCTCAACTTTCTAGGTTATGACGGTAAGCTGATTTTTGTCGTTCTTGTTTCTAGCCATACTTGCGGGTGAAGAAGAGATACCAAATCAGTTCTACAAATTGGCGAGAGACATTTATTGACGCTAATGATGACCGGCAATATATATTTTGACTGCAGTGCTACCATTCCTCGAGAGAACGACCTTTTTCTTGTATCCAATCGGCGTCGTCATCGTCCTCTCTCCCATTTGTAAGCAAGTTCGATTCTTCCATAGCTAAACTACGTGTCTGCTCTCTTCTGACCATTCCCCGTATTTCATTGTACTCGGCTGCAGTGATTCTAAGTGGATTCAGTCCTTCAAGATACTTCATGAACATGTACTTCAGCCAAAGGCTATGATATACACAAAGCAGCTAACAAGATTTTCGAGGCATTCCGTTAGGTGCGCGAGATTGCATGGAAGTTACGGCGGGGAAGGTATGATTCTTTTCTGTGTAAATGTGGAAACTGAAGGCAAGGCCCCCCTGAATTAGAAAGATCGTTGTAGTGACTCTTTGAAGCAGGAGAGTTTAAATGAAGCACAAAACGGGGTGGCCTGAACTCGTAAGCCGAGTTTTCGTTCCCGTCCAAGGAATTTACGGTTAGTCTGATATATGGTCATATGTAGATCTATGCTGTAATCATTAAGATTATTGGTCAAATTTGGTGGGTTGTTGTTTAGCATGGATATTCCTTCCATCTGAACTTTGGTTCTTGGAAGTGGAAGTTATGCGATCATGTTGCCCCGTTCACTTACGCCTTCTTCACTATTTGAAGTCAATGTGCAGAGTGTTGTGGGTCTTTCCCATTTCGCCTTTGTTTGTTTCCCTGTTGCGGGCTTAGTTTGTCTGTAACTGTAAGTGAACACGCCTGTCTGTAACTATACAAAATATCGTTCAATTATGAACAACAATAATGTACGGCTGTTTCGTGTACCACCATAATCCGCGAGACACTTTCGTATCAAATAACGTTCAAAACAATTTTACCGGCACACTGTTGTCATGTTTGTCATGAGTCGTGACATTACCATTAGATACGTACAAGTTATTTTCTGACCAATTGGCCGGGCTGAAGGCTAGTTTTCTCAAAATGGGATGGTTAAGGTAGCATCAATTTAATCATATTCGAGTTAGACCGCCGGTGACCTCGGCAATAAGTGGACTTTTGCCAAATGCCAATGATCCTCCTGGCCACAAAGCATCAAATGTCGATAAAGACGTCATCTAAGAATTGGACTTTTGGGCCAAAAATGTTCACACTTTTCTTCCGACTAACCGATCCATCCTCCTCCACACATCAACAAGGACCCAATTTGTCTTCGCTGTGAGCCGGCCGGCCAGCTTTCGCCGGTACGAATTGACTAATGAAGGGGGGGAAAAGACGTGGTTCCCATTTATCCACTGCCAGGTGCTCGTTCGTTGTTCAAATTGGTCATGGACCAGCTAGTGGGCGGGGCCGGCGATCTACCTTTCGCCTTCGGAGTGCACAACCACAACTCCATTTCCGACGACCAAATATGTAAACCTGACTTCTGTTTCCATCAACAAAGACCAGTCAAAGGGCGCCCTATCACAAACCCAAAATATCTTTGAAGTTTGGTACTGAATGATGATGCTGGACACTGGACGGCGATTGGCCTGTAAAATATTTTAGGGTTGCAGTCCCCCAGAATACTGAAATTGGATAAATGTCCGTATGTCAAATCGGTTTATACTGTTACACGCTGATGATGTAGCAGGTGATGAGGATCTGATCGTGGTACGATTAGTTTATATGTCGGTTTATTGAGGGTTTTTAACCAAACCATATGAGGAAGCGAGAAACCATAAAACCACCAAATGAAATGTGCATTTGTATAATCTTTAAGACAACAATACTTATAATCTCCATTCATATTTAAAATAAAATGCTATAGTACAAACAAAAACCAAACGAATCATCATATCAAATGCAACATTCAAGATCAATATCCAAAACGCTTATGCTTGAATCCAATAGATATCATCAATATCCGAATGTATATGTTTGAGAATCTGGCAGCTTTCATTTCTTTTGTTAGTTAATTTCACCAAAACGACGTCATTTTATTTATAGACGGAAAAATTAATCGTTTTGGTCTCGCTTGTTTCTTGAATTTGAGTATTTATTTTTTACCGATTTTGATTACCGCTTTATACCAATGACCTTCCACCCGATCATAATTGAATGCAGGATTGTACTGACCGACATATCAGTGGATTAGACAACCATGAAGTAGAGCCTCCTTGCCTATTTATCCAGTTTTATTAACAATTTTAATGGAGAGTGGCTGGCCTGGCACGGCATCCCTTCATTTGTTTTTTTGGGGTCAAGGAAGACTGGCTCCTTGTGGTAGGTAAAGATGCTGATGGACGAAACTTTACCAAAAATCAAAGCCAGACCGGAGAGGATAAATTATATTTTATTTATTCGGAACGAGATAGTATTGTGATTATCATCATCATTATTATATTACACTATTAAATTAATTTGCCATGTGAATGAATACACGTAGTGTTAATAATATAAGATATTAATTTGGTAGCATTTGGTCAACTGGTGGGTTGGGGTTAGAGTTGCACTAACACAAGTACACAACTCGGAACTCTCCGATGATGAATTTCTTATTGATAAAGGAAAAGTTGGTATTTGGTAGAAAGAATCAAAGGAAGGAGGGACGTCGTGGAAGCACAAAACAGAAGTAGGAATTTTTTGTTAGATCGGGTAGGTTCGATTGGCTTCAACCAAAACCCTATCTCCTTGTTGTGTGTTTTATATAATGGGGTTAGGCCTAGCTAGGAAGTAATTTAGTTTAGGGTTCGTCCTCAACGAGGCTATGATTCTGAGGTAGATCACCTTGTTTCAATCTCTATTTACTATAGGCCATGGAGGATTGAAGGTCCTTCATGTGATGTTTGCATCCAACTGCTCGGGGATTCTTGTTTATCATATCTGTCACAATGTAAATTGATTGGTCTCACTGATCTCTTTTTAGTTGACGATCTTTTGATTTTTGACTGAGTGAAGATTTTGCGTGAGAACAAAGGTGTATCCCGTTGCCAAGGAAATTGCTTTACACGGTGTACATATTTCACGGAGGGTTATCTTCCTGTTCGTTACTTCGACCTACCTACCTTCAAATAAGTGGGTTGAGAGGTAGTGATTTTTTGTTACTTTAAAATCGGTTGGATTGTTTGTTGGTCAGTTGTCAGCCTTGTAGTTTGCTTTCGAGACTTAACCGTATATTTGATCAAGGGAGTTTAATAAAACCGCTAATTGCTGGAAAACCAACCCGATGAAAAATAACATCCAACAACCCATAAGATATCTATTAAAGCATCTCCATTAATACAATTGGAAATTCAATTGCGTAGGTTATATTTATTGCCAACTCAACAATTATGCAATCCTACTCATTTAAATTTAATTGTAATTACATCAATGCAATTCACTTGCAATTGCAATTAAAAAAAAATAACACACCTAAAATATATTTTATATTATTTAAATAACATTAAAAGAATAAAAAAGAAAGAAGCCAAAATCCACCAGCCAGCCACGTTGAATTGCATATAGACTTTCATTATATAAACTGCTTGCAATTAGCAGTTCATGCATCATTGATATTCACTTTGCAATTGCAACTTCCATACCCACGTCATAATCAAAGTGAATAATGATAGCCGGTGTGCAGGGACGGAGCCAGGATTCGAACTTGGGGGGGGGGGGGGGGGGGGGGGGGTCGAAAATTTTTATTCGTATTACCGTAAGAGGCATAAAAACACAAAAATATAATTCAAACTTTAAAAAGAGTACTTTTAATCATCAAAATTGCCCAAGACACTTTTTTAAGACAATTAGATTTACTTCAAACACGATTTAAGACAAATAAATTATCATGTCATTTTGACTATAAATGAGTTAATTACCAACAAAATTAATAATACATTCCAATACCTAACATGTTTCATGATTTTTATAGTTGAAAAATCAATGTGTACAATCTATTACAAGAAAAATTAACTCATTGTATATTCAAAATAGTCCTTAAAACATGTAATGCAAAGTTTACACCATTTTCTAGAGCTAAAAATGAAAAGAGAAAAAAACTCATTATATATACTCAAAAGAGTCCTTAAAACGTGGAATGCAAATTTGAAGAACTTAATTGATTTTAAAATTGAATTTTCGTGCCAAGTACAAGTAGAAAACAAAAAAGGGTAACATATGTCTGTCATTAGCATCAAACCAGCATTCCCATGATTGTATAAGCATGTCCTTCCGTTAGGCTGCACTAGTAAATGTGTTACAATTAGCAACTACTTTCTTATGTTTTACTTTCTGTTTATACATAATTTTCAAAAATCACGAACAACTTACACGTAACTTTCGAAATTCTGGGGGAGCCATAGTGTAGCTCCGCACCTCCGGTGAGGGTGCCCTTAGTGATTTACAAGATAGTTTTGATAATAATCCATGGAGTTTAGTCAACTATGGCATCTGAATATTGAATATGATATGCCTTCGATTTAACACCACCTCACGTTTACTATTATTATTATCCCCCTTTCTCCACTTCACGTCTCTGTCGACCAAATGACCATTTGCCCACAAAGTTGGCACTATTTCACTGTCACACACCAAACAGCCACTATCCTTAAACAAACATATACCATAATACCAATAGTAATGAAAACATACCGTATCAGCCCGATTTTCATCGACATAAAATAGTTGAATCATGATTAAATCACAATTTGAACACACAACATATTATCATTCACTTTTGTATGCAACTTTTGAACCGGGATATGCAAATAAACCAGTTCCCATCTCAGTAGAATCCAGAATCTCAACGCCATTGGAAATTTTCATTCTTTATTTGATCACCACTGCAAGCCAATATTGCTTCCATCATCACACCAGACCAGATCACAAGATAGATAAAAGATAGAAACAAAGACAATACAATGTAATTGATTGACGATTCTTCTTAGTGGGTCAGTGAGTTCCCTGGGACTCTTCTCTCTCTCTCTCTCTCTCTCTCTTCACTGCTGGAGAAGCTTGCTTCCGGCGACATCAACGACGAACCTATACCTCACATCATTCTTCTCCAGCCGCTCCAAGGCTGTGTTCACGTAGTCCATATTCACAACCTCAATCATGGAGCTCAAGCCTTTCTCCTTGCAGAAATCCAACATCTCCTCTGTTTCCTTCATGCTGCCTATGAAGCTCCCCGTTATCACCTTCCTCCCTGCAATAATCACAAAACCCATCAATAAGGGGAAGCTTTAACCCATTTATTCTGCCAATCACCGGCTAATTCGTGTGTGCTAGAATCAAAGGCGGAATCTTTATGCTGATTTGTAATTTCCTCCTTACCTAGCATGACCATGGGAGAGATGAACTGAAGCGGGGTGTTGATGACACCCATCAAGATCAATTTCCCGTCAACCTTCAACAAGGAAAGGTAGGGCTCGAGCGGGTGGTTTACAGGCACGGTATCGATGATGTAGTCGAGGGAATCAGCAACTTCCTGCATCTTGGCAGCATCGGAGCTGACCAAATAGTCATCAGCTCCAAGATGATCCAACGCCTCCACTCTCTTCTTGTCGGAGGAGCTAATTACAGTGATATGATGACCCATCGCCTTGGCGATTTTCACTCCCATGTGGCCGACTCCTCCCAGCCCCAATATCCCACCTCTCAGCCCGGGTTTCTTCAGCCCGAAGTGGTTCAGCGGGCTGTAAACTGTGACTCCAGCGCACAGCAGCGGCGCGGCTTGCTCCGGCGACATCCCGTCAGGGATCTTCACCACAAATCTGAGGGGAAAGGGAATAAAGCCAAAAGGGGGGTCAAAAAGAGGTGGAATTGTTCTGCTAGACATTCTATCGAACACCTTACGGGCGACTCACTTCTGGTCGACTACCATGGACTCGGCGAAGCCGCCTTGGGTGGGCTTCCCGTCGGTGTAGACATCGTTGTAGGACCAGATCTTCTTGTTGCAGTACTGCTCGATGTCGGAGTCGCAAGCCATGCAGCTCCGGCAGCAGCCGACGAGACACCCGACGCCGACGACGTCCCCTGCACTGAACTTGGTGACTTCAGATCCCACCTCCACCACCTCACCGATCACTTCATGGCTGGCAAAAAATAAGAATCACCCAGATGATAAACAATCGATTCCGTTCATGGGCTCCCTTCAATTCAATCAATTTCTCTGTGTTGGGGGGTCAAAGGCTGGTCTTTTAAATTCTTACCCAGGAACCATGGGGTAGCGAGACATGCCGAGGTCATTCTTCACTTGGTGGATGTCTGTGTGGCAGACTCCGCAGCACATCACCTTGATAAACACATCTTCTGGGCCAGTGTTCCTGCAAAAACAGAAGGGGAAGAAAGAAAATCAAGAACAGATTCGCTGAAGAGAAAAGGGAAGAATTGGTAAGAGAGTTGTGAGGGAGAAGACGGGCAAAAACCTGAGAGTGAAGGTGTAAGGAGAAAGATGGCCGGAAGGGTCGGTTGCAGCCAAACCCACGATTGTTCTCTCCTTATCAATGCTACCCATCTCCGCAGATTGCCGAGAAATTACTGCTAATGGATTAAAAACAGAGAGAAGAAGAAAGGAGGAAGTGGGAAATGGGGTTGGAATGGCAGAAGATTGGGAAGTGGAGGAATTGGATTTTATAGAGAAAAAGGAAAAGAATAAAGAGAGATGATTGCTTGGCGGTTCGTGAGAAGGTTGAAATACAAGCAAAAATGGGGAGTTGGTAATGGACTCTGTCTCTCTGTGTCTGTGGTGGTAGGTGAAAATGGCGATTGGGCCCTTTTTTCCCCCAATCATCTCCTTCCATGTCGATCGATGTGTTTAGGTGGTATAGTTTAGCCACAGTTATCAAAAGGTATTCCTGTCATTTTGATCCTCCTTTCCGAGGATGGTAAAGAAAATGAAGAGGTTGAAATTTGTTTTTGGAGGGGGTGAGAAAATGAGATGAATAGTGGAAGGAAACATAAATGGTAAAGGAAGTTAAAAGATATTTAATTTTTAATGTAGTGGTAAAAATTATAATATAGTTTATTAATATTACATTATTAATATTTTTTTTTTGTCAAAAGATACTTCTATCACCTAGGCCAAAGAGATACAATGTTCAAACTTTATTACAAGCCAATCAGAAAAATAAAATCAAATTATAGAGTAAGGGAATAAACAGATGACATATTTAGCCATCAAATGAGCTATTTTATTACTTTTGTTAGTTATTTCTTAGGAAAAAAAATATTTACAAAACATTGTAAATTGGAAAGAAAAAAATTGCCACAAAATCTGATGTTTCAAAATATGTTCAGAAAAAATCATAGAAAATATATGTACACAAAACACATTTTCAGTTCTTACGGCCTTCAGTCAGATGGAGGCATGGAGCAGCAACTTTTTGGGCCTTTGTGAAACAAAAGCCCGGTATGATTATAAAAGGAGGTAGGCATAGCCGCTCAGTCAGAGTAGTTTGAAGGCCTGTTTTTAGAAAGGCCCAAAGAAACAGAACATCCGACACCGTTTCAACAAGAATTAGGCGTAAGCCAGAGAAAGCTGGACTCCCGTTTGACAGAGGTCTGTCACGGCCTTACTCTTGGTCGTGCGGCCCTAGCTCTCAATTCCGTTAGAGATGCTAGGCAGCCTTCTCACAAGCTCTCAAACTCACTCAACTCACAAGAACAAGACACAAGAAGATGGGAGAAACTCTATAGTTGTATTGCTCACAAAAATGATGGATGAGTTACAAGTGAGGGAGATGGCTCCTTATATAGGCCTCTCCTCATACAAGGCATCAATGCCCCTCATAATGTCCCTCTACTACATCAATACACCCATTAAGTTCCCCCCCCCCCCCATTATGCACTCTATAAATGTCACCCATTATGTGACTCATAAGTGCACCATTAAGCTCTCATTTAGGTGGAGAATCCTAGGAGCATCTCTATGCTACTAGTCTTCCATACACGCCACATGTGCAGCCGCCATGTTGTCACCTTGTTGGCGCCATGTCATCTGCCACATGTGACATCCTCCCCCACCTATGCTCATGACGCCCTCGTCGCGTCCTTGCTACGAAATGCCTCCTTCGACCTCGAGCAGCCTCTTTCGACTCTTGAGCCTCGTTGGTGACATTCTTCTCCACTCAATCCACGACGCCCTCGTCGTGGCTCTTCGGCAGACGCCTCCCTTGCCTTAGCTTCATTGCTTGCAAGGTCTCGTTGCACCTTCCTCCAAACCAAGGATGGCCTTGGCTCGCTCTCGAGCCTTGTGCTCCCATGATGTTGCTCACTCCTCCGCGGTCTTCTCCGTCGCGTCTTTGAGTGTCCCGCCTTCTCGATCATGGTGGCCTTTCCTTGCTTCTCTTGGCAAGTCGAAGATGATACATCCTCGTCTCTCATGGCTCCACGATGTTGTGCACTCCTCCTTCTCGTCCTTCTCCAACGAGTCTTCAAGTGAGTCTCTGCCTCCACCATCGTTGCCACTTCTCGCTGCTCTTGCCTTGCCAAACACCTCTTGTTTGACTCGAGTTGCTCTCTTGTCATGGGAACCGATCTTGCTCCGCCATTGATGCAGAATCTATTGGCGTAGGGAATTGGGAAAGCTTTCTCCCGCACCATGAACTCCGTGCCGATGATGACCTGATAATCATCCAACGACACAACCTCAAAGTCCGCCACCCCGGTCCATCCTCCAAGCTTGAGTGGCACTTGGCGCGCTACTCCATGAGTTCTTGTGGCCCTTGAGTTGGTAGCCTTCATCCACCCTCTTTGCTTCTTCTCGTACGTGATGCCTAGCCTCTGCGCTTCACCTACGTCAAGAAGGTTGCAACTTGCCCCAGTATCAACCAAGGCTTTTGTTTTCCTTTGGTTGAGCTTCGCCTCTACGAAGCATTGGCCGTGCTGCTCGGGTTGGAGAGGCTCTTCCGCCCGCTTGATGGCGCTCAATCTCTTCATGCAACCCATCTTCGCGACATGGGGCTCCACTCTTGGAGTCTCCTCTGCTTCCTCTTCCGAGCTCGAGCACTCTGCCAGTACGGCCTTCATTGCCGACAACTTGTGCTTTCTTGGGCAATCTCTCACACGATGTGGACCATCACAAAGAAAGCAAGTAAGTGGTTTCTCAACCTTATTACTACCTCCTTGGTCCGGTCTACCACGCCTTCGTGTGTCTCTATCATAGTCGCGTCCACCTCCATTGCCTCCGAACTCCGCACGTTCCTCCGGCTCGTGGTACTCGACTAGGGACTCGGCAATCGCCATTGCCTCGGCAAGACTTTGCACGCCTCGCCGTTGTAGCTCCAACTTCGCCCATGGTTGGAGGCCGTCAAGGAAGGTGAACATGGCCTCCTTGTCGGTGTAGTCGGGGATCTCGAGCAACAATTCAGAAAACTCTTTCACATACCCTCGAATCTCTCCTTCGTGAGCAAGCCTCCTTAGTCTCGACCGGGCTTCAAACTCAACATTCTCTGGGTAGAATTGCCTCTTGATCTCCCTCTTGAAGTCATCCCATGACTCCATCACGCACGCCCCTTTATTGATATCGCCTTGGGTCCTTCTCCACCACAGCATGGCAACATCACTCAAGTAAAGAGGTGCAGTTTTTACCATGGTATTCTCATCTCGAATACCCGAAGCTTCGAAGTATTGATCCAAGCTCCATAGGAAGTTCTCTAACTCCCTTGCATTCCTCGACCCTTGAAAGCTCTTTGGTCTAGGAATCTCCATGGTTGAGGTAGGTTGTGCGATGGCAGGTCCGTTAGCCATGGCTCTCTTCACGAGAGTGACCTCACTCTTGAGGTCTGCAATCTCCTCCTTCACGCCGACCAGCTCAGCCTGGACATGCTCTTTCACAACTTCAATGGCGTTGTTCAAGGATGTGTTGATGGTGTTGTTGATGAGGGCCACAAGCTCTTCTCGTAAGCCATCATTACCAATCTCCAAGCTCGACAAACGAGCATTCATACCTTGAAAATCGCTTTCGACTTGGGTGAAGTTTGCTCCCAAATCCTCGATGGCACTGATGTCTTCCGCCAACTTCACCTTCATTCTAGAGACACGCCTCTCTAGAGACGTCATAGGATCACGAGTGCTTGACTTGTCACCCTTTGGTTTGGGATTCTTCACGGTATCCCTTCCACGGTGCCTCTCCGCATCGTCGTGGACTTCTGATCCAGTCATCTTTGGTGAGGCTCTCGCTCTTTCTTATCTTCCTTCTTGGGGAGTGAGGACATCGGTTCTTCTTTCAGAACCAGGCTCTGATACCAACTGTCACGGCCTTACTCTTGGTCGTGCGGCCCTAGCTCTCAATTCCGTTAGAGATGCTAGGCAGCCTTCTCACAAGCTCTCAAACTCACTCAACTCACAAGAACAAGACACAAGAAGATGGGAGAAACTCTATAGTTGTATTGCTCACAAAAATGATGGATGAGTTACAAGTGAGGGAGATGGCTCCTTATATAGGCCTCTCCTCATACAAGGCATCAATGCCCCTCATAATGTCCCTCTACTACATCAATACACACATTAAGTCCCCCCCCCCCATTATGCACTCTATAAATGTCACCCATTATGTGACTCATAAGTGCACCATTAAGCTCTCATTTAGGTGGAGAATCCTAGGAGCATCTCTATGCTACTAGTCTTCCATACACGCCACATGTGCAGCCGCCATGTTGTCACCTTGTTGGCGCCATGTCATCTGCCACATGTGACAGGTCCCACGGGTTGAGTCCGCAACAGATAGTGCATATTTGTTACTCTTGCCTAAAGTAATTCGGGTTTTATCCATACCCATACTATTACGTGTATTTCTCCGGTGAGACCATCACGTAACGTGCGTCGTTAATGTTGAAAGATATTTGTAAGAAAGAGAATTAGAACGAAGAGAATATTCAGAGGAACGAAGATAACTACAACTACTATTGGATTCCAATCTTCAACATACCATTAAACGAAAGACCAAATACATATTTATAGGCATAGAAGCCTCTACCTTCTCCTATCTAGAATATGACTTCTACTCCTATAAGAAAATAACTAACAACAACCAAATCCTATTTAGACAAAGAAACTAATAATTAAGACAATTAATAATTAAAATACTAAATAATAAAATAACCAAGCCCAGATCGAGGCCCAACAGTTACGATGGCTTGATTCTCGTAACACATACCACAGAAGAATCAGGATGAAAATGAAAACCAAGTCCATACCAGTTCGGGGTTCCGGGCATCCATATGATTATCCATGGGTAATAACTTCTCTTTATAACTCCAACCAACATGTTAACATTCACACTTATATTAACATTACAGAAGAGAAAAAGTACGACAATAAAACACTAGACTGAATTTTTTAAATTAAAAACAACACTATTTCATGAAAATATTATATTTGTATGCTAAATATAAAATATGTTGATAAAAGTAATGATCAATCCTCGACAATGCATGTGTATCATGCTCTGTGTGTGGTGCTGGGGGGGGGGGTTTCGGATTTTATAGTGGGAAAATCATGCTCACCACCCAGTACCCGCAATATTATATTCACGGTTTCAAATATTTTTGCCTTCCCTAAAGAGGCACAAATAAGATTCCTACGCTCCATTGGGCCAAAGAACTGCGCCGAGGTAGGCCTGCGGTGTAGGGGTGGCAGTTCGGTTATTTCGGTTATGACCGGTAACCGATTGGTCGGTTATCGGTTAACCAAAATAATCACTCCCCCTACCAAAAACCGCCCGAAATAGGCTTTGGTGTCTCGGTTATCTCGGTTATCGGTTAACCGAACCACTTTTAAGATAAAAAACCATTTCATCCAGCCTCCGATAACCGATTGAAGTTCGGTTAGTTTGGTTATCGGTTAGTGGATAACCAACCAGTTATCGGTTGAACCGGATATTAACCGATAACCGATCGACCACCCCTACCGTGCGGTGGGCGAAAACTAGGAGTCCCCTGAGAATGGAAGAACCTTGGATGAGACTTGAGAGTGCCTTTTGTGACTCTGTACGTTCCATTTCAGTTGACTTTGAGAGGTTTAATTCCGAGTGAGCTACGTACGAAGGTGACAAGGCAGGCAGAAACCATATATACAAAGTCAAATGTTAGTTCTTCTTCAACCGCTAGCTTAGGAGCAACATGCAAATGCATGAATCTTTGGTTCCACGACGGCCGGGTCGGCTGATTTCCATAAACTAGCAATGTGGCTGGCACATGGGAGAATGAAGCAGTGGGGGAAATGCAGAAAATTGGCACCAGTTTCTTGATCTTTGGCACTTTCAACTAACTGTCTAGATTCTTTTACTAATCTGGACTTGTTTGGAAGATTTCGTTTTCGTCCAAACCCACCAACTCCATTAATATTAGCCTGAACACAGTAATTCATTCTCTTTTAGTTTTCATGGATTGATGAGTTCTCTGTACGTGGGAATTGTGTATTACTAGAAAGAAAGAAAAAATTACAGATTTGTTTCAAGGTTGTCCTTCTCTCTACTAAATTAATCAAGTGGTGGATCATTAGTATGCCAGCTTTACTTTTTCTCTTAATGATATCTTGTAGTTAGTGATTTGAGAAACTCGCAACTCATGAGCAATTTTACTATGCTATTTAAAAACGTATTGCTGTTTTAAAGTATAATTTTAAATTGTATCGTAACGTTAAAGATACAATTTGAAGTTGTATCATAAAGAAATTTGGCCTTCATGTTATGGTATAATTTCAAGTTGTATCATAACATAAAAGTACAACTTTAGTTTGTATCATAAAATGATTTTACAAAAAAGTATAGGTACAACCTAAAGTTGTACAAAAAAAATTAAATGTACAATTTCAACATGAACCACAAAGGCAAAAACTAAAGCACCAATGCTTTAAAGCATGATAAAATTCCTCCATAACTCATATGCGAGAACCCATATCATAGGCATTGGTGTGAAGGTTTGAACAATAACTACACAAGAGAAGGCATGAACAACAACGTGGTTTGGAAGTTGCGATTGTTAAATAGATGTATTGTTGTGTATGAAATATTATACATGTATTGTCGAAAATTTGATGCATTGTAAATACAACGTACATTTGGTATGTGTGATTGTGTATGTCACGTCGCTGAGACAAAACAATCTCAAATCAACAATCACAGCTAAAAACCGAGATATAACAATCACACATTTTGAGTGATAGTTTCTGTCACATCACAAAAACAATACATGTGTTATTTATGCTAAAAATAAACTATGCATTCTAAAAAAATACATGTATATAGTAATAATCTCAGCAAAACAATCGCAACTTCCAAACGATCCCTTTAAAGAAACGAAAAGAATTTGCATCGATCAGATAACCGAGTTGTGGGCAAACAAATTAAGTTACAAAAACATATACGAACGAGAGCAAGAAGTTGACAGGTGTCATCATTCCCTATACTAATGCACCGTATCAGAACTTCAGAGGTAAACGTACTAGACCGAGACTAGAATTAAAACGGATGACGAACATCCAGCAACGGTTCTCAGTTCTCACAGATGGACTATGAGCAGTTGGATTGCCAACAATCCAACATCCGAGCATATACAACTCCCTCATTTCTATATTGGAAGAAGGAAATCTAAAACCTTCCTTCTCTTTTGTTCAACTGTCGTTGATGCTTACACATGCATGGTGTCCAATTTCTCTAGGAAACCAAACTTGGGGGAAGAAGCCTCTTAAGAAACTCTACCTCTATAAATACGCCACCTGGCCTTTCTCCCCCTCCTACATAACCAGAATAACCAACTCAACCAAAAAAAAAAAATCCCACCAACACCTTCTCAAGAATGGCTGCACTCATGATGCCAAATAAACCCATCTTCACTTTCTACTGCTTACTTCTACTGCTCATCATTCTTCCCACCGACGCACGGCGCCCGACGACGACGGCGGTCGAGGAAGCCGGCGCCGGGAGCCTGGCGAGAGCAGAGGCGGACAAGTCGGGGCCGAGCCCTGGAGTAGGGCACAAGCATGGCGAGAGGAGTAATAAGGTGAAGAGAAGGACTGCCACCATGCTTGGTGGACAGGCCAAAGATCACTCGGGTCCTAGCCCCGGCGAGGGACATTAATTAGTGCAATTATTTAGTTGGCTAATTGGTAATTAGTGTGTTGCTGGATGATGATAATGGAATATTTAATGGTACACTATGTAGGATGGTGATCATATATAAAGGGAATAGAGGGGAGGTACTAAACATTACGAATTGGATGGTTGTCAAGTTGTAAACCAATAGTTGCGCATAATGATATATCGTATAATACGCGGTCAGATTGATGTACTTCTGTAATACATATCATATGATATATTGGATATTTCTAGAGAGATATTTATAGTACTTGTGTCATGAATTAAACTGAGTTTGGAATATAATATTATATCTTCACCTCAAAATGTATAAACTCCCGATCCCGTTTATTTGAACTCAAAATCAAACGTTATTTAAAAAAAAACGTAATTACCGAAAATTCTCATTCGTCAAAGAACAACGAAGTGCAATAGATGACTTGGAGTATAGTACACTGTGAGTTACCTATAGTACATGTTTACGCGCGATATGTTAATTACCCAAATCCAAAGTCTGGGCCTTTCTCTTGTTTTTCTTGTTCACTTTCATTTCTATTCCGCGGCCCATGGTAGCTCTTTTGTGCGGGCTGACCCTTGAATATTGTTTGGGTTTGATTTGACAAATGGGTTGGGTCACTGCAGGAGTTCGAGAATTGTCCATTTCTTATATGGGATTTTCTATAATGCTGATGTGGTAATCTTTTGTTTTTGGTTATAATTTTGGTGATGTTGGCCGGAGAAAGCTAGGTGGTGGCGGCCCAACGACTTCTTGTCCTAATCCAGCAGTGAAGGTCCGCCTTGGATGAGGGTCATCTCGTGACAACTGGTAGTAGTATCAGGGTCAAGAATTGAACAACAACGTGATAATGTTGATGGAGGATGAGCTTGCTAGTTGTTCATTGCTAGGAGAATTTTGTACTCAAATTGATGAACTTGTGTATTTTTAGTGGATACAGATGCCTATTTTCAATTTTCACTATTTTATCTCTTTCAAATAGTTTTGTATTAGTTGTAATTTAGTATACGAATAAATAAATAAGAAATTTTGTGTTTTCTCTTTTCGATTCAATTGTTGTCATTTATTGTTACAAAAGATATATTTAGGAAAAAATTTAAAAGACGTTACTATTGAGAAGCGACCTAAAAGCTAGAATAGAAGCAAATTTATTTGCCTCAAAAGGACACCTATTAGATGCAAATAATTCTACCTCTATAGAATTTTACAGAATCAAATACAATGGACTCAAAATCATACATATTTGTCTCTAAAAGTATTTAACAAGGCACGAGGATATGCTCTTAAAAGTAGAAATGGTATCAAATAAATTTGCCTCAACTTTCATAATTAGTAGCAATTATTATTTGTTTCTACATTTGTCTCTAAAAGGAATTAGAGAGGGAAGCGTCCGATGCAAATAATCTATCTGTCTCAATAGACGTATAGAAACAAATAAATGACTTTTAGAGATAAATAACCTTTGTCTCTAAAACCAGATTTTCTTGTAGTGCTTCTGTGGTACATATGATATATTGGGTATTTCTAGAGAGAGATTTATACTTGTATCATGAATTAAACTGAGTTTGGAATGTAGTATTATATCTTAACCTCAAAATGTATAAACCCCAAATCCCGTTTATTTGAACTCAAAATCAAACATCATTTGAAGAAAGCACCGAAAATTCTCATTCGTCAAAGATGAAAGAACAACGAAGTGCAATAAATGACTTGGAGTATAGTACACTGTGAGTTACCTATAGTACATGTTTAGGCGCGATATGTTAATTACCCAAATCCAAAATCTGGGCCTTCTCTTGTTTTTCTTGTTCACTTTCATTTCTATTCCACGGCCCATGGTAGCTCTTTGTGCGGGCTGACCCTTGAATATTGTTTGGGTTTGTTTTGACAAATTGGGTTGGGTCACTGCAGGAGTTCGAGAATTGCCCATTTTGAACTTGTTTTGAGGCGGGTGTCGGGCATTTTTTATTTCTGAAAATGCCAGATATATGGGAATGTTTACTCTCATTATTGAGTCGACTTATCAACGTTGTGAAATGGTTCTGTGTGGTGTGTTGAAATCCAAAGCCTAATAGAGGTAAATGATCCAGATTCTGGGCCACTTACAAATAGGGATAACAATTTTTGTCCAAGTAGATGGGTATGAGTAGAGTTTGATGAGTTTGTACCCATACTCATTTACTTGGATTGGGTTGGGTTTTTAACAAATGGATTTGGGTTACCCATGCTCAAATGCAAATTATAATTTGGTATCTAAATTTTATAGATATGTATATTTGGTACCCGATTTTTTTTGCATATAAATCCTCAAAATATTGATGAAAAATTACATTTTAGTACCTAAATTTTTTTGTCATACATTTTGATATCTAAACTTTTCAAGTTTTACAAATAGATCCAATTTTTGTATGTGTAGTTAAAACACTCTCAAGAAAATGGATATCCACACCTTACCCAAACCCATGTGCACTTCACCCATACCCAATCCCATTACAAATGTGTCAACTTGAGTTTGGATATAATTACCCATGGGTGGGTAATTGCCATCCCTACCTAGCTACAAGCGATACGCAAAAGGGAATATGATAAGAGCGTGAAATTCGGAACAACAAAACTTACAAAATGTAGTATCTTACCACACCTGATACGAATCATGTCGTCATGATACGCGTGATATATGATTCGTATCCGGAGTGTTCAGATACTGATTGATCAGCCCCCTGAATTTTATACCGTAGCTCATGCCGTTTAAAGGCTATACAAACGACAAACGTCATCTATTGACCTGCAACTGCTAGGATTCAGGATATACGGCTAAATGCTAATGCTTGTTGCTCCATGTTGATAAAAAACACTCCCAAGAATATTCGGATTTCGTTATCGATATTGCACTCTCTCGAATGCATACAAGTAGTCCCGACAAGTAAAAGTTTCGGACTTTCTTGTCACGAAGCCTGCCTAGACAATCGAAACTGAAACATTCAACCACAAAAAATGCTAACGTACAATATAGCCGTCGCCTTCTCATCGTCAAATTACGTGAACAAATTTGATAACGCCACACACCATTTTTCAGGCGATGGTGATTGATGTCTGATGAAGCGCAATAGCGGTTTGAATTAGGAGACATATGCAACAGACAGAGCTACATTAGAAAAGGTCTTGTTGGTTTTAATTACGTTGTCGATTCTTACAAGGAATTGAAGTTTTATCAATTCGCTGCTCTGTTTCGTTTTTCTATAGCTGCGGTCGAAAGCGAAAGGATTAATTCACAGGAAAAGGAAAAGATAACAAACAATATTTCTTTGAACAGGGCAGACAAGGCCTTTGTTCCCAAACCGGCAAATTAGTTCCCGCTGCCGTCTGATTACTTGACGTGCATGACCACCGACGACCAAGACCTAAATCAATTATAGCTATTTGCATGGCTTGTTCAAGAAAATGAGTCATTGATTCAATTTGTTCCACAAAAAACACATCATTTAATAATACTGCGGTCAATTCAAAGCGATGCAAAACCGCGCAGTTCAAATTTTCCGATCCCAATTGTTGCAATCCTCATTTCGTGTTGCCGAACGAGGTTATTTGAACGAATTACTACATTTCGAAGCAATCGGGCCACAATAGACGTTGCAGAGGAGGCAATTGTCAAGAAATTGATTAGTCCCAACTCCCAATATATAACTCAATCTGTTGGAAGATGTTCGATAATGGATCTTATACCACATAAAAAAACGTTTTCCTTAAACGAAAGTCACTAGCATGCGTTTGAAATTTGTACGTGACAAGAATATATACCATGTCCTTGACAAATGATGTCCCCGAGAATCGAGCAGAAACAACTAATTGATTACAGAATGCGCTCTGATACTATGCATGTAAAGAACTAATTCATCCCAATATATAAATCGAGAGGGGTCGAAAACAGATTGAATAATATTATATTGTTAATGTATTTGCGTTTAATGTCTTGTGCATTTAAAACAAACTCGTGTTATGCAGCTTATGTGGGGCTTTCCACGCCAATCCTTTTTCATTTTTTCACGTGAAACCAGGTCCTAGCCTCCAACCCTACCCTTATATATATATAAATACAAACAATTACCCTCCACCCGACCTCCAACCCATAAAACCCAAAAACCATATCCCTATAATTCTTCATCAACCTCACAACCCTAACAACACCAACAAACAACAACAATGGCCCCGCCGGCGCCGGAGCCTCCCCTCCACGTCATGCTCGTCTGCTTCCCCGGCCAGGGCCACATCAACCCTTTCCTCCGCCTCGCCAACCTCCTCGCCTCCCACGGCCTCCGCGTCACCTTCACCATCAACCTCTCCACCGGCCGCAAAATGAAATCCCTCCCATCCTCCCAGTGCCGAAGTCAGGAGTTGAAATTAGGTATATCCTTTTTTTTCTAGAGCATACGAATAGGGATATCACATATAGTAAAATAAATCAATTAACAATAAGTGAGATTTAGTACATTTGAAAAAAATTTCGATCCTTTACACATGTATATATAGGAAAATTCCTAACGATTTTATCAAAACTTACACGTGTGTCCCGTGACAGAGCCCAACACCTCCTCCTCCCACTCCGGCGCCGTCCACTTCGACTTCTTCGACGACGGCCACGACGAGGAGTCCATCAAGCGGGTCCCACTCGACCAGCTCATGACCCTCCTCGAACAAACCGGTCGAAGGGCCCTACCCGAAATGGTCCGAAAGTACGCCGAACAAGGATCCCCGGTGTCGTGCTTCGTCAGCAACCCGTTCCTACCCTGGGTGTCCGACGTGGCAGCCACGCTGGACATCCCCTGCGCCGTCCTCTGGATCCAATCCTGCGCCTCCTTCACAACCTACTACCACTTCCACAACAAACTCGCCGAGTTCCCGACTCCCGAGGACCAGGAACGCGACGTCGTTCTGCCCGGGATGCCCAGACTCAAGCACGACGAGATCCCCAGCTTCCTTCATCCAACGACGCCGTATGGGTTCCTCGCCACCGCGATTCTCGGCCAGTTCGCCCACCTGGACAACGTGTTCTGCGTGCTGATGGAGACTTTTGAGAGACTGGAGGAGGAAATCATCGGCCACGTGTCGAAATTTTGTGAGGTGAGGCCCGTGGGCCCGCTCTGGCTTGGGGCTAAGGCTTCTGTTGGGCCGGGGGATTTAATGGAGGCGGATGACGACTGTATAGGGTGGCTGGACAGGCAGGAACCCACCTCGGTCGTGTACGTGTCGATGGGGAGCATCGTGGGGATCTCGGCCCAGCAACGGGCCGAGATGGCCTACGGGCTGATGGGCTCGGGCCTTCCTTTTTTATGGGTGGTCCGGCCCAGTCACGACGAGGGTGAAGATGCCAACCTAGGCATGCCCGAGGGGTTGGGGGAGAGGGGGAAGGTGGTTAGGTGGGCCCCGCAGGAGGCGGTGCTGGGACACGTGGCGGTGTCATGCTTCGTGACGCACTGCGGGTGGAACTCAACGCTGGAAGCGATCGGGAGCGGAAAGCCCGTGGTGGCTTTCCCGCAGTGGGGGGACCAGGTGACGGACGCGAAGTTTCTCGAGGAGGTTTTTCGAGTCGGGGTGAGGATAGGGCGGGGGGACACGTGGACGAAGCTCGTTACGAGGGAGGAGGTGGAGAGGTGTCTGAGGGAGGTGACGGTGGGCCCACGGGCGGCGGAGATGAGGGAGAACGCGACGCGGTGGAAGAGGGAGGCGGAGGCTGCGGTGGAGGAAGGAGGGTCGTCGGAGAGGAACGTGAGGGAGTTTGTGGAGGAGGTGAAGAAGAAGAGTGTGGAGATGATGACTAGGAGGAAGACTGAAACGACGACGTTGTAGTGGCCCGCATTGCGGAAGGTATATAGAGCCAATAAATGGAGCACACGTGTATGATGATTTTAGCCATTTGATTTGGTTTCTATCACTCGCTTCTTCTGTCTAAAATAAGGGATTTGGTTATTTGTTAAATGAAGGTATTAAGCTTAATTTTAACTGTTACTTGACTATATGTGAATTTCAAGTACATATTGAGAGAGAATGATTTTTAAATTCTCTTCACACAAAAAAATGACATGTTTGTAAATTTCTTAATTTTCAGTTGCAATAAATCAGAGAAAAATATACATCGCGGCACCCATAGTCCCATACATAATTTCCGAAAATTTTGGACTTATTTGTGAAAATACTAAAATTTAGATGATCCAATGTAATAGAGTATATGGTTAGATGCTAAATTATTTTATATTTTAAAAAAACGGTAATGTTTGGCCAGCAAATTCAAAACTGAAAAGATGAGAACTCCGAGAAGTGGGGATTTACTACGTAGTACGTACCAAATATACTATATGTATGCATGCAACTGTAAATCTACGGAAATAAATTGTCAAATAAAAAAAAATATATATCTGGAAATAAGGCATGCAATCACTTTTCCGAGCATTTTCTTGACGTCACGGCATACGAAACTGTGACATGATCCGTCCACACTTCCACTGAGGTATCTCGCATTCTCGCTGACGGCGACTCCCACCAAAACTAGAGAAAATAATTGGGATCGTGAAGGGCAGGCAGACCCACAGGTGATGACAATTTCAACCCGCCACGTGGGTATTATCCGACTTGACCCGTGATGGGACGGGTATCACCCGACCCGCAGTAGTATGGGGCGGGACATGGGTATCTATTTCCGACATGCCCTGCTCCACCCCGCCCCATTCTAGACTCATTTTATCTCAATTTCTTACAATATCTATACATATTTCTCTTATTTTGACTTTTCTTCAAATAGTTAGAGTCAATCTTTCAACTTGTTAGACTCAATTATCCATTCAATTATCAATATTTTTCATTCTTAAAGTGTTTTTCCCTACATTTTATTGTAAAAAGTAAAATTTACTTGTATTTTTTTGAAACACATGTAAGGGTGGGTCGACCTGCCCCGCCCCGACCCGTTATAGCGTGAAGCAGGGTATGAGAATTGAGGTACCCGCCCTGCTCCGCCCCATTGCCATCACTACCACATAATACGACCAACCAAGTAGGGCCAGGCTGGCTGGCGTCCTTTTAACTTTGTTTATATTTATTTATTTATTGTTTGGTTTAGCTTCGATCCGTCCAACTTATTAATGGAATCAGGTTCAAGGACAAACGAAAAACAACACAAAGGAATCAGGAAGACGACAGCGTATCACTTTCACTAATCAGTACTATGGATCGGGCTCCAAATTGTGGAAAGCGACAAAGAAAGTTTTGGGCCAAGAAGAAGTTCACCTTGTATCTTACGAACGCATGGCAGCAAATCCAACCGCATTACCGTCTAGTAAACAGCCGAACAGAAACTTGGCCACAGGTTTCGCTTTCGCAGCATATTTACAATAAAATTGGGCCCGCTGACTAAGCCAACCTGACCAGGCCCGGCCCGGTTGTGTTTCGGATTCATTAGTAGTGGGCCAATACTAAGGTGTCGCTGTGAAAAATAGCGGCACCGGTAACGCGGCTTTCATTGATCCACGTGGTTGTGATGTGGCACCAATTCTGCTTGATAAATACCAACCGAACCTCCATTGACTCGTTAGTAATGGCCCAAACAAAGTAATGGCGAAAGGTTCTCCGTCCAACGAGCTGTGTTGCTGTTTTTTTTTTTTTCAATTTATTAAATTAAAATCCATGGAAATGCTATTTCGGTAACAGAAAACCACACTATACTGCCAATGGTTTAATTGTCTTTGTAATAGGTTGGAGGTATGCAAATTAGGAGAAACTTATCCTATTAATTTTCATAACTCCATCAAGATAGTTGTTGAGTCTCATTCTTGATTGATAATAAAGATTTTACCTTTATGGTCCCTAAGTTTGAAGGAAATATACAAGATTTTTTTTATAGTGTCTGCTTCTATGTTCTACTTCCAAAGTAAAGGTGCACAAGCATTAAAATTCAAACCGCCATCTAAGACTAACTACATCACATTCACATCAACACCATTTTACTTCCTTCCATGGATATTTGCTATTCCCCCCTTTCAGCTGCATTTCACCAATGCACCTATAAATCACTATCATACCTAAACTAGTTTTTTACCAGCCCGTTGGCCGGTGTATTTTGTTTGGTTGTTTTATAATTCGTTATAGTATTCAAATTGTTATTATTATTTATGTTTGCTAAGGTAATATATATGGAATTGTAAATCCCACTTACCTTATTTCAAGTATTATTTCGTACTTTTATACCTTTTGTTTATTTATGAACATTTTAATTTTATTAACTGAGCTCTTTGTAGACGGTTCTTTATTGATTTAGAATTTTTTTTATCGAACTCGCCCTTTAAGATTATAAACATAAGAGATTATTCATTCTTTAGCACAGAATTGTGATAAAGAAGTTAAAAAACTTACGGCCACGAAAGAAGTAGTTAGAATAAAAAAATATGCTTCAATTAATATAAAAAATAAGCGAAGAGCTTTTTATTTTCTCTCCCTTCTCATATGTCGGTATATGATAATAGAGAATATTCCGATCTAAATCTCATGAATATCGTGTATTATCACTTACACATACAATTTTGGAATAATGAGGAAACTCATTAGCATCCACGTCCATCAATCTTCCACGTACTTGTTTAATTACCTTGAAATGTTCTAGCAAAACCAACCACAAACTAAACTATCAGCTGTCACTAACTTATTAAAGCAATATTTCAGCAAATTAAACTGCATATAATTAAACACAATTTATATTTTGTAGAGAGCTACATATCTCCTGCAGAAAATAATTGTGCTTTATTACCAAATAACAACATAGACAAATAATGAAAAGAGCAGTCTTCAATACAACTCAACTCATTTTATCATTCAGATTCCTCATTTGTGAACTGAATATATGAATCAATCCAAATAGTAGTTTGTAAGAAAACAATCATGTCAAAATCAATCTTTAGTTAGGGATTCAATGCAGAAAAATTCACCTTAATGAAACAAACAAATGTCACCGCAAACATGTAGAAATTAAAAAAAACATCGAAATAGACAACCGAGAAACCACCATTATCATTTTCTTTCTTCTTCGCGACCTTTATGAAACCCCAATTATGTTCCCTTCTACTTCTAACCCATTTGCTACCTACTAATTACTAACCAGATCATCATTGTATAGCTAGCTAGTAGTAGCATGTCAATCATGAACATAAAATATAATAAACAATCATCACAACTCTACTTTCCATTTCAACATTCAAGAAATCAGGTTGCAATAGGCATTCAAGAAAAACGATCAATTATTCAACCAAAGGAGGTATGCCCTAAGTCCAACCAATTAACCCTTCTAATTATATTTTATATACATGAAAGTATACGACGACCCTTCTCAGTAAAAAAACAAAGACGAAATATATTCACTCACCGAGAGTGGGAAAATTTACCATCCAGCAGTCGTACTTTGGAAGAAATTAAGAAAAGAATGAGAAAAAGAGTATAACTCGGTTAGTCAACCGCAAACAATAACATATCGATGAGAAAGTGAGACCAATTGCCAACTTTAGATCAAGGAGGAAGAGGGAGCAGTCGACAACCCTCGGCTTGGTTCACCTCATCTTCACAATGATCAGATTAACTTTTTTCGTCAATAGGCAAAAATATGTTACAACTGCTCAAAATTTTGTCATCTTATCGTTGTCTCGTGTAATTTCTGCCTCCTATTCTCATACAAAGAAAAAAAATCGTATGCATTATCATTTCCTTCTCTATAAATTATGAGAATAAAAATATTAGAAATCTCAAAAAATTTAGCAACTAATAAGAGGACTTTGTTTATTTTTATGGTGGTTGACATACTTTCTTGATTTCTTATTTTCAATGTTGGATTTTATTTCTAGAGAGACAATCAAAATGGGGAAAGGGATAGAAACAAATTAAAAGTTTGCATTAATAATTAATATATTTTCATTTAATAGAAAGGAATAAGAAGTTTTTTAAAAAATAACTATTATTGCTCTATCAAGTTTATATTCAGACATTTTGCTATATAATTTATACTTGTTTTATTTGATAGGTATATACATAAGAAAGAAGTGAGTGTTTGATAGCAAAACACATATAGTCATATCGTTCATTTCTCAAAGTCGATTTATTGTCAAACGTTTATTTTTCTCTTAGACCATCGTTTATATTTTGAATTAAAAAAATATTAATATTTATGTGTGTGCTTGTTTTTTTTCTTCATCAAAATGTAACTTATTATTAAGTTTTAGTAAAAATGAGTAAAAAATTTACTTAATTAGATTTAATCAGCTTGGGTTAAACAAATACAATATATGTCACTCTCTATTTCCATCTTTATAGTTCGTTTAATCGAATTTTTTATTATTACTTAGGTGTGTGTTTTTTTTTTAAATGTTTCCTAAAAAATTAACTTATTTTAATATTAGTAAAAATGAGTAGAATTATTAAAAGAAGAGAGAGACAACTTCATAAATAGATCAATAAATAGTTTTTTGTTTGAAAAAGAATTGTCCACCTTGGCAACTTGTGCATTCACCAAGTGCTTATGTGGCAAGATGTTATTTTTGAATAGCCATAATATTTAATATAGATAGATAGATTTTTTTTTTGCATCAGGGGGAGGCTAAAAGCCAAGAAAAAGAGTTACATGGGGGAGGTGAGAATAGGAGAGGAAGAGGTAGCAACCACTCTACGGGTGCTGGTGGTGCCAATCCTGTCTTCTCTGAGCAGGCAGTTAATTCCCGGAGGCGGATTCGTTAACTCATGCATACCGTAGGGATAGACGAGACTGTGCTTCGAGAGCCAGTCCGCGACTCTGTTCCCTTCCCGGTAGGTATGCGTTAAGCGAACCAGCCAGTCGCGGTTAATCTTCCTGCGAATAGCGGAGAGGAGAGTAGCATACGGATGAATCGGGTCGTGTCTAGCCTTGATGAGCTGCAACGCCAACTGCGAGTCAGTCTGGATGTGGATGGTTCTTCCTCCATGCTTCCAAGCGATGTCCAGGCCAAAAGAGATTCCCCAGAGCTCCGAGAGAATCGCAGTGGCAGTGCCAAGATTTGCCACAAAACCTGCAATCCAACGCCCCGTCTGATCGCGTAAAACACCCCCAGCCCCGGCTGGCCCCGGATTGCCATTGGAGGCTCCATCAGTATTCAGCATGATCCATCCCTCTGGCGGCGGGTTCCATCCGACCTCCTCCTCCACTCTGTCAGCTGGCCGACTTCCTTTACAGGAAAGAAGAGAAGGGGCGAGCCAGGCGCTGTACCACATCTTTGCCTTGGCCAGAATCGAGTGCTCAAGAGAGGGAGGAGTGAGAGCTGCCCTCGTACCCTGCATACAGAAAACACATCGGTTTTTCCAAATGAGCCAAAGCGCCGTACTGAAAAAAGCAGCCCAAGGCATCCCTGTCGCCATTGCATCGGTCCTCGAGAGATTGTTGCGCAGCCAGTCTTCCTGGTTAAGAGTGAAGAATTCTTGTTGCTGCACACTAGCTATCTGCCGAAGCCAAAAGAAGGTAGCAGGAGGGCAGTCTCTGAGGGTGTGCAAGATCGTCTCTGGTGACCCCGGACACTTCGGACAGAAGGGATTCACAGCCACTTTCCTGTGAAAACGAAGGCTGTTAGTGGAAATTTTCCCGGTACACGTCTGCCACATGAAGATACGGATCCTCTCCGGGACTGGAAGGCGCCAGATCGTCCTCCAAAGCTTCTCGTCCAGGTTATGCGGCTGCGGAGTGAGGAGAGTGAAGGCCGACTTGGTTGAGAACTTCCCATCCGGGGAAGCGGTCCAAAAGAGAGTGTCCTCTTCACTAGAGAGCGTGTCCACCGCCACGCTGAGAATCTTCTGGCAAATCTCGGCAGGCAGAAGGTCCTCGAACATGTCTATGCGCCAAGCTCCATCGACTGTCACGTACTCGGCAACTGTCATTTGCTCCATGTCCTCAGCAACTTGCATCGTAGCCACCTCTTTCAAGCTCCCCTGCAAAACCCAAGGATCCAACCAAAATTTAGTGCGCTTCCCATTCTTAATGTTCCAAGCACATCCCTGCTTTAACACATTAACAGCTTTAGAAAAGCTTTTCCAGGTGAAGGAACTTCCCTGAGAGCTGCAAAGGATATCCAGGTTCTCCCTCTGGCGCCCATATTTGGCGTGCATAATTTGAGACCAGAGAGTCTCCTTCTCTTTTATGAGTCGCCATCCCCCTTTGGCCAGCATGGCCATGTTGGCCTGTCTGGTAGGGCCGATGCCCACCCCCCCATGCTTCTTCGGGACCGCCATCTTATCCCAAGCCACCAGGTGCATCTTGTTTTTATTCTCCTCCTCCGCCCAAACAAAGTCCCTGTTCATCTTATCAATGCTGTTGCACACACCACTGGGTATCAGCTCAGAATTCATGTAATAAACGGGAATAGAAGCAGAAACTGAATTAACCACTGTAATCCTCGCCGCAAAAGATAGACGTTTGGCTTTCCAGGGTGCCAGCTTCTTTTGGATACGAAGGAGAAGGGGCTGATATCTCTCTCTAGTCACTCGCCCATGAATCGCCGGTATGCCCAAATACTTGCCAAGCGCCACCTTCCGAGGAATGTCAGCCAGTTGACTCATTCGGTCTGCTTTTCTGCGGCTGATGTTTGGTGAGACATAGAGAATGGACTTATGATAGTTCACCCGCTGGCCAGAGCTATAGCAGAAATCGTCAAGGATCCGCTTAATGACCCTGATCTGCCGAGTCTCCGCTTGCGCAAACAAAAGGAGGTCATCTGCAAAAAAGAGGTGAGTGAGAGGCGGGCCATTCTTGGAGAGCCTAAGGGCTTTCCACTGGCCATTAGAGACCGCTTCATCAATTAAATGGGAGAGACGTTCCATACAAAGAACAAAAAGGTAAGGGGATAAGGGATCTCCCTGGCGAACTCCGCGGGTCGGGGTGATAGATTGAGAAAGTTGCCCATTCCAGAGTATCTGCATTTTGTTCTGAGTAACACAGTGCATGATGCCACTGATCCACGTACTTGGGAGGCCGACCTCCTTCAAAGTGTCCCGAAGAAAGTCCCACCTTAACCTGTCATAAGCCTTCTCTAAATCGATCTTGAGAATGATCCCTCCCTTCTGCCCTTTCTTCTTGTGTAGCGAGTGGAGAGCCTCTTGCACCACAATAATGTTATCTGTCGTCTGGCGACCCGGGATAAAACTGCTCTGGCAAGGAGAAATCAAACTCCTCATGATCGGTTTGAGTCTGCTAGTCATAGCCTTGGTGATCGCCTTCAGGCTGACGTTGTTTAGAGAGATCGGACGTAGCTGGCTCACCACCTCCGGTCTTTCCACTTTAGGTATCAGCACGAGAGTCGACTCAGTCACCGCCTCAGGAAGGGTACCTGTCTCAAAGAACTTGATAGCCATGTCAATCAGGTTCCGCCCCACGGTCCTCCACATTTGCTGATAAAAGCAGGCTTGGAAGCCGTCCGGACCCGGGGCCTGAAATGGCTTCATATCAAATATGGCTCTATGGATGTCCATGCCGGTAAAGGGCCGCAAGAGCTCTAGCAATTCGGACTGGCCGAGGCGGGGAAAAGCTCCTTTGGGCATCTTGTCCTCATAGTTATCCTCTTCCTGCGTAGAGAGATTAGCAAAAAACTCAAAAACAAGAGAGGCCAGGGCTTGAGACTCAGTTACCCAGTTTCCATGAGCATCTTGCAGAGCCTCAATCTTATTACGCCGTCTCCTGATGTTCACTTGCTGATGAAAGTAGCCCGTATTCCGTTCCCCAAATTGGACCCACTTTTCCCTGGACCGCTGGAACCAGAGGAGTTTGTCCTGCTCCATGACCTGGTCAAGCTCGGCTTCCAGCTTGGAGTGCAGCTTAGCCAGCCCGGGTGAGAAGCCCACCGCTAACCGAGTCTCGATCCCTCTAATCCTGGCCAACAGTCGCCTCTTTCGTTGCTGAACGTTGCCAAAGACATTCTTGTTCCACTCCTGCAGTTTCCCTGCCAGAAAAGGTAACGCAGTCTGTAAAGGCTCATTGGCCTCCCAACAGTTAGCCACAAAATCAAACAAATCCGAGTGAGTTAACCAAGCTGCCTCGAACTTGAAGGGACGAGACAAGGTTGAGATACTTCCCTGATTGGAGACAGTGGTTAAGATAGGATTATGATCCGATTGAAGCCTCGGGAGATGCGTAACCGTCGTGTTAGGGAACTGGGAATTCCACTGCATATTGCAAAGGCTTCTGTCCAGTCTGCTGGCTTTATAGGTTCTATCCTCCTCGCCCCTAGTCCAGGTGAAAAGGGGACCGGAGAACCCCAAGTCAATGAGCTCAGAGGTGTTGATCCGGTCGTTAAAAACCTTGCACCGGCGAGCTGTGTTTGCTGTGGAGGGGCCGGCCTTCTCGTCCAAGGTGCGAATGGCGTTAAAATCCCCTGTGAGGATCCAGGGAATGCTAATCCATCTGCTTTGGTTGATCAAGCTGTCCCAAAGACTCTGCTGCTGACTGTACTGGGGAGACGCATAGACGCAGTCAAGATCCAAGGCGGGCCATTACCTCTAGCAACCTGAAGCGAAATGTGCTGACTGCAGGCGGAGAGCAACTGAACCGAGAAGGCCCCTGCGTCCCAGAAAACCCAGATCCCCCCTTTCCGACCATCCGCATCCACCCTGATCGAGTTGGGATACCCAAGTCTGTCACAGACGGAATCCGCAGCTCTCCCGCTGATCTGGGGTTCAAGGAGGATCACAAAATCCGGTCGCTGATGCTGAAGCGTCCACTTCAGAGCTCGAAAGAAGGAGTTGCTACCTGCTCCACCCACATTCCAAGAGAATTTTTAAATTAAAATTGTACGACATAGATAAAGACATAATAAAAGGAGAAAAGGAACAGAGGGGGGGGGGGGGATCTAGATGTTGCTGTTCGCCAAGGTCTCGGCCGCATCCTGGCGGGTCTGGGAAGGAATCTCTTGGGCTGAGGCTACCGATCCCCTTTCACCAAGCTCCCTAGCTTTCTGGTTCTTTGCTTCTGTCCATGCCGAAATCTCCTGCAGGGTCAAGGAAGCCATTCGACTTTTGGATTTTGACTTCCTGTCCTTCACTGGTGACCAGACTTGGAGAGGTTTCCTTGTCGCGGCCTTTGATGGGGAGGGTTTGGGCTGCCGGTTCTTGCCCAGCTTGTTCTTCTTTGTCCTGGACCTCGCCGACGGTGATGGCGCCTCCGTTCCGTCCTTGGAAGAAGCACTTCTCGGCCGCACTTCGATAATTTGCAAGGAGGTTCCATTCGGCCCCTGCTTCGCGTTGACCAGAGGGGTGGGGAAGTTAGTTGTCGGGCCTATATTCAGCTGGGAGAGGCCCAGATCTCCTTTGATGTTTTCCGGTGTGGGCTCGTCCCGGCCCAAGGGAGCAATGCTAGGTGTTGATGAAGGGGCCGAACTGCTTCCCGAGGGGGCCGAGTTGCTTCCAGTAGCGGCCGAAGGCCCGGTTCCAAGCTTGGTTTTAACCGCAGGCCCAGGCCCAAGGAGACCTTCCTCAGATACAGGTTCGCAGCCAACTTTTTCCTTCCCTTTGCGAGATTCGCCGCTAGCCCTATTCCCGCCGCTTCCTTTCCTTTCCTGACCGCCGCTCTTACCGCTCCGGGGAGTATTGTTGGTAATTTTGTGAGGTAAGTTTCCCCCCCCCCCCCCCCTTGATCACTGACATTTCCTTCCCATTCTTTTCCATGTGGCCGTTGGACAGAATATCCAACTTTCCATTCGTGGCAGCGTCGCGGGAGCTCCGCCGGCTTTTGCGCGCAACCAGCATCCAAGGGCCGAACCCCGGCTGTTCCTCCGCCGTCGTCGCCGGGGAAGCCTGCACCAACGTCTCCGGAGATGTTGCTGGTTGAAGGGTAGGACAGGCAGCGGAAACATGTCCGATTCTGCCACATTCGAAACATGCCGTCGGTATGTTTTCGTACTCTACCGCCTGCCACTCATCATCGAGCCAGATCCTTGGGACCAGAGGTTTACTTAGATCCACTTCCACCGCCAATCTCGCAAATTTGGCCCTCTGTTGGGTTAGCGTGTGATAGTCTAATTTTATCGTTCTTCCGATCAGATTCCCCAGCATATGTAGAACTTCTTTGTGATAGAAGTGGACCTTGAGTGCCGGAAGCTGAACCCACACTATCATCTTCTTCGTTTGAGGATCCGAGACCTTGAAGTTGGGCGTCCATTGCTGGACCACTAAATAGTGGTCGTAGATGACCCAGGGGCCGTCCGTTAGCGCACGGAAGTAATCCTGCTCATTGGAGAGTTTCACGAGAAAACAGTCGCGATCGAGATCCATGGCCTCCAACGATCCGACTGGTCTCCAGAGTGACCGGAGGCGGGAGCAGAGGGCAGCAAAGCCAATTTTACAACCAAGGAGCCTCACCACCAGTGTGCGTTGCCATGGTTCGCATATCTTGTTCTTGAAGGACGCAGAAACTCTAAGGGCTGGCTCCCCGTTCCGCTCGCCCGGGATAAGATCGTGCTCTCCGACCGGAGTCCAAAGGTTGGCAATTGAGTTCTGTGGGTTCGTGTTTTTTTGGCCCAGCACCGCATTAACGTACGAGGTCGGCGGCTGCATCACCACTGGCGACGAAGAGACCTCCACAGCCATGTCTGTCACTGGGGCGACCGCCTCTATACTTGATTGGTTCGCCGCAGAGCAGGAGAGAGTGATAGCCGAGTCCGGAGGCCGTCCTGGCGGCGAAAGGTCCGGCACCGGAAGAGCGCTACCAGCTATAGAATTCGAGAGCATCGTTTTTTTCTAATGGATTTCCCAAGAGCGATTCTAATAGTATATAGATAGATAGATAGATAGATTTGGACAGTCAAATATGAATAATCAACCTGACCACACCTATGAAATCCAACCACATTACCGTCTAGTAAACAGCCAAACAGAAACTAGTCATTGACCCGGCCAGTTGGCCGGATACATCTGTCAGTCCAATAAACAGCAGTAGCAATTTGTATGCAATATACGCATGTATTTGGTACTATAAGAAAATCTAAAATTTTCAAATTATCGAACATTCAAATTAATTGACAACATAAAAGAATTCAAATTATTAAACTACTTCAACCATTCAAAAGGATCAACATCATAGTGTTTTCTGACATTGTAACTGGCTCATCAATGAAAATCATTTTTAGAAAAAATGGAAGACAAACCCGATGCCATAGAACCGACTCCTAATTTTTTTTTCCGAAGAACCCTTCTATTTGCGCCTCATTGTCAGAGATTACTGCATGTTTTCATTTTGGATTGTATGCAATTCCTCTGCCATGAGCAACATTGTCATCTCCACCAGTAATAATGTATCCATTTCCATTAGTGACACATTTATCTCCGATATCGATTCACTCTTTTCCTTCTTCTCTTGAATTTTCAATAATCCATTCCTTGTTTCATGCATTTCCTCTGAGTTATGCTCTTCCTCATCCTTCCCTATCTAGGAAATTGTGTACCACTTGTTGGGTTAGAGATGTTGTGATCTGTGAGCTTGATATTGAACGTTAACGTTATTCCCACAACTGTATGAGATGAGTAGGTGGTGGTCCTCTCATTCCATTGTTGTCTTGGAATAGTACCTCAGTCTACATTTCGAAAAATCAACCGCTCACTTGATCGATAACAATAAAGTCAGCTTGAGCTGGTTTGTCCGCAACTCGAAGGTGGTTCTTGAATTTGTATAATGATGGTAATGACAAACAATAGTAATTTTTTGGCAAAATACATTTGTATATCCAAAACTTTCGCGTTTGTGACAATAATAGCCAAATTTGGAGAAATACCAAAAAATAACCACTTCCGTCCAATTCTTTGACGGTGTCAAGAAACGGGCTGAGCTTGACTAACGGAACGCTGAGCTGGACACTCTCCGCATCCACATGGTTGAACTAAAAAAATTAAAAATTTGGAAAGCGTCGTTTCACCAGAGATAAAAATAAAAATAAATTATTGAGTCCTTTATTATTTTCTCTCACAACTCTCTTCCTAGTTTCTACCCCTCTCTTGTACTTCCCATTCGACAGCTCCAACACCACCACAACCGCCGCCGCCGCTTCCGATTCCCCTCCTCCCCCTCCGCCTCTTCTTTCGCCTTCAAATCCTTGCTCCGACGACCGCATACATAGCAGCCGCACGCTAGACAAACCTAGATTCGTAGGAATTTTCCATCTACTGACGAATGCTAATATGCAAATGAGCCCAAATCCTTCGAAATCTGACCTTCGCTCAACATTCGTCCCTCATGTAGCTGTGATTCTTACTCAATGTCGCCGCTTGCATCGCTTTCACCTCGACTGGGTTGGTGTTCTTCTTGTCCATTTTTCCTTCTCACTTTGAGAAATACCCTTCTTTACCTTCCTTGCTTCGTCTTTTGACCTTCTTCTCTCTTCTCCCTCTCCAATCACTCGATCTCTCTCTCTCTCTCTCTATCTCTCTCTCACACTAAAACCAGAGGTCAGAGCTCTGCCGTCACCCTCTAATGGCGGTTTCCTAACCCTATCCCCCTCTCTCAATCCCTCTTTCTCCCCTTGCTAAACCAAGACCACAAAACCCTCAAATACCCATCTCCCAGGAATCCGATGCAGACCAAGAAGAAACCCCATCATTTTTCCCTTCTCCCTCTCCTTCCTCTCCCTCCACGCCGCCGCCGGTGGCCAAAGACGGCTGGAGTCTAATCAGCTTCAAAGCCGCCTTACCCAACCCACCACCTATCCTATCAAACTGGCTCCCCAATAAGGACCCTTGCTCCTTCAATGGCGTCAAATGCCAAGGCCTCGTCGCCAACAGAGTCTCCGCCGTGGACCTCAGCTTCTCTTCCCTGAGCGCCAATTTCCATTGACTCCTCTCGATTGACTCCCTCGAGAGCCTGACCCTTCAATCGGCCAACGTCTCGCGGTCCATAGCGTTTCCTCCCGGATCTAAGTGCAGCTCTGTTTTGACCAGCTTAGATCTGTCAACGAATTCTCTATCGGGTCCCATTTCGGATGTTTCGGGTCTGGCCGCGTGCCCCGGTTTGAAGTCCCTTAATATCTTCGGCAACGCTCTTGATTTCTCGGTGAAGGAGAAGTGGAACGGCGGGTGGAAGATTATTGCGGGTTTGGAGTCGCTTGATCTTTCGTGGAACGACATGTTCGACGAATTCTCTAGAAGGGGTCGTTGTCGACGATGGATAAGTGGTGCTCTGTTTTTCATAAAGGGTCTGTAGATGGGGGATTGCTAGATCGGAGAAAGAGGATTAAAAGGAAGGGGGGAGATAGAGCCCCAATTAGTCGAACCCAAAAAGATGGAGAAGAGGAAAATAGAATTATTTTTTATTTCATAATTAATTATTTTTATAATTCAAAATGAATATAAATAACTGAATCAAGCTAGAAGAATAAAATTTAATTATTTTATTTTTTAATCTTAAATTAAAATAGCACGTGGCATCTACGTGTTAGCAACAACTGAGTTGTCGCTGATGTGTGTGATGATTTGGCAGTCAGCCTAATGTTTACCTATTTGACGGAGTTTCTAACACCGTTAAAGTTTGCAACGGAAATGGCTATATTTGGCACGAAAGTTTCAAAATTCTGGCTATAAGTGGTATTTCTCCAAATTTAGCTATTATTGGCACAAACGCGAAAGTTTTGGCTATACAAATGTATTTTGCCTAATTTTTTTATGAAGTACGTTATTTTTTAATTGGTAAAGTAAAACAATCAAAATTATTCAATTAATAATAGAAAATAGTCCTGTGAGGTAAGATAGGTGGAAAGTAGGGATGACAATCAAACTTGCTATTGCGGGTACCCAACGCCCCCCGACCTAGTCAACACGCATAATTCCTGCATTGGTTGGGGATGAGGCGGATATAGTTCAGGCTCCATCACCAATACCCGATCCTATTAAGAGTATTTATTCAAATATGAATAATTGAGAGATCAAAATATAATATGTCAATGGAAAGAAGGATAATTAAAAAAAATTTAAATGTAATGGATTGGCCACGCAAAGCAAACCTTAATCTCTTTTCCTTAAATTCTCCATTCATACCTTCACTTCTTTCTCCCTTTTAACGCGATTATGTTAGTAATTTTTTTGTTGAATAAATGTATCATAGTTGTAGATGAATGATTCAGATGATACTGTATCTTTTTCTTTGCAATCACCTCACTTTATGTCCTAAGCATACCAAATGTGAGTAAAAGACAAACTAAGCGCCGGCTAAAATGCATATCTCAATTTTCTAATCTAAGACTGGCTCTGACCTGGGGGCCAAACTTGAAAAAAGAGTTTTTAGCTCATTTTCCTCTCCAACTCATCCTCTTTTGGCCCTAAAAAATGGAGAAGGACAATTAAAACTGGACTTTGGGTTTTTGGTATGGGTGGCGACATAAATGTGGATGGAAAGACGATGGGTCTCCGGTAGGTTTCAAAAAAAAAAAAAAAATTCACAGATGTTGTTGCCCCATCTTATGTAAATTCTTCCTACAAAAATTCACGGGAAAAGTTACCCCCAAAGAGCTCCAACAAAAACTTCTCAATTATGTAAATTCTTCATATTTTACATGAGATTATTGTAAGGTAACTCTCTTTGGTAAGATAGTTACACAACGAAATGCCATCCTTGCAAGTGTGGATGATCACGCGCGGGGTTTGCCTGAGAAGCATGTGTGTGGGATGAAGCCTTCCTCTCGCACGTGCGTCCTAGAAGTGAATGTTTGGTTCTAAATGCTTTTCTTGTTAATCTCATCTTGTTTAATGAAATTAAACTTGTAAGCTTGTATGGCTGGTATATCGTTGCACGATATGACCTTTTTATTTGATTCAAACTTGATGATCAATTTGTTTGTAATAGGTTTTAACTGTCCTTGAAGTTCTTCATGGTGTAGACTATGGTCAGGGGCTGAAAGTCCTTGATTTTCCATTTAGTTATTTGCACCCAAATATCATTATCATGAAGAAGTAATATAAGCACATTTATAAAATTTTAAATTGTAATCATAGAGTTTGAATTTGCATGGTTGTAGTTAGTTTACTTTTGAGTCAATCACTATCATATTGAGACAAATAATAATATATATGTGTTGTGATTGATTTCTAGCCACTTATTGTTTAAACAACTTTCCATAAATAACAATCGTGTGATTCTTCCAATCTTGCAATGCTGAACTTCAAAATTTACATTGGGTCACTTTCTTCTCATTGTATCCCTCCGCATCTTCACCACTAGAATATAGGATATTTGGGGTGCAACCATCCTCTGATTAATATGGGATATTGCAATGACCTCGTTTGCAGATAGGACATCATAAAAAATTGAAACCATAAAAATCAAAATCAAACATGAAATAAATGGATTAGCTATAGGAATGTTGATAAAATTTTCATATATACCCTTTTTCCTTATATAAAGACCACATTTCATTCTTATTAATTTGCCAATGGTTGATTATTTCTCTTCAACTCTGACTTATGCAAATCAATTCTGAAAATGTAAAATGGGGAGTAGAAGTTTTGTTAGATCAACACGTGTGAAATAGTTAGAGAGATTATAATCAATCTGATAATTTATTGATGTACATACCATCAGAAAACTTATTTTGCATTGCAAATAGTGATCGATCAGAATCACCACACCTTTTTGTAGGATAAAACAACTCTACTTTTTCCTTACTAACACGTGGCATGGGCATACATTAAATTATAACGAATATATAAATAATGCTAATAAAAGTGTTGTACTTACATCAATTTTTAACGATCAAGTTGAAACATTGTCTGGTTGTTTGGATGATTCTTCACGGGAAATATTTCTCCGAGTCACATAACTACATAAAATTAGTCGCCAAAAATATTAGTCTAAATAATATAAACAATAGATTATGGCTGTGTTATAACATGAACATGGAAGCCTAAATTAATTACTTAATGGTACCCACCAAAGCGAAGTAGTTAAGCAACAAATAATTCAAGTTTCTATCTTTAGAGCTAGCAATCTAAATAATATATGCAAAATAGTTTATGATGGCAGGGCTCTATCATGAACACGAAAACATAAAATTAATTACTTAAATCTAATTTATAGTTTCTAATATAGATCATAGATGACCTTTGTGGTACTCTCCAAAGCGAAGCAGTTTAAAGCAACGGATAATTCAAGTTACAACCTTTAGCGCTATCTTCGATGGAAGCAGACCTGGAAGGAAGTGAATTTTGGCGAGAAGTTCTATGGAAAAAAATCAAGGATGGTAAAACCGAACCAAAGTTGTACCGTAAAAGTCAGTGAAATGATATTTTATTTTGAAACTGTAATTTAATTGTGGTTTTAACCATTTTATATCGTTAGATACCGACTACCAACTTAGCATCAAATATAAAATTTTCTAGTCGAACGTGGATAAATTGAGGTAAAAACACAAAGTTACTTGCTCTTCTCTACATTGCTTATACTAATGAAAAATCAATATTAAACCACACGATCATGAGAAGTAACATATGGTATAATGAATATAATAATAGATCCTTTAGGGGACGGGAGATACACGTAAGAAGCTCCAATTATGGCCCGCCCACATAATAACCCATGGTTATGCACCCGTCAGTAACCCAATAAGATCCGTCGATCTGGAGCGGAGAGATCTAATGGCTGGGGTCGGAGCGGGGTGGGGCAACGGTATTTTTCTCCATTATTTGAATTTATTTCTTTCCCTCTTTATACCTTTTTGGTTATTTTCTGCCGAGCTAGAATTGGATTTATGAGAGAGAATGAGAAGTAAACATAGCAATCGAGAGCTTTTCTCTGAATGATTACTCGATGGCGAGAAGGTCGGTGGAGGACGCGATTCTTAGCTTAATCGGCGGCGGACTTGCAAGTTATTAGTTGTTAGGTTTTCTTCATCTCTTTTCTTCATCTTGCTCGAGGTTTTGGCGCGATTTGCTTGTGTTGAAGTTTTGGCTGGCTGTTGTTTGGTCTCCGTCGAGGTAATTTATAGTTATAGTAGGATTTTATGTTTTCGCATTGATTCCGTTCTGTAATTTGTTTTTGATTTTGTGTATATATGATTTATCTGTGTTTTCTCTTTTGTGCTCTCTGCTTTCTGTTCTTGGTGATCTGTTTGTATAAGTTTGATCATGTTTTTTCTTTTTCGTCTGCGTTTTTTGTTCAGTTTATTGATCCGTAGTTAAATTTTGTGCAGGAATCTTTTGAATCTTCTCTATTGACTCAGCTTTTTTAGTGCAATGAGTGATCTTAATCAAGACGTCATTGTTTCTTTGAATGAATCTAATACTGGAACTAGTTCTTCTCATAGCGTGTTGAATCGGGAGGTAAGAATTTTAAATGTGTTTGGTAAGTTAAAATTTGTATATATGTTATACCATACAATACCATGTTATACCATAAAATACCATACTGGCATTTTATGGTATTTTTGCATATGAGTGTTGTGTTTTATTTGTTCTAGATTGTTTTTATAGTTGTTGTGATTTTATGTTTCTGTATATATGTTATACCATAAAAAACCATACTGGTATTTTATGGTCTTTTTAGTATATGAGTGTTGTGTTTTCTTTGTTATAGATTGTTATTATAATTGTTGTGGTTTTATGTTCCTGTATATAGTTCGTGATTGGAATAATTTTTTCTTATAATACCATGGTGGTTTTTGTAGTATTCTTTTTTGTTGGCCTCTTGGTTTACATTCTCTGGAACTGAATTTTCTTGGTTCTTCTCAGCAGTTTCAGCAGGATTCTCTGTTGTTGGTGCTTCTGTTTGATGTTGAGCTTCTAGTTTTGTTGAAGAACCATCTTGATTCTTATTTTTCTTCCATTGTGTTGGTGCAGCTAGATCCAGTGTTGTTTGTTGAGAATCATCATTTTCTTCATATTCATTAACTGTGGTTGCTTTCTTTTTGCTTGATTTTGCCTGGTCAAAAATTTTCTTCAGAATTTCTTCCAGGTTCGTGTCTGCTTCTTTATCTTCATCACCAGATTCAGTTCCTTCATTTTGTTCGACAATCACGTCATCAGATCTTTCTCCTTCCACACCATCAAAGTTGTCATCAGAAGTTTGTTGCTCCAACATTTCCTTGTGTTTGACAAGTTCATCAATTTGAGCTTTCTATTACATCTTGATTGATTGCAACATAGCTTTCATCGATGTTTTCACCAGATTTAGTGCTCTCTCAGCCTGCATTAGTGATTTTTTATTTGTAAGTTAATATTTACAGTAGAATACCACATGTTACCATGGTGGTAATGGATGGCATGACCATTATACAATACAATACCATATTTTACCACAATGGTTCATGTGTGGTATTAGTTATATGAATTGCACAATTTGTAACATATGGTAATTTATACTTACTTGGGGGATAGTCTTGATCATCTTCAAATCAAATATGAGTGATGTTGATGGTTTTTGGTCTGTGTTGTTGTCATCATCATCACTGTTGGTGCCACCGATCTTGACTTCTTTATCCTGTATCTTCATTAGCTCATGAAGTGCTTCTCCACTGTAGTAGCTGACTATGTTTTCATAGTTTCTTTGCACAACAAGGTCATCATAATAGCTTGTTGTTGGGATTTGAAACTGGGTGGAGAAGGCAATTTCATCCAACTTGTACATGAAGCATACCTTTTATTTGTTTGTGGAAAGGAGAAACAGTTGTATTAGTATTGATGTACCAGGATTTGTAATGCTTTAGGGTATACTAATTGAAATGAAATTATTGAGGGTATAGATACTGTTAAGAAATGAAGATCTGCATTGACGTACAACTTTCTTGATTTCAACCCCTCATTCATATAGTCGAAGAAGAACTTGCACCAATTATATTCTTTGAAATGCTTGATTTTGTTTGGCTGCAAGTACTCCAACACATTCAACTCAGCAGTAAGGTTTGAAAATGGGGACAGTAGACCTCCCGTAACCAGCAACCAGAAAAGTTTGATCCATAACTCAATGGTATGAACATTAGAAACGTCATGCTCTAAGTTAAGTAATTTCACCCTTGCATTTGAAGCTGGAGGTTCTAGTTCTAGTAGGACCTGCAACGCATAGTCTACTACTTCTTCCACTGATAATTTCTTGAGCGTCACTTCCTTTTTACCCATTGGTAGACCATAAACTCTATGAAAGTCAATTGGCGATATCTTCATGTAGTTTCCATCTGGCAGCTTGAATGATTGCTTTGTTGGATTGTACTTGCTCATTGTGAATAAAGCAAAGTTTTTGTTTATCTTTGTTTGCTGGATGGATGTTAAGCCATCAAGGCCTAATTCCTGCAATTTTTCCCTCAGTTCAGCTGTTAATGCCCTTGACAGTGTGTTGATTCTTGTTGGGCTGCACCTTGTGCGAAAATCGTCCCTTGGTTTTGACATGATGTACCTGCATCAAGAATAGAAGATTTGCTATACCATACCATACCATACCATACCATACCATACCATATTCTACCAGTAAGCAATATAGCGTACAACACATCAAAGGTTGTTGAACAGGTTTTCAAGTGATCTTACCTCACCATACCATATGGTATTATGGTAAATGGAACCATAGCAACATTTTTTTTTTGTGGAAAAACTATAATACTATATAGTTACCATATGGTACTAGTGTGGTATTGTAAAAAAATCAGGTCATATAATAGGTTTTTTTGTCATTTTTATACTTTTCTAGAAAATGTATTTAACTGTAAGTACTTTGACCACTACGCGGGTGGTTTCTCCTTAGAATACCATATGGTACCAGTGTGGTATTGTAAGAAAATCAGAGCAGAGAATAAGTTTTTTGTCGTTTTTATACTTTTTCTATAAATTTTTTTTCACTCTAAGTACTTTGACCACTACTGGAACAGTTTCTCCTTAGAATACCATATGGTACCAGTGTGGTATTGTAAAAAAATCAGAGCATAGAATAGGTTTTGTTGTCGTTTATATACTTTTCTATAAAATGTATTTCACTGTAAGTACTTTGACCACTACTAGAACTGTTTTCCCTTAGAATACCACATGGTACCAGTGTGGTATTGTGAAAACATTAATGCATAGTAGAGTTTTTTGTTTGGTTTTTTGATCATCTCTTCAAAACAGTATGGTTAGCGTTGTGTAAGAACAAAAATCTAGTGGTGAAATGTGAAGTATGTACTTGAAATTAGACATTCAGAATCACGAATCTAGTTTTTGAAGAAAGAAGTGATGATTTACCTTAATCGTTGAAGACGTCGAAGTTGGAAACCCTAACTTTGTCGTTGAAGACGTCGAAGTGGAAACCCTCACTTGATAGCTGAAGAATTGAGATCAATATCCTTTGCTAAGCAAACTGAAAATTCGAGTATGCAGTTTGCGAAGATGAAATGCGAGAGAGAGAGAGAGAGAGAGAGAGAGAGAGAATGATAGCGTAAATGCAGAGCGAAAAAGCAGAGATAGAACGTGAACCGTCTGTGATTTTTTGTTTTTGCAGAGTTGGTGATAATGATGGCGGGGAAGGCTCGCGTTTTCCTTTTTCAAATTGTCAGAAGGATTGTCCAGTTACTATTTTACCCCTACGTGTATTTGCTATTCTACATCTGATGGTCATCAATGGATTGCAATGGACGGCGGATCGGCTGGTTACTCACCGTTACTCACCGGTAGGTTACTTACGGGAACTGCTCCCCGTCCTATGCGCTCGTGCATGGAAAAGTGGAATTGATGGGATTTTGGAGAATAACCTCTATAGTAACTAGCTTATAATTCGGCCCGTTGGTCGGCATATTCATGTTTGATTATTTATATTTTCATGTTACGTTTAAGTCTATCAACTTGTTTAATTTTATTGACAATCCTTCGATCGAGATGATATATAAAGAAAGAATATATAGATCGAATATTTGGAGAAATATAAAAAATGTATAATTGATCTCATTTTCATAATGATAATTAAGTCCTCGATAAAATGTTACTGGTTAGTTGATTGAAAGATAGAGTATAAAAGCTCACTGAAATTCCCTCACGAACTATAGATAGTTTGAAACTAAATCTTAAACCTTGAAATCCTACACAAAGGTCCAATGCTCTCTTTTTAGGAACAATATGCAACTAATAAAAAAAAATGAAAAATTGTCGATTCAAGTCAACTATATGCTAACAACTCAGCTAAGAGGGGATCATCACAACTTGAGAGCAACCGCCAAAATTAGGGTTACCTCCAATATACTAATAGACTCGATCAAAGTAAGAAGGAACAAAATTAGACACTCCTTTTTTATCAGTTATAGTAGGTTGAATAAAGAATCGACCAACCTACTTCAGTAAATCAATCGATGATTCCTCGTTTTAAGATAGAATTAGGTTGCAATAGCTTCAAAAACAATAAACCTAAAGATCCAATAGCCACCACTCTCCATTGTACAAAATTTTTTTTATCCACTCTATCTTCAATCTCAAAAGGCATACGTTTCAACAAAAAAAATTCAATTTTTAATCCTCCTTCTGCACCTCCATTTATTGAACTCCATTCTATTCGCCATGGATTGATATCGGAGTTGAAATCTTTAACTTGCCCAGTTTAAATCTCCAAGAATAAAATCGTAGTGCCAAGAGACCGGAAGATTGATTTTCAAAGGCGGCTTTTACTGTAAAGTGAAAGGGGAGCAACCTATTGCACGATAGAGGGAATTTCAGAGGAATTTTGAAAGAGATAAGAACAATGATAAAAAAGTACAAATTTTAATATAAATTGAAAAATGCATTGACACAACACGTAGTAATAGAATTAGTTTCGTCCATGTTGGCCAATTACCAATCTACCTTTTGCAAAAATTAAGGAGAGAGTAGCGATTTTAGAATTGAGAAACTACATGAAACTCTGCTATGAAAATTGCAGTATCATGTACTATAAAAATACATACAGTAGACTTAGTGGGCTGGCTAATCATGATAAAAAAGTCTTCTGATTTTCAGAGTGTCACTTCGTGTATGTTTTGTATTAAAAAGATACAAAAAATTTGTTTCGTGTAATTTTTTGCGATTGTTCTCTTTATTTGAAGAGACCCGAGTTCAAATCCTGATGGTGACATTTTTATTTGAAATAATTAATTAATTATAAAGATAAAAATGTCCTTCCTACTTTCACTCTCGTTGCAGGAATTTTGAAATAGAAAAAAATAGACAAAACTCTACTATATAAATATATATATATATATATATATATATATATATATTATTGGAGGATTACTAGATAGATTGTACCCACCCCGTCGGGCATGTTGTAATATGATGACAATAATTAATAAAATTTAAAATTTTTGAAGTCCAAACTTCAGCATCAACTCCACTATATTCATTATTGATAGGTGCTTCTTTTTTCTTATTTGTTAGGAAGCAAATTTAAAAATAAAATATAACTAGATATGAATATAACTTTCACCACAAAAAAATTTACCTCATTCCGGTCACAAATTTTGTTGAAGATATTTTTTTAATACTTCATTCCTTCATTTAATAAGACTTGAGAGAGATGAGTTATAATCTAAATATGAAAAGTGTTAGCAATTTTTTTATAAGGCTGATAGAGCTTTTTTATTTTTGGTTAAGTACTATTTAAAAGTTTTGAACCTGTGCTTTTCGTATTTAAGACCGATGATATTACCACTGGGATCAAATCATTGTTTGTAAGAAAGATAAAATGTTAGTGATTGATTGGGAAATATCCACTATTCGAGTTGGATCCTAAATATGAAGAATGCTAATAATTGAGATTCATTATTTAGAAGAGCAATATAATCTTTAATGAGGATGATTCTTTAATTGACTACATATGAAGAATGAGAGTGAAGAGGTGATTTTCACCTAATAACTATAGTGTTTGATGTTGCTAGTCAATTCTGACAAAAGAAGTGTTCTTTAAGTTTTCGTGGATGGGTTCTATATTAGGGTCTGTCCGTTGGCTGAATAAAAGTGAAAGTTAAATATTTTTGTCGCCTTATAGTAATGTACTAAGAAGAAATAAAAGAATGTGACAAATATATAATTTATCAATACACTTCTTGCTAGTAATTTTGATTATTTATCTTAATTTACTATTTCAAACAAAATGAATATTATCATGATGATTTATTCATTGGAAATAAGTGCTGAACATTCACGTCAGTCCCATTCAAAATTGAGTGAAAATTCACTAAAAAAAGGTGAATATGCAATCTTTATCCACCCGAATCCGACTTAATTGGGTAGGGTAAAATCCAAACTCGAAAAAATTCAAGTAGTTTCTTATGGTAATACTCGAACTCGAGTATTGTGGATAATGGGTGGGCACGATTTTCTCACTATCCAAATTGAACCCACCTGATCATGCAAATGCATATGTATTTCAATAAATGGTTATTGTTTGTCTCAACATATTAAATATATAGCATACATATATAATATTTGTCATGAAATTTTATTGTTTATAACTAATTTACTTCATTCTAGTGATTTATTATCACACTTTTTTCACTTATATAATGTCAGTATACATGTGAATGTTAACATGTTGATTGGAGTCATAACAATAAATTATTATCTATGGATAACCGTGGATACCCAAAACCCGATTAGGTACGAGCATGACATTGATTTTATACACGATTCTTCTACGAAAATCCCAAACTATTTCGGGTAGGATAATGGGTGAGGTGGAGATTATCATTGTTGAGCTATGAAGCTGCCGAAGTAGAAATGAGTTGGAACTTGGAATTAATTTCTTTTTAATTTAGTGTTATGTCATTCATATTGAAAGTTTACTACCATGTATGATAAATTTAATAAAAACGGACGGCTAGTGACAATAAAAAATGAGAGTTTGGCCACCATTTCGGTTGAACTTTCTAGTAATAAATGTGAAACTAAATGATAAATATAATGACCAAACTCCAAACATGACATTTTTTTATAATAAAAAATTAACGTAAATAAATATATACAAATCTTAACCTGAAAGTGTATAATTATTGACAAATAATTAATAGCTTAAATAATTTTATATTTGGTGGAAGGCAGCTTTTAGTTTGGTGGAAGAGTAAGCGAACGGTATCGGGATTGCACTGCAAATGACCAGATAGTCCTTCCTAAAGTGGGGCAGAAGCTAGCAATTTTAGAATTGGGTGTGCTTTCACGGGGAACGTGTATATAGTATTTGGAGGAGGAGGAAGGAGGATTTGACGATTGATGATGACTTGGCCACAGGTTTCGATTTCGCAACATATTTACAATTAAATTGGGCCCGCTGACTAAGCCAACCTGACCAGGCCCGACCCAGTTGTGTATCGGATTCATTAGAAGTGTTAAAGTGTTAGCCATTGCTAGAGTACCGGCCCATTACCGACGTGAAAAACTTGATCATGAAGAGAACAAGCCGTACGTGTAGATAATTAGTAAAATACGATACAGAAAAGTTTCATATAAAATACGGACGGGTATTTTACTTCATCTTTAAGCTAATGTTGCGTTTAATAGTACGTTAATAGTCATAAATATATAAAATTAATTATTTTTTAAAATAAATAAATATAAAAAAATAGCAAAGTTAATAATTTAATTGATTAAATACGGATATTAAACGTGTTATACCGGTTTTATACTTGTTTAGTACATGAGCCATCAAATGAACGGAAACAAATGAAACGGCTTAACAATAATACGGATACAAAAATTTTAAACGGATAAAGTACGTACGGGTACATATACATGTATTAAACGGAGTATTTACTAGCTCTACAATCCTCCATTAATATATGGTAGAGTTTTGTGTAATTTTTTCCATTTCAAATTTCCTGCAACGAGAGTGAAAGTAGTGTGTAATTTTTTCCATTTCAAATTTCCTGCAACGAGAGTGAAAGTAGGAAGAACATTTTTGTCTTTACAATTAATTATTTATTTCAAATAAAAAATATCAATATCAAGATTTGAACCCGGGTCTCTTCAAACAAAGACAACAATTATAACCAATAACACTAAACGAATTTGTTGTTTCTATTTGAATACAAAACATAAACTAAGTTAAACTCTTGAAAGTAAATGACTTTTACATCATGATCAACAAGCCCACTAAGTCTACCGTATATATTTTCATGGTGCTTAATACTTCAATTTCCACAGTAGAGTTTCATGTAATTTTATCTATTTTAAAATTTATGCTCTCCTTAATTTTCGCTTAGGTAAATTTGTAATTGACTAACATGGAAGAAACTATTTCTTTTACTACGTGTTGTGTCATTGCATTTTTCAATTAAAATTTAAATTTTGTGCTTTTTTTTATCTTTGTTCTTAACTCTTTATAACTTCCTCTGAAAGTCCCTCCATCGTGCAATAATTTGACCCTTTCACTTCCTAGTACAAGGGCGCATTTGAAAATTAATCTTCCGGTTTCTCTTCGTACGACAGTTTTATTTTGGGGATTTAAGCTGGGCTAATAGAAAATTTCAAATCCGATATCAATCCATGGCGAATAGAATGGAGTTCAATCAAGTAGTTATGAATTTGAACTTGGAGTAGAAGAGTTGGAATTGAGTTTGAGAATGGAAGTGATGGGGGGAAGAAATTATGTTTGGATTTGGTAGCAGGTAAAGTTCCACTACAGCAGGTGAAGGCAAAGAAGAGGGAGTTGGAGAGGGTAGTGAATGAATTGAGGAGGGTTTTGAAAGACATGGAAGCGAAACTGGAGCAGTTAAAGAGAGAGAAGTGAGAGATGATGAGGGTAGTAATGAAAATGGAGAGGTTATTGAAGGGCATGGAAGTGGAATGAAAAAGGTGAAGGCAGACAAGGGGGAGATGAACATATTGATGAAATTGGAGATGAGTGTTGGTTTTAGCGAACTTATTACAACTACCCCGAGGAAGATGAGTTGGCAAACACAAGAAGAAGTTTGAGGAGTTGAAGAGCGAGTTGATAAGAACCTCAATTGGAAGAGAAATTGAGGGCCACGAAGAGAAGGTCCTTCAAAGTAGCAGAAATGAAGTTGTTTGGTTGAAACATATGCATCTTGAGATTAAAGATAGAGTGGATAAAAATTTGGTCGTTCAACGGAGAGTGGTGGCTATTGGCTCTTTAGGTTTATGGTTTTAGCAGCTACAAGAACCTATTTCTATCTTAAAACGAGAAATCATTGATTGATTTACTGAGTTAGGTCGATTCTTTATTCAACCTACTGAAACTGATAGAAAAGGAGTGTCTAATTTTGTGTCTTATGACTTTGATAAAGTCTATTAGTATATTGGAGATAACCCTAATATTGTTGTTTGCTCTCAAGTTTTGATGGTTCCCTCGTAGCTTAGTTAGTAGTATATAGTTGACCTGAACCAACAACTCTCTATTTCTTTTTTATTAGTGGCATGTTGTTCCTAAAAGGAGAGCATTGAAGCCTTTATGTATGGTTGTGAGGTTTTAGGTTCAGTTTCAAACTATATATGGGTCGTGTGGTAATTCCAGTGAGCTTTTATATTCTATCGTTCTTGACAATCAACTAACCAATATAATATTATCATTATGAAAATGAATTCAATGATACATTTTTATATTTTATATTCTTAAATGATGATGGTATTTCTTCGAATGTTCGACCTATATATTATTTCTTTATGTATCATCTCGATCGAAAGATTGTCAAAAAAATTAAATGAATTGATAGACTTAAACTTAAAATAAAATTATAAATACTCAAATATGAACATTCCGGCCAACGGGCCGTGTTATAAGTAAGCTAGTATATAGATAGCTAGATTGCACCTCTCATTCAAATTTTCCTGCAACGAGAGTGAAAGTAGGAAGGGTATTTTTGTCTTCACAGTTATCTATTTGTTTCTCATTTATTCATTAAAGAATAAACACATATTAGGATTTGAACTGTGGTCATTTTCAAGAATGACAAGAATCTTAATCAATCTACATATATTAGTTGTATCATTTTAAATAAAAAACATACATCAATCTAACATTAAAAAATAGAATAACAACGACAACTTATGATAACTATATGATCTGCATTTTTATTTTTATGAGTAGTCTAACTGAAGTCTTTAGGCAATAGAGATTGGTTCGTTCATCACAGATTCTACAACCTTCACCAGTTTGGTGCTGGCATGGTACAGATCCTCCTTCATGTAGAAAAAGAAGAAGCCTTTCACCGCTCTCCAAAACATCAACCTCACTGCTTTAGGAACCTCGCCGCAGTTGTCTTCTCCGGTGGTCAATCTCATCATTTGTCGCGTCAAGGTTGTTATCTGGTTTTCAACCTCTTCAACAGCTTCTTCCATGTCCATTCCTCTTCTCATGATTCTTAGTGACACTGCATTCACGTTGCCTTCTTCTGCTTCTCTCTGTTATCAATTAACCACAAACAAAAACGAAAAAAAGAACAAAATGATCAAGAAAGAAAATAGCGATAGATAGCACGACCGAAGTTCAAGAACATGCTATGCGTAAGACGGGCTTTGCGAGCTTGCCTAACGCCTAACTTGTCTAGGCGTTGTTTAAGCACTCCTAGGCACTAGAAATAAAATAGTAGTTTTTACTAAATAATGAATGAACTAGAAGCTTCGAGAATTTCAATGGTCAATTGATTAAATACCTTACATAACACTTTAAAACAAGCCTAATAGGTCAAAATTATATATAGAACTATAGCTGAATAGCTCCCAAAGTTGTTCAACTATTGAAAATTTTGAGTGAGAAGCCTTTTTGAATCATGATGTAGAAAAATCTGGGACAACTGAAATGACTTGTACTGAGTTGGTATGTGTTTACCTCAAAGCCTCTAACATCGTTCAAGAGACGTCCGATGGTGGTTGTGAGCAAGAACAACCTTTGGTATTGCGGACCTCTGACAACATCGTCTTCTAGCTTGTGCCCAGCTGAGTATATGGCAGGGAGCAAGAATGCTGCAACTCCAAGTGTAATCGATGAAGTCTCCATGTATTCTTCCAGTGTCGGGATAGTGTTCGTTCTGCACCATTCTGCTTCCTGCAACATTCCTTTTACAATATCCACCCACTACACAGTAACAAATGTGAAGATTTGATCAGGTAGCTAGTAATTGTAAACTTTCTCTCAATAATTCGAGTTATTGAGACCAACTGGTTTATGATATGGTATCAGAACTGGTTTGACCAAGTGGTCGTGTGTTCAAATCTCCACGACCCCCAATATCAACAATTGATAAAAGCACAAGGTATGGTGGGCCTGTGCAAACTTCAAGCCCGTAAGTTGAATTTCGTTTGAGGGGGCGTGTAAGAGAGTGGTATGAGATTCATAATAACCTTCTCTCAACAACTCGCGAGTTATTGAGACCAACCGGTTCATGACAGTAATGTGTACAAACAATGTCTCTCTTTGAATATATTGTTGATGGGTAAAAGTGTAAGGAGTAGTTAAGTAATGTGGATTGATTTTTTCAACAACTTGAGTTATTGAGATCAGTTGGTTTATGACTAGATTGGGCCATCGAGATTTGAACAGAAGACCTCTCGATCAAAGTAGGCTTAGATACCATGTGAAGATCAGTTTATTGGAATCAACTGGTTCTTGACAAGGTATCAAAACTAGTTTGTCCTTGAGGTCGTATGTTCAAGTCCTCACGACCTCCAATATTAACTGTTTTGCCCATGAGTTGGCTTTCGTTTGAAGGGGCATATAGGAAGCCGTTAAATATCATACAGGGACCTCTACCAACAACTCGAGTTATTGATACCAGTTGGTTTATGGCATTAATAACTAGTTTGTTTACGACGACATTAATAACCAGTTGATCCCAATAAATCAAGTTGTTGGAAGAAATTCAAGTATGAATCTTATACCATTTACTACCATGCACACTCAGAGTCGTCGTTAGGACTCTGAACAAAATATTTCACCGTGACAGAAGTTCTAATACCATGCTAACAACGAGTTGGTCTAATATATAACTGTGTGTAGTTGTCGAAAAAGATAAAATTTTAGGTTATATATATATCTTCTACTAGCATATGACAACGATATATGAGGTAAGAAGCTAGGGCTTACAAGCTCGACGACGTGATCCATCACACTACGTCCTTGCGTTGGAAAAGCTTTCTCCACGCTCTCACATATAGCACCGTGGATCGCCCAGTATATCGTCTCCACTCGCTTTGAACAGAACTCTGCCTTTGGTCCGTTCACATCCCACCTACGACGTTGCAAAGTTGCAGCTCGGTTAGCTTTTACACGACCATTTAATATATATATGTTGGTTTAGATTGTTTGTCAACAACAACGTAACTTGCGAACCTCTCCAACAAATCGACAATGTTCAGCTGCTCCTCGTGAGTTCCGTCGATGTCGAACACGGCGTCGACGACACAGACGAGGACGGCGTGCTTGCAGAGCAAGATGCGAGCGTGGGAGAGCTCCGGTTCGGTGAAAGTGGTGGAGCCGTGGAAGTGACAGTAGCGGGTTTTCACCTTGGCCAGCATCGAATCATCATCTAATTTTTTTCCTTTAAGCCACCTGCATGCATGCATGCGGTAATCGGGTAAGCTTAATCTTCCTACACAATAGTGAGATTAACTGGTAATTGAGTGATATTTAATAATTGTACGTACTGCATCAGATGTTGTACTTCTTTGCGGTGTAATGATTGACGGGAGTTGAAGTCTTCCACTGCTAGTTTCTGAAAGTCTTGGCCCCCAAAAGCGGCACAGCTACACAAGTTTAAGAAAAAGAAAAGAAAAACCGATATATTACTTACTATATGTAGTTACTTAGTTTGGTGTACGAGTTCGTTGATTGGAATATTATTTGAACATAACCGTATTTATAATGTGTATCTTAATTTTTTTTCCCCTACCTAAATTATTTGTCTGTGTGGCATTAAGGTGATTCCACATTTTCAAATTTTCATCCTTAATTGATATACATATATAATTGATTAATTAATTAATCAATCAAACCTGAAGGAGGATTTAAGAATCCTGGTGTTGTCAGGACAGTACTGCTCAGCATTTCTTTTGTGAACCAGGATGTCCAAATCAGCGTGGAACGGATAACGTACAACATCATTCACCTACGAAGTCAAATTATTATTATTATATAATTATGGGGTTCAAATCAAATAATACAATACGTATATTTATTTTAATAAAATAAGCCGGCACCTACTTGAGTGACATAATTATTTAATTTTTTCTTTTGTGCTGGACTGTGATTGGTCACATCGCGACAATGATCCAGAGCAAGTTGCTTAAGGAAGTGCGCCGTCCACAGCTGTTGGCTTCCAAGGATGGTGGATGCCTCGTCGTCGTGCAGGCAAGTGGCGATTCTGGCAGCTCTGTGCAACTCCAACACTGCTCTTCCATCCTTCAAATACCCTTCTAGGGTTTCATTCCAGAACCGGTCCTCTGTGAATCGATTGAAGACATCTGCAGATAAACCGACGAAAGAGCTAGAGTGATGCGAGAGGAGGATCCATAATTAATGATTAATCCGTTTAAATACTCCGTTTAATACACGTATATGTACCCGCGTACGTACTTTATCCGTTTAAAACTTCTGTATCCGTATTATTGTCAAGTCGTTTCATTAGCTAAGAGATGAGTATAATACCTGTACGTATTTTATACGTAACTTTCCCGTACCGTAATTTTACTGACTATAAATTAATCGAGCTATTGTGTGACCAACTGATTTACGACACGTAAAAAAAAAAACATAATCAGAAGAAAGGAATTCTGTCATGTCGCGGTAAATACCTGACGAAACCGGATATCCGTTGAGTCGTAATATCCGAAACGCCATGGCGCAAGTCGTGGCATCAAGGAATATCTCTTCCTCCCCCTGCCGCCAGCGTCTGTGGATCTCGTCCAATGCCAGCTCGATCTCCTCTCGGAAATGGCGATCGATTCCCAAACTCTCAACAGTATCTATCAGGCAGAGTCGAGCCTGAATTTCATGAGGATGAACCGCTGGAACTACACATATATGACGTACCAGAGATATAATCAGTAAAATACGATACAAGTAAGTTACGCTATGAGTATTTTGCCTTTATCTTTCAACTAATGATATGTCTAATTATTGATCTGAAATAATTATATTAAAAATACATAAATGTATAAATAATATTCAAATTATCAATTTAATTCGTTGCATGTGAATAATGAAATCGTTATACAATATTATACGTGTTTAGTACGTGAACCATCAACAAACCGGAAAAAAAAAAATGAAACAACCTGTCAATATTATTTAAACTGAAATTTTCGACATATCGTCCATATACACGTGTATACACAAACCTGCGGCTGCGTTGCTTCCGGCAGTGGTGGTGCGTAATACCGACCGGAGGTAGCCGAGCGAGAGTGCATCACCGCCGTGACCGTGAATAACAGCGGCGGCGGTCGCCGACGGCGAGTTGAGGATCGACCCGTTCTTCCTTTGGAACCTCATGGCATTTCCCTGACCCTGAAAGCCTCCGATCCCTTCCAATATGTAGGCCAAGTAGGCGTCACGGCCAACGGTTCGGTCCACGCCGGTCAACGCAACGTCTCTGTTGCGGATCATGGCGTCAACGTCGAGCGGAAGATTCAGACTGTAATCCTGAGTCAATGTTTGGACCATTGAAGGGAATACGACGTCGAATCCGATCGGAGCTTGCAGGCTGGAGTCCAAGAGGGAACCTGAATTCCGCTCCATAAAAGCCAGCGCTGTTGGACGACAGAGGGTAAACGTTAGACTAAAAACTAACAAAAAAGTGTGCGGTGCAATCTCCAATTAATATGTAGTCCAATTTTTTTTTTCTTTTTCCCATTCAATTTTTGTAATATGCGGTAGAAATAGTTTTCAACCATCATAGATCGTTGATGAATTTTGTGATGATTTCTTGTGTCATTTTTATTGTATAACACAAACGTTACTTTCAGAATACAAATATGACTTTAACGATGTATGTACATGGCAATATTGACTAATACTAACTAGCACTAGCATTAATTATATTTAAACATATTATAATTACCATAATATATCAATTGTATATCAACTTTTATTTTTTAGAAACTGCATCAACTAACATAACACGTTGTCTTAGTTAGTAAATACTCCGTTTAATATACGGATATGTATCCATACGTATTTTATCTGTTTAAAACTTCCGTATCCGTATTATTGTCAAACCGTTTCATTTTTCCCTGTTCATTTGATGGCTCCAATACTAAACACGTATAAAACCCTTGTAACACGTTTAATACATGTATTTAATGAATTAAATTGTTAAATTTATTATTATTTATTTTAAAAAATAATTAATTTTATATATTTATGACTATTAACATACTATTGGACGTTACATTAGCTTAAAGACGAAGTAAAATACCCGTACGTATGTTATACGTAACTTTCCCGTACCATATTTTACTAACTATGAGGTGGCGGCCCCCTAAAGTTTGGATACCCTATGCCGCAGCTCCCGGCCCCACCCTATTGGTTGGTCCTGGGCTAATAACATACTTTAGCATTAAAAAATGGTATATGATCTACGATCGAACTTCTCTCTCCCGCTTACCGCTGTGAACGTGGTGGTCGCCTGTGCCCCATCGTTTGAGTGCAAGAATGCAGGCCAGGGTAGACGAGAGCGCGTCCTTCATCAACGTCTGGTCTCTGACGCCGTGAACGGAGTGCAAACTCCAGGAGCCATCGTTGTGCTGGTTCTCCAGTATCCATGTCAGGCATCCCGGGAAGATTGGTTTTTCTGGTGAAACCGCCGGCGGAGCAGGAGATGGAACCATCGCCACCCATGCCGTGTCGTAGGCAGAGGCGGACAGCTCGGACTTCTCAAAGAGCTTCTTGATTCTCTCCTTCCGATGATCGCCGCCGACGGCAATCTGCTGCGTCAAGCTGCCGGCTCCGGCGACTTTGTTTTTGCCCCATCGCGTCCCGTCCAAGTCTCTCGTTGCCAGCTGCAGGTCGGGGTTGGTTGAATGAAGGGACATATTTGTGGTATGTGTGTGAGGGAAATTGTTGATCGAAGCTAATTAACAGTTGTAGTAACTATATTTGAATTGGAATTTGCTTCCAGGACTCCGCCTAAATATGGGAAAAAATGGGAGCTTGGCTAAGAACGATGCATTTGTGGAATATATAGTTCTAGCTGAATCTTCCGTGCCGGTCAAAGCAGGTAGACCATATGCACCTAACTATGTCTAATTGAACTGGCAATTTGAACTCGCCCTGCGAGTATTATCCGACTTGATTCGCAAAGGACGGGTATTACCCTATTCATAGTAGCGTGAGACGGGGAATGGGTATCTATTTCCAACTTACCCTGTTCCGTCCCGTTTTGTTCTTGGCCCATTCTACATCAATTTCTTACAATATCTATACATATTTCTCTTGTTTTGATTTTCTTCAACTAATTAGAGCCGATCTTTCAACTGGCTAGACTCAATTAACCATTCTATTGTCACTATTTTTCATTAATAAAGTGTTTTCTCTTTCGTTTTATTGTGAATAGTAAAATTTGCGTGTTTTTTTTCCAAGTAACATGTAAGAGTGGGTCGACCCGCCACGCCCCCTACCCGCCCCGTAGTAGCGTGGGGCGGGGTATGAGCATTGAGGTACCCGTCCCGCCCTGCCCCATTGCCATCACTAGATTGAACCAGTTTTATCGGGTATTACCAGACGTGACTCGAGATGGGACGGGTATTTTTCTGTCTCTGTAGTATGAGTTGAATCATGAATATTTATTTTCAACTCATGGCCTGCTTCCTTTTGTTCTTGGCTTATTTTTTTTTTTTTTATGGTATCCATTTGTGTTTTAATTATTTTTAATTAATTAAACTTGATATTTAAATTAGTTAAATATGATATTTTAACTATTTCGATTATTATCCAACGGTAAAATATTTAAAGAAATTCCGGTAATAGAAATAATGATGAAAAAGACTATTAAAAGGAAAGTACAGGTCGAGACTCAGTCAATGGTTTTTGGAAGAGTTAATAACACTTTTGGCCACTGAACTATATTGCTCTTACTTTCATAGCGTGTGAAGTGTGAATTATTTATTTTCCTATTATATATACCTCCTGAAAGTATATATTTTTTTCAATCTAATCCTTAGCGTTAAAGTTTGTCTGGCTCCATTAGATTGGGACTTACCTAAACATTGATAGATGGCTCATGTGCATAAAATGTCCCCATAATTACAAAAACAAAGATAATTCCTCCATAATTTTAACACCTTCCCCAACTGATCACTTTCATAAGTTTAATTCATCCTACAATTTTCAATCAAACTCAACAAGTCTATGTTTGGTCCGGCTTTTAGAAGTGCTTTTCGGCTTCTAAAACTAAAGTAGGGCCAAACACCTCTAAAAGCTCGGCTTTTGAAAAGCCGAAAAGCGCTTTTGTATAACATAAAAGTAGAAGCTCCGATTTGGAGCTTCTGCGAAAAGCAGTTTTGAAAATACAAGATTACCTTCATTTATATCATTTTTAAAATAAAATAAATTATAAATCATATTATTTAATATAAAAAATATCTAACAAGATCCATTTTAACTACTTTTTATTGTTTAGAATTTGTATTCATATTTTATAATATAAGTCTTTTATAATCACTTTACACAACATCTCATATTAAAAAGCACTTCTAATAGTTTTACAGCCAAACACTCAACTGCTTTTTTTTAGAAGTACTTATCTAAAAGCTCCAGTCAGAAGCTGCTTCTGCAAAAGCTACACCAGGGCCAAACTAAGGTAAATAGGTTTATCTTTTGTCAAAACTTAAAAAAATAGCTAGGATAACCTTTTAATTACATGATTTTCTGAATGAGTTGGTGCCTAATTAGCATGTCTAGTGAGCAATTGAATCCCCGTTGAAGAGAAGATTAGCAGTCTTTTAAATAACAAGAGCCACAACAGGAAAATGCTTAGATTTGAATGACTATGTTAGAAAAAAAAAATATTACAGAGATCATGATAGGAAAACTAGGGGTGGGCAACGGGAGGGGACGGGATACCCGTCCCGTTTTAAACGGGTACCCAGTCCCATTTGGAGGCCAAAGTCCATCCCATATCCCAAACCCATATGGGAAACGGGTACCCATTACCCGTACGGGACGGATAACGGGTACCCATACTACCCATAAATACCCAAAGTTTAAACCACTCAAATTTTAACAAAAGTTTAAACTTAACTTGTACTTGCTTAACAATCACAAGACACAAATCATGAACAATCACAACGCATAGAAAAAATCATTCTAAGCACCAAATTATCAAATAAGAAGTTTCATTCAACACAAATCATGAACAATCACAACGCATAGAAATAAATCATTCTAAGCACCAAATTATCAAATAAGAAGTTTCATTTAACAAAAGGGAGTCTACAAGTATTATGTTCACATAGCGTTCTTTGTTTCTTTACTAAGAAAAGTTTCATCTTTGTGGCGAAGTGGACATTCCCTTTCTATGGATTAGAGTTCGCAAATGGGTAAAACGGGTACCCACATTACCCAAACGGGTATTTGCGGGTAACCCGCGGGTACCCATATTAGGAATGTACAATCCCAAGTCCCATCCGTTCATAATATTACGGGTAATATGGGTACCCGTAACCCTTAAAAAATGGGACGGGTACGGGTATACCCAAATACCCGTTTCCCGTTGCCCACCCCTAAGGAAAACATTGGCATACTTTAATGGCGAAATACATCATTAACTCTTTATTTTATTTTTTAACTATAGATCTAAACCATGCCATATTAGCTATGTAGGGATGACAAAAATATCCGTAATCGTGGATATCCGCCCGAATCCGGCCTAATCGGGTAGGTTAAAACCCGAACCCGAATATTGCGGGTAATTGGTGGGCATGGGTTTCTCACTATCCAACCCGAACCCGCCCGATTGTACACATGCATATGTATTTTGTCTAGAAATAATCAATATTTTTCTCTAACATATTTTATATTTAGCATATAAATATAATATTTTCATGAAATTGTGTAGTTTTAATTAATTTTCTTCATTCCAGTAAATTATTGTCGTACTTTTCCTCTTACGTAATGTGAGAATACATATAAATGTTAACATATTGGTTGGAGTTATGAAGAGAAATTATTACCCATGGATAACCATGGATATCCGAAATCCGAACAGGTATGGGCATGTGATTTTCTACCCATTTCACATGTGGGTATGCATAAAACCCGAACTACTATGGGTAGAGTAACGGATATGCACTATCTGCGCCTAACTCGACCTATTGCCATCCCTATAGCTATGTGCCTATGTCCCTACCCGAGATGACCTAATCATGGCCACCGGAAATCACGGAGCTCGTTGGAAAGTCTTTCTATGAATAGCCCAATAAGGAAATTCTTTAGCTTTAATATGGGTTCGTATTTTATATTCTTCTACTAGGACTTCTTTTATATATATATATATATATTCCTCTATTAAAAATAAATATATATTCCTTTATTACGATAGATTAACAAACTATTCCTTAACTAAATTTTTGCACAAACATACTCTTCTACATTTCGTCTGGATTAAAAAAAAAAATCGTTTGGGCATAACAGAGCATAAAAAAATACCGTCTCTGGAGTGATTTTTTTTCCCCAGCAGAGTAGCAGTGGCAATAGGCAGAGCTCCAAGGGTATTGACCGGTTCTCTCTCTCCATTCACCGACGAGGAGATGTCGGCAGCAGGCTTCGTTGCCGAATCGATGGCCAGGGGAAACAGACGTGTAAATTAAGTGTGAGTTAATCTAGGTTTTTTTTAATTAATTGAATTGAGATATAAAATAATTAAAATAAAAATTTAGAATATTTAGAGTTAATAAGGGGCAGTTGGGTGATTTCACCACTCATTAACGACCACTTAACAGATAGTTAGATGGATGAGTAAATTTGTTACGTTTTAATATTAGAAGGGTATATTTGTGCAAAAATTTAGTACATGGGTACATTTGTTAATCTACCATATTAGAGGGGTACAAAATGCTATTAACCCTTTTAATATTAATGCAATTTAGGGGTGAATTACAAGTTTGGTCACTCAGTTTACCAATTTCTTTCATGTTTGACACTCAAAATATTTTTTTCCTTTTATTGGTCACAGTCTTATAAGTTATAATTCACCCAGCCTTTGTAATTTTAAGTTGAACATTTGAATACTGATGTTATACAAGCATGTGTGAATTTTCACTATATGTTGGATCCAAGTATGACCTGCTGGTTTGGTGCAATGTGACATGTTACTACCCATACGTTAGATGAGATTTGATAATAATTTATAAATGTTTCCACAACATAATGACTTGACTAAAATGACCGAACCATTAATCCTCCTAGTTCAACCCACTTACTCAACCAAACCAACATTGTACTAAACAGTATTTACAGCAATTGACAGCAATGACTTATGCTGGTTAGGCGGTATCCAGATCCGTGTCTTTGTCGGAACGAGGAAGGACTTATTCTCACTTGGGACAGGGTTTGGTGAGTTGGATTCATAAATGGATGGAATTGAGTTTTGTGGGTATATATATAGTCAAACAGAAAGAAAACAAAGGAGGTCCTCCAAAAATATATTACAGATGTATGAGCCAATTGATGATTTGATCTGTCTGCTAAAGCCGTTAGCGGTATCAAATTTACGAGGGGATTAATAAAAAGCCAGACACACAAATTAAGAAACAGTTCAACATTAATTATTAGGGGGACTCATTCTACAAGCAACGGAAAAACGGATAAATGTTAAAGTGGATCACCGGGTGGATTAGGGATTTCCACATGTGGGGTTTGGGCCCAAAACCTACGTCGAAAAAGTCTAGGTTTTGTTTTGTTTTGGTTTGTTATATGTGGTTGGTTTTCACCATAATGTCTTGTTTGTTTACCTTAATAGTTAATACCCACAACACAAGCCACAAAGCACAAAACGCCTGCGACCAAAACTAACAAAAACAAGAGGAGAGAGAACACACGGAAGCAATAAGCAAGATATTACAACGAGGCTGTAGGGGACGCCGAATGGCAAACCCAGGTATTTATGATAATCGAGATGAGAGGATTTATAAAGACATAAACAAGAATCGAAATAGAACGAGATCTACGTGTTTTTCTTGTTCGATCAGATCGAACAAAGGATTAGTCCATGTGAAAAAGAGGTTTTATATGTCATTTTTATTGCATGCACTTCATGAGATCTTGCTCGGTGTTGATGGCACCGTTGACTTCTGCAATGTGAGGTTCTCCTAATGTGTTATCATACATTTATCTTTGGAACTCAACGTCCTCGTTGAGGTCTGTCCAACGATCGTTCAAGAGAGACGCGCAGAGGATGTGATACCATTTGTAACATCTCGAATCCTTTTCCCGACAAGATATTATCCGCTTTGTGTGTCTAGCTAGACTCTCACGAATAACAAAAACAAGAGGAGAGAGAACACACGGAAGCAATAAGCAAGATATTACAACGAGGCTGTAGGGGACGCCGAATGGCAAACCCAGGTATTTATGATAATCGAGATGAGAGGATTTATAAAGACATAAACAAGAATCGAAATAGAACGAGATCTACGTGTTTTTCTTGTTCGATCAGATCGAACAAAGGATTAGTCCATGTGAAAAAGAGGTTTTATAACACCTCTCACACTCTCACGTGATTTTCTTCCTGAGATCTTGCTCAGTGTCCATTTATTAACACACCTCTGTCACTCAAGGTCTCAAGCCATTCAGATAGGCTTGGAGTTTGCACAGGCACATGTCTGGACACCATGTGATTAATTAAGAGAAACATATGGGAGTCATCAGGATTCAAACATGAGACCTCTGGGTCACTAAATTTTCTGATGTCATGTCGATAACCAGTTTATTCCAATAACTCGAATTGTTGGGAGAGGTTCAATACTTCAATTGTAGATCATATATTGTTTGTTAATAACACTCATCTTTGGGACTCAACGTGAGTCCAACCATCTTTCAAGAGGTTAGAGGAGAGGCTGTGATACTATTTGTAATATCCCGAACCTTTTTTCCGACATTATATTATCCACTTTTTATGTCTAGACTATCACTAATTTGATCTTGGAGTACATATCAATGTTACTTTCCATCACGTCACTCATCCTTATAGAGTTCCACAATGATCATGTTTAACTTCGAAGATTTTAAAAAACAGTTTCATTTTCACTCAAAACATGTGAGCTGAGAAGATATAATTAGTAACTTTCAGTAATAAACCACAATATCTATAGGATGAATTAATTAGTAGCTAGCCCCGATTATTTAGCCCAGTCTATGTCCATTTCTCAATAAAATATGTGGTTGAGAGATACTCAACATAAATGTTATTATCATTAGCTGTGATTGTTCATTTGTTTGACTCAGTTTATAAAAGGATGGGTGTGCACTTATCTTATCAACAGATAAGATATATAACAACCGCATTTGAGTTAAGTACTTCATTCACCTGCTAACTACTTTACCCGTTGCCTCGTGTTGGAATTTAGAGGTGACAATTTTCAATTCAATTCACTAATTCAATCCACCAATCCATTAAAAATATTCACCTAATCCAATCCATTTTATCTAAATCCAATTGGATTGGTGGATTCATGAATTGATCCATGGATCCAAAAGGCAAATTACGATTTGGTACCTATATTTTTATATTTGACATTTTGGTACCTAAAATGTAATTTTTATACTAAAAAGATCATTGGAAAATTATGTTTTGGTACCTAAAATTTTTCATTACGACATTTTAGTACCTAAACTTTTCATATTTTACATATTGGTCCAAGGTTGAGGATGTCATTTGGATTCATGGATAATCCACCAATCCACATGATCCATGGATCTCCCAATCCAATCCATCAATCCATGGATCCAATCCATTTGCCACCTCTAGGTTGGATGCACCCACTGAATTTGGTTTGGAGAACCTCGACCGGACCCGACCCGATTCAATAGCAATTTCCAGTTCAATTTACTAATCCAATCCAATCCAATCCAATCAATCTACTAACATATCATCAACTAATCAAATCCATTTAAATTCAATCCAGTTGATCCATATTCAATTAGATTGGTGAATTCATGGATTGCTGACAAATTGCAGTTTAGCATCCATATTATTTTATATTTTATAATTTGGTATATAAAATTTACTTTTTACATGAAAGTGTCATTGGAAAATTACGTTGTAATATATTAAATTTTTATTATGACATTTCAGTGCCTAAACATTTTTTTACTCATTGGTCTGAGACTTGGATGCTATTTGGAATCGTGGATCAATCCACTTTATCCAATTAAGGGGTGAATTACAAGTTTGGCCACTCAGTTAACTAATTTCTTTCATGTTTGACACTCAAAATATTTTTTCCTTTTATTGGTCGCAGTCTTATAATTCACTCAGTCTTTGGAATTTTAGGTTGAACATTGGAATATTGATGTTATACAAGCGTGTGTGAATTTTCAATATATGTTGGATCCAAATATGACATGTTGGTTTTTGATGCATTGTGATATGTTACTACTCATTCATTAAATGAGATTTGATAATAATTTATAAATGTATCCACTATTCACAACATAATGATTTGACTAAAATGATCGAACGATTAACCATCATACTTCAACCCACTTACTCAACCAGACCAACATACTTGTTATGGGACAGTACAAGTATCACATCGGTAATACAAGGGAAGAAACTCTTGTATATTAGTGTCTACTAAACTCATTAGTACCAAGCCTTTTGGGAAGCAGACCCAAGAGTAAAACCATGCGGGCTTGGCCCAAAGCGGACATTATCGTACTCATTGAGCTGCCCAATTTCAACAAGTGGTATCAGAGTCTGGTTCGGTTTAGGATGGTGGGCATCAGTTTGGTGGGACCCCCATTCGGTGACCTCGGGATTTGAGATATGCGTTTGTCTGGCGGGTCAAAGGTGGCGTGTAAAGAGTTTCACATTTGGGAAGCAAATCAAAGAGAGTTCTGCGTTTGGTAAATGCCTTGTACCGAGAAGCCCATCGATGCAAGGTGTCTGGCGGATAATGACAATATTGCTAGGAATGGCAGGAAAAAATCCAAAATTACCACTATTAAAAAAATTACAAAAATACCACCCATACTCAACAATTTCCAAAAATACCACCCTTCCAAGAAAACGCGCCTCGAAGGCGCGGTTCACACTCAAACCGCGCGGGAAAGGGGCGGTTTGACCCTTCGTATATGTCAAAACGCGTCGCTCAGTCAGACCGTTGCCCCGAGGCGCGATTTGTGCGTTGGGGAACGTAAACCGCGTGCTGGAGGCACGGTTTTACGTCGGGTAAAAAGACCAAACCGCCCCTCCAGCACGCGGCTTCGTCCCTATATAAACCCCAACCCTCCTCTCATTTTCTGCACACCAAACCCCCATTCCCCTTCTCTCTCTAAGTTCCTCACTCTACCCACCCCCTAACCGATCTGCCTTCAAAAAACTTTTTTTTTCGTTTTCACTAAAAAACCAAAGAATCTCTGTCCGGATTCTGAAAAAATGGCCGATTTTATCCAAGAAGAGGGTATTTACTAGGATGATTATCAAGCGATACGTACTCATTTTACCCAATTTTTTGTTGTTGTTATAATGATTTATTAATTTATATACTACTTTATATACTAAATCATCAACTTATAGTGAAAGTTAAATTCTTCTCTATGATGCATACCATATAGTCCGCAGGGGTACGAAGAATGTGCTTGAATGGAACGACGTCAACTTGCCCTTTCTAAAAAGGGCAAGATTGGATTCGATTAGGCACTTTAATGGAATCAAGATCGACCGCCAACTCATCACAGCATTGGCAGAGAGATGGCGAAAGGAGACACCCTGCTTCAATTTTCGTGAAGGCGAGTGCACCATCACACTTAAGGACATCGTCATCCTAACCGATTTGCCATTAATGGTCATGTTATTTGTGTGGACTCTATGCCACCACCTAAAGTTGTTGTCAATATGAGTGGTTGGCAGCATTTTTTATGGACGGTCACCGGGTTGTGTCTGCCAGAAAAGGGAGATCACGATGTGGATGGTAATCCACCATTATCCAAGGGACAAGTATCTATCACTTGGTTGACAGCGGAGATCAGGCGTAAGCACAACCCTGAGTTCGGAGGCATTCCCCTCACGGAGGAAAGTTCGGAGCGTGATAAAGACATTTATGCACGTATCTACATCCTCGGCATGATCGGAGGAGTTTTTTCCCCCAAGAAATCCAACAATTTAATCATCAATTCATGGTTGAAGATCATACTTGGGTGTTGGGATGATATGGGAAACCTGAGCTGGGAATCTGCTTGCCTAGCTCATCTCTACCGCTCCCTCTGTAATGCTAGTGCGTGAGCGGTGAAGGAGATTGATGGGGCCATGTTCATCGTCCAATTTTGGGCTTGGGAGCATTTTCCATGGATTGCGCCGAAGGTACACCCCGACACGGAATAGGGACCCGACCATCCCTACGACATGAGCTGGGCATCTGCTTGGCTAGCTCATCTCTACCGCTCCCTCTGTAATGCTAGGCGTGAGCGGTGAAGGAGATTGATGGGGCCATGTTCATCGTCCAATTTTGGGATTGGGAGCATTTGCCATGGATTGCGCCGAAGGTAGACCCCGACACGGAATGGGGACCCGACCATCCCTACGACATGAAGATTATGGTTGTAGGTAAATATTTTCTATCCCACTCATAGTTCTCACCTTTTTTTACTAATTCACTATTTTATAACGAAATTTTTATTATGTATTAACATGATGTACTTTTGGAATTAATAGGTGGCTTGGTGAAAAAAACATGCGACAACCTAGGAGCGCATAAGTTGGAGGAGTATCGTAGGAGGCTGGATCGCCTTTGGGAAGCAGAGATGACCATCATAATACACTATTACTTCCTGCTTTATTTTCAAGTTGTACTCGGGTGGGTACTGGTATCCTACTTGTTGGTTCTCATCCGTCTGTTGAGCTTCTTCTTCATATGAAGGGAAGGATTGATGATGACCTCCAGTTCCATCATGATACTCCTGCCACTAGTTCGAGGGTTCGAGGCTTGGTACTCCTGGTGGGGATGATCTTCGTATAATACACTCCCACCGTGGATACCAAATGTTTGGCCATCTCCAGAATGACCTACACCGCCTTCAATGGCCTCGGTGTAAACGAACATCTCCGCTTGCTTAATTTTATTGGTGGTCAAAAATTGGACCATGGCATCAACGTCCTCCTAAGTGGTAAGGAGGAATTCCTCATTCCATAGCGATCTGTCATGTCTGTTTGGATATCGATACACCATTTGATCAACTCTTCTAGTGTCATCCATGCAGGTAATCGGAGTGCACATTTGATGGAGCTCTTCAAGAATCGGTCTCGTACGGACCTTCATTTTATAAAAATTGCCACCCACATAACTTACACCCTTTTCGGGCTCTTCCGTGTAACCATTCCACCTCAACCCAAGCGTGAACCTTTGGAATGCCATCTGCAATATAACTGTAATTAAGTTACTAACATAAAACCATAAAGGACAATGAAAAGTAATACAAAACAAACTAACGAATTAACGTTAATCGCAAAAACTAAATAATTTAAAGGTGCACAACTGAAATTTGAAGAAGAATGAGGAGGAGTGAAGATTTTGAGTTCTCTGGAGCGGCCTTTTATAGGCGAATTTTACACTACAAACCGCCCAGGGCGGGGGCGGGGGGGGGGGGGGGGGGGGGGGTGGTGGAGTGATTTTAGGTCTGCCATGCAGCCCCACCTCCTACATGCCGATATGTCGGATGACCAGGCACAAACCGCAGCTGGAGGGAGCGGTTTACGTGGCACAAACCGCCAGACGGGGAAGCGGTTTATGTGTCCACATGGTAAACCGCGGCCTGGTGGTGCGGTTTACCAAGCCGACATATAACCGCTCCCTGAGGAAGCGTTTTGTGGTAGGGCAACCATAAAAATCGCGCCTTCTTTTTGCGGTTTTACCTGAAAAGGAAAACCGCCTCTTGACCAGGCGTTTCTAAGGTAAATTGCAGCCTGTTGGTGCGGTTTATATATTAACCACCCCTTAGAGGCGCGATTTTAAATAAACGGTGGTATTTTTGGAAATTGTTGGGAATGGGTGGTATTTGTGTAATTTTTTTTTTAATAGTGGTAGTTTTGGATTTTTCCGGAATGGCAATGGGGCAGGTCCGGGGCGGGTTTCTTGGTACCCAGACCCGCCTCGTGGCAGGTTGGATCTAGGTCGGGTAATTTATCACGGGTTGCAGGTCAGGGCAGGTCGACCCAATGGGTATGTACTTTATATGAAAAGCATTAGAAATATTCATTATTTTTATTATAAGACCAAGAAAACAAACAATATTATGATTAATGTAGTTAAATTATTAGAGAAATTGAGGATTTCACTATTTTACAACTTTTTCATAGCTAAATTATGATGTAATAAAAGAAAATTCTAAGTAATTTGACTAAGATTACATGTAATTTAGGCAAGAACGGGTCGAGAATGAGGAGGGCCAGGACAGGTCGAGTCGATGAGAGTACCCATGCCCGCCCCGCCACGCCTATGGGGCGGGTCGGACCCGCTTCAAAACAGGTCGGGTAAAACGGGTCAAGTCGAAATTGCCATCCCTAAATATCGTTAAGGGGAGTACACGATGTTCGTGGTCCTTGACTCGAGGGGAGGATTGTTATGAGGACAATCCAAGTACCAAATCGGTAATACAAGGGAAGAAACCTTTGTATATTAGTGTCCACCAAACTCATTAGTACGAGGCATTTTGGGGAGGACACCCAAGAGTAAAACCGTGCGGGCTGGGCCCAAAGCGGACAATATCGTACTAATTGAACAACTCGATTTCGACAAGTGGTATCAGAGTCTGGTTCGGTTCGGGGCGGTGTCCTCAACGATTATCTTGATTCGCTAGACACCTTGTATCGATGGGCTTCTCGATACAAGGACTTTACCAGACGCAGAACTCTCTTTGATCTGCTTTCCAAATGCGAAACTCTTTTTGATCCGCCAAGTCCAAACGTTGATCTCTCCTGGATCCACCTCAAATCCCGAGGTCACCGAATGAGGGTCCCGCCGAACTGACGTCCACCGCCCCGAACCGAACCAGCATTGTTATTAAAGGCGAACCGAACCGTTCGATCGAACCGGTAAAACCGGCACCCGACCACTAACTCTGTTCAGAATACTCCAAAAGCCGCAGCGGTCAGGAAGGTCGGTCGGTGAGCGGCCGAAGCGGTTAACCGCTCGGGCTGTTCGAATTGGTCGAACGGTTTTAAGCACGTAGGTTCCATTTGAAAAAATCAGTCCTTACCTTTTCAGTCAGATATGGGCTGTTGGGTGGAGTTACCAAAAAAAATAAATTTATACCGTCTCAATGCGGTTACTTCCCTATTTCTCAGGCACTTTAAATTTTAATTTGATTTCCCATGCACATTACACAAGCGGTTGCTTAGGTATTAGCAATTTTTTTTATATATTCCAGCTATTCCTAATGAATATTTGTTAAACATTTAATCATTTATGCACACAAGATTTAGAATACTAGATGGGTTAAGCATTTATATACATGTAGATGTGTTATTATGTGTGTTTATATATAGAATTTTATTATATTATAAGGTATCGTTGTATCAGTTCGTTTACGGTTTTTTAACGGCTCAATACCGGTTAAACCAGTAAAGTGAGAATCGTTCGCTTTACCGACTTATACTTCGGTTCGATTTTGAGAACATTGCGAACCAGGCTCTGATACCACTTTTCGAAATCGGACAACTCAATTAATACGATATTGTCCATTTTGGGCCAAGCCTACACGGTTTTACTCTTGGGTCTCCTTCCCAAAAGCCTCATACTAATAAGTTTGGCGGACACTAATATACAAAAGTTTCTTCCCTTATATTACCGATATGCAATGTTGTTAAAATCGAACCGGATCATGAACCGTCAATGTGAAAGGCTCGCACTTTAGTGATCCAACTGGTATTAGACCGATAAAAAAACATTAGAGAACCGGTACCTTATAAACGATAATATCAAAAGTATAAGACCTATAAGGTAGTAATTCAAAAATTTAATGACTAAAAGCAAATTTACTTTATAGATACCAATTAGTAAGTTTACATTATATATATAATTAACACTAAAAACCCTAACCCATCTCTGGCGCCGCCCCAACTAATCTTCTTCTTACATCTTTCTTCTGTATTACCTAGGGGTGGGCACGTGGGTGGTTAATCCGCGAATTGATATCGATCCACCCGTAAATAACCCGACCCGCAAGTAGTGGGTGATTGATAAATCTCCCACCCGCACTTATGTGGGTGGGTGGTGGGTGGATTGAAGGTCACCCTAATGACCCGCATCCTATTTTCACATGAAAAAAATATTGACTTGCATCCTATTTTCACATGAAAAAATATTGTTTTGACTACTATTATTAGTTATTGCGTTGTGTAATGTCCAATAGATTTTGGATATGAGAATGCAAATTATTGTTAATATTCATTAAATATTGAATGAAAACTTTAAATTATAATATTATCAAAATCACAAAATGCGTAAGTTTTCTCTACACAATTGGTTGATAGAGTATTAAATTTTTTTATGCAAATACTACATGGATTCACTTAAGAAAAAGTGAGAAGTGTTTAAATTGGTAAAGTCTTACTAATTTACTATGAACTTATTATAAATTTTAGTCAACTTTCTTAATTACTAGTTGGGAAATTGCTTTTGCGGGTTAACCCACGACCCAACCGCACTCATTCGTCACCCACCCAACCAGACTCGCGAAAAAATGTGGGTGAATTGCGGGTCACAATTATTCCAACTCTCTAGTAAGCAGGTGGGTCAATTTGAAACGAAAAACCACCCAACTCGCCCATTGCCCACCCCTAGTATTACCCCTCCTCCGCCACTCCCAACTCCCTCTCCTCCATCGGTCACTCTACTATACTAACTGTACCCACCATCGTCCCTCCTCCGCCACCTCAGTCCACCATCTCCCTCTTGCCAAAATCCCCGCAAAATCCACATGATCTCCCCGGAGGAAGCCACACCAATGGCGACGATGGCGAGCGGGGCGGGGAGCTGCTACGACCAACTGGGATTGGGGATGGCAATGATGGCGAGCAGGGTGAGGAGCTGCTACGGACGGGAGATGACGACGACACCGCCGACGGGAGGGCCGACTGGAAGCGATCTGACGGCAACGGCGCAGTCGGGAGCGCCTACTAGGAAGCGACGACGATGTCGTCGTTGTTCTCTCTGTTGGCCAAGAAGACGGAAGGAGATTAATTGAATTAGGTCGCTAGGATTTTCTTTGCAGCCCAACAATTTGCGTTTTTGTTTTTTTTATTAAATCATAACGGTCGGAAGTGGTGAAAACCGAGCGACCGGCTCAACTGGTTAACCGCTCTGACCAGCATCCAGCCGCTTCAAAAGGCCGTTCCGACTAAATGGCTGATCCGAGCCATTTTTGTGGTCGGGTGGCAATTTTATCGGTCCGACCGACCGATCGGTTTGGTTTGGCCATAATAACACCGCCGATATGATATTTGGATTGTCTCATAACAATACTGAACATAATTCACAGCAATGACTTATGCTGGTTAGGCGGTGTCTAGATCCGTGTCTTTGTCGGAACGAGGAAGGACTTATTCTCACTTGGGACAGGGTTTGGTGAGTTGGATTCATAAATGGATGGAATTGAGTTTCGTTGGGTATATAGTCAAACAGAAAGAAAACAAAGGAGGTCCTCCAAAAATATATTACAGATGTATGAGCCAATTGATGATTTGATCTGTCTGCTAAAGCCGTTAGCGGTATCAAATTTACGAGGGGATTAATAAAAAGCCAGACACACAAATTAAGAAACAGTTCAACATTAATTATTAGGGGGACTCATTCTACAAGCAACGGAAAAACGGATAAATGTTAAAGTGGATCACCGGGTGGATTAGGGATTTCCACATGTGGGGTTTGGGCCCAAAACCTACGTCGAAAAAGTCTAGGTTTTGTTTTGTTTTGGTTTGTTATATGTGGTTGGTTTTCACCATAATGTCTTGTTTGTTTACCTTAATAGTTAATACCCACAACACAAGCCACAAAGCACAAAACGCCTGCGACCAAAACTAACAAAAACAAGAGGAGAGAGAACACACGGAAGCAATAAGCAAGATATTACAACGAGGCTGTAGGGGACGCCGAATGGCAAACCCAGGTATTTATGATAATCGAGATGAGAGGATTTATAAAGACATAAACAAGAATCGAAATAGAACGAGATCTACGTGTTTTTCTTGTTCGATCAGATCGAACAAAGGATTAGTCCATGTGAAAAAGAGGTTTTATATGTCATTTTTATTGCATGCACTTCATGAGATCTTGCTCGGTGTTGATGGCACCGTTGACTTCTGCAATGTGAGGTTCTCCTAATGTGTTATCATACATTTATCTTTGGAACTCAACGTCCTCGTTGAGGTCTATACAACGATCGTTCAAGATAGACGCGCAGAGGATGTGATACCATTTGTAACATCTCGAATCCTTTTCCCGACAAGATATTATCCGCTTTGTGTGTCTAGCTAGACTCTCACGATTTTGGCCTTGGATTGTATATCAATGTGACTTCCCATAAGGTCACCCATCTTTATAGTGTTTTGCAATGAGCATGTTTAATTTCTGAGTTCTTGCAAAAACAGTTTCATTTCACCCCAAACATGTTAGTTGAGAAGGTATAATTAGTAACTTTAATATATCACAATATCTATAGAATGAATTAATTAGTAGCTAGTCCTGATCATTTGACCCAGTCTATGTCAATTTCTCAATAAAATATGTGGTTGAGAGATACTTATCATAAATGTTATTATATTTAGCTGTGATTGTTCATTTGTTTGACCCAGTTTATGAAAGGATATAGATGTGCACTTATCTTACCAACCGATAAGATATTTTTATAATTTCGAGTGATATCAAAAGAGAATAAGAGTCACACATGCAAATTTACCTAGGACTTCATACAATTAACGCTCTAATAAAGCCATCCAACAAAGTTGAAAGACTCTAACTCTAGATGAGACAAAAGCAGTACTTTACGCGTCACCGGATAAGTTATTTAACAACCGCATTTGAGTTAAGTACTTTACCCGTTGCCTCCGGTTGGATCCTGTCACTGAATTTGTTTTGGAGAAACTCGACCGAACCCAACCAGATTCAGTAGCAATTTCCAATTCAATCTACTAATCCAATCAATCTACTTAAATATCACCAAGTAATCAAATCAATTTAAATCCAAGCCAGTTGATCCAGATTTCAATTGGATTGGTGAATTACAGTTTAGTACCTATATTTTTTATATTTTATAATTTCGTACCTAAAATTATTTTTTATACGAAAGTATCATTGGAAAATTATGTAATGACACCTGAAATTTTTATTATGACATTTCAGTGCCCAAATTTTTTTTCTTACATATTGGTCTGAGACTTGAGGATGTTATTCGGATTCATGGATCAATCCACCAATCCACTTTATCCAATTCATGAATCCATCAATCCAGTTGATCCGTGAATATACACAATCGATGTATCCAATCAATTTGCAACATCTAGTTGCATGATATCGGTGCTTGGCCGGCACACAATAATATATATATATATAGTCACTTGGTGTTACATTGAATCGGTGGAAATCAAGCACTCAAATAAAATATTATCTCAAAGGATACACTCTGTAGACACAGCAATAGTCCAGCAGCAAGTGATCATAAATTATGGCAGCACCACTACTGCTGATCGCCGGCGGGTTAGCCGTACTACCGATAGCCATCAAACGACTGACGATGAGCAGTAGTATTAGTGGTAATGATGATCGGCGGCGGCCGCCGCCTTCGCCGCCGAAGCTTCCGCTCCTCGGAAACCTCCACCAAATCGGCAACTACCCGCACCGTACCTTCGTCAAGCTGGCGGAGCGGTACGGATCCCCTCTCCTACTGTTCCACTTCGGCAGCCGGCCGGTGGTCGTGGTCACCACGTCGGAGGCGGCGCGTGAGGTGATGAAGACCCACGACGTCATCTCCGCGGGGAAGCCCGAGTTCGAAACCCTCAAGAAGCTTCTCTACGACGGCAAGGACGTCGCCACGTGTCCCTACGGCGAGTACTGGAGGCAGACCCGACGGCTCTGCGTGATGCACCTCCTCAGCAACAGGAAGGTCCTGTCCTGCCGTGCGGCCAGGGAGGAGGAGGTTGGGTTGCTGGTCAATCGGATTAGAAAGGATGTTGAAAGACGTGAGGTGAGTAGCATACTTAATTCAATAATCAGATCGACCAATAATTTCACTAAAATATCCGACTAATCTAGTCCATTTAAATTCAGTTGATTTAATCTATATTCAATTTGATTAGTCGATTGATAAATATTTGAAAAATTATAGTTTACAATCTATAGTATTTATATTTTGAATTTTGAAACCTAAATTCTAGTTTTCAACGTAAAATATCATTGAAAAATGTGTTTCGGGTACCTGAAATTATGTATGTAAACTTTTCAAAAACTTCATATTGGTCTAATATTTTTTTTATATATAATGGCGATGCATATTAGTCTAATATTTAGATGTTACGTAGAATCATGAATCCAATCTATCAATAAATTTAATCCAACTCATAAATCCACCAAATCCATTTGATATAAATTCATGAATCCAATCCATCAATTCATGAATACGATCCATTATTTAGAAAATTTAATTACTCTTGTCGTTTCTCTTTTCCTCACCTTATCCTCTGTCAGTTTTAAACCGATGTTTTAGAAGCTCTATCATATCGTCTGGTCGGACCGAAAATACTGGATATAAAACTGTAAGACATTTTACTAGTACGAAACGGTTCGATCACTATTTTAAGCTAAAAGTACCCTTCTCACCAAACTTTACCGGTATAACTTGCTTCATAATAGTTATTTTAAATTATTTGCTATTCTAAACCGAGTTTCGATGTGTTTCCCTTTGCGTTACAGCCGGTGAACTTGAGCGAACTCCTTTCCTGCCTCGCCAACGACGTCATTTGCCGGACAGCTTTCGGTCGGAAGTACAGCATCGGCACTACCGCCGCCGGCGGCGGCCACCATGGCGGCGCCACCAACTTCAGGGGCCAGCTGGCGGAGTTCATGGAGTTGCTGGGTGCTTTCAGCGTGGGCGACTTCATCCCTAGCCTCTCGTGGGTGAACCGGATAACCGGGTTCGATGCCCGGGTCGACCGAGTTGCCAGTCAGTTTGATGAGTTGCTTGAAGGAGCCGTGGAGGAAAGTTTGGCCCGTTTGGAGAAACAGACGACCGATGTGGAAGGCGGCGACGACGACGACAGCCAAGCACCCTTCATCGACGTCTTGCTCCGCCTGCAAAAGGACAGCTCGGAAGCGTTCCACCTTGATAGAGAGGGCATCAAAGCTGTGATCTTGGTAATCAATATGAACTTTTCTCATCGCTTCTCCTCTTACGGCATCTTATACATAGATAGGGATGACAATTTTCGACCTAACCTGTTTTGATCCGCTCCATTCTCAACCCATTTGTTTTTTACTAAACTGCTTGTAATTTTACTCAAATTAGATAGAATTTAATTTTTATTTTTATATTTTAACTATAATAAATTTATAGATAAGTGAGAACCTTAATTTTGAATAATTTAATTACATTTATCATATTATATATATATAGTTTGTTTCTTGGTGTCAATGAAAACAATAAATGTTTCTAATGTTTTTCATTTTAAATAACATACTCATATCGGTTGACATGCTCCGACCTACGCCACGTGTTAAATTACCCGAATTACCACGGGGCGAGTATGGGTATCGAGATACCCACCCCAAACATGCACTATTGCCATTCCTACTCATAACCCCCACCCCCAAAGCAGTAGACTAAATTTGACAGCCGAAACCAATTTAAAACAAACCTTAAAAATTTTCCTTCCGTTATTTTTTTTTTATATAGATAAGGGTGATATATATAGATTTGTTTTCATTATCAGGTGTCACTTGAGGAATTGGAACCTAGCTATGACTTGTTGGTTCAAAACTAGTAGTGATATTGGTATCATTAGACCAAGCTCTTGTTTGCTACACTAACTAACTGGTTCTTAATTCGAAATGATTCGCACATACAGGACTTGTTCGTGGGAGGAACAGACACGACATCGACGCTTCTCGAATGGACAATGTCGGAGTTGATAAAGCACCCCAGGGTGATGAAGAAGCTGCAGGAGGAGTTGAGGACCAAAATCGGCCGCGAAATCGAGACGGTCGACGAGGCTGACTTGGTGGAAGAACGACTAGAGTACCTGAAGCTCGTGATCAGAGAGACGATCCGGCTGCACCCTCCGATCCCGTTGCTGGCTCCAAGAGAGATGACTGAGGACGCGACCATAATGGGTTACGACGTGCCATCGGGGACCATGATCATGACCAACGCCTGGGGGATTGGAAGGGACCCCAAGGACTGGCCCGAGTCACCGGAAGCATTCTGGCCTGAGAGATTTCTCGAGGGTAGTAGTAATAATGTGGATTTCAGGGGCCAGGATTACCAGTTGATCCCGTTTGGCGCCGGAAGGAGAGGGTGTCCCGGGATATCTTTCGCCCTCGCGGTGGTGGAGCTCGCACTGGCGAATCTGGTGAGGAACTTCGATTGGGAGCTTCCCGGCGGAGTTGGTGGGGAGGATCTGGATATGACCGAGTGTGTTGGTCTCACAATGCATCGCCAGCTCCCTCTTCTTGCTATTCCCAACCGTTATATCATTAATGTTGATTGATACGCATTTGAAATTCACAAATAATTCAGTACGTAAAAACATATTTGGAATTCTATTCAACCTACGTATTCGAGCGAATTCAAATATAATTGAAGTCTTTTTTTTTTTGTAGAAAGAGTGACGCAAATTGCGTCTATATCATATTAACTAAACGTTCATGGAATGTTCCCATTACATCATGACAAAGCCATTGAAATAAACCAGAATCTCGCACATTGAGATTGTGTGTACCAAAATGGAAATCATGGTCGAGATTCGCCAAGTAGTCGGCTGCAAAATTGGCCTCTCTGTACACGTGATCAATTTTAACCTCCCATTCAAGGTTGAGGAGCTGTCTAAATTGGCGAGCAATGCTGCCATGTCTGTGATCTTCATTCTCTTTGTTTCTTATGACCTCGATTGCTGTAGTGGAGTCCATCTTGAGGTGAACCTTTCGATAGCCCATGTTCCAAGCAATCTTTAGTCCCTCAGCAACGCCTTTTAATTCTGCTGCAGTGATGGAGCATCTCCCAAGGTTGCAGGTGAACGCTTCCACACAGTGTCCTAGGTGATCCCTGAGAAGTCCTCCAGCAGCTGCTGCTCCTGTCTGTGTTAGGACAGATCCATCAGATTGAAGTTGAATCCATCCCACTTCTGGAGGCTCCCAGCCAATGTGCAATGTGGTGGGAGACACATTCTGGAAGCTAGACGTCTTTCTGATGTCCTCCTTTTCTTGTTGGACAATTCTGAACCAGGCTTGGATTCTCACCACCAGGCCGTCTTTAGAGTAATTCTTCCCATCAATTGTCTCTTCGTTCCTTTGCTTCCGTAAATGCCAGTAAACAATACCAAAATACACTTCTGTTTCCTCCTGCTGTAAATTGACAAGCAGCCATTCATGAAAGGGTAACCTGCAATTCTTCTCAGCAACTTTGTTATGAATTCTTTCCCAAATGATCCTAGCTTTCTTGCAACTGCGAATAATATGTTCAGCAGTTTCCTCATGCTCCTTGCAATGCTGGCATGAGCTGTCCTGAGTAAGTTTCCTCCTGGCCCTTTCTTTGTTAGTGAAGATTCAATCGTGAAGGATTAGCCAGAGGAAGTGCTTAATGCGATTCGGGCCCCTCCATTGCCAGAGTTTTTTCCATTTGCCGTTTGGAGCAGCCTCCAGCTCATCAGCAGCAAGCCTGTAGGCAGACTTCAGTCTGAAGCGTCCATCTTTTTCCAGACCCCAGATAGTTTTATCCTCGCCAAGATCAGGTTTGGGAGCTTCCATTCCTGCAATAGAGACCAAAACATCGTTAGGGAGGAGTTGTTTGAGCCTGTCCCAGTCCCACTCACCTTCCTGCGTTGTCCATTCAGCCACTGTAGAGTTTCTATCTTCCTCTGTAAGATCAGTAAGGCAGAATTCCTCCAAGAGGACACCATTTTCCAGCCAAGGTTGTTTCCAGAAGCTTGTTGATTTGTCGTCCCTGATGCTCCAGCACGTTGCTTCCTTCATCAATCTCATTCCTTGAAGGACAGCTTTCCAAAGATTTGAGTGATTGCTCTTTTTCATTCCTTGGATCTCCCCATTTTTTTGTTTGAAGTACTTCCCCTGCAACACTTGTACCCACAAATCAGACTCATTATTCAACATTTGCCATCCCAACTTAATCATGAAAGCCATGTTCATGTTGCGGGCAGATTTTAACCCCAATCCCCCTTGGTCTTTAGGTATACAGATATTCTCCCAGGAGACCAAGTGGGATTTCTTTTTTCCATCAACAGAACCCCACACAAAACCTCTCACTTTTCTGTCAATAGTTTCACATACTGACAGGGGGAGGGGAGTGGTTTGCATTGCATAGGTAGGTAAAGAGTTAAGCACATACATGGCAAGGGTGACCCTGCCAGCAAGGGACAAGTTCTTAGCTTTCCAGGTAGACAATTTTTGGTCAATCCTATCTATAATGTACTTGTAAGTACTAATAGTAAGTCGACCATGTAAAACTAGAACTCCAAGATATCTCCCAAGATCAGTAGTAGCTTGGATTCCAAGTCTACTACAAATCTCCTTCCTATTCTGGTTCTTAACATTTTTACAAAAGAACACTCTCGATTTTTCCTTACTGATCATCTCCCCTGATGCAATGTAGAAACGGTTCAGGGAATCTAGAATGATATCAGCATGATGAGGGCTTGCCTCAGCAAACAGAACAAGATCATAAGCAAAAAAGAGGTGTGAGAGGGCTGGTCCCCCTGGAGAAAGTCTACAGGGTTTCCAATTCCCTTTTATCACCTCTTTCTGAATACAATGACTAAGTCTCTCCATACAAAGTGTAAACAGGTAAGGGGAGAGGAGGCATCCCTGTCTTAACCCACGTGAGGGCTTGAAGCTCTCAGTCTCACTCCCATTCCACAAAACCTGGAAGCTGGTAGATGAAACACATTTCATGATCATGGAGATGAAACTGTTAGGGAGTCTAGCAGCTTTAAGGGTATCTTCCAAAAAATCTCATTCCAGCCTGTCATATGCTTTGGCCAGGTCGATCTTCAGAAGCATGAGACCCTTTTTCCAGTCCTCATGGCCATGGAATCCACTGTTTCCTGAAGGATGATGATATTTTCAGTAATGTGTCTGTTTGGGATGAAGCTAGACTGGTTTTTCTGGACAAGGATAGGCATAAGGGGTTTCAGTTTGTTTGCAAGGATTTTAGCCACCACCTTATAACTAACATTGCACAGACTGATAGGTCTAAACTGACTCATATTAGATGGGCTTTCAACTTTTGGAATTAGGGCAAGAAGGGTTTCATTCATATCTTGAATTCTAGATGGGTTAAGAAAGCAAGACAGGATGAACAAGAAGAAATCATTTCCAATAGAACACCAGCATTTCTGAAAGAATATGGCTTGAAAGCCATCTTTCCCAGGCGCTTTGAGTCCACTCATGTCCATGATCACAGTCTTAACAGTCTCCTTATTAGGTTTATCACCTAGTCTTCTAAGTAATTCATCACAAATCTCAGGGAAATCAGCAGGCACACCATGGATATCCCTAGCTAGATTCGAAGTGCAAAGGTTGAGAAAATACTCCCTGTCCAACTTATGGAGCTCAGTTTCATCATCAATCCATTTTCCTTGATCATCCTTCAGGTAACTGATCCTGCTCCTTTTCCTTCTGCTTATTGTACTGTTGTGGAAGTAACGTGTGTTCATGTCACCTCTAACCACCCAGTTGGTTCTGGACTTCTGGATCCAAAGCAGTTCTTCCTGCCAGAGGGTTTTTTCCAGTTCCTCTCTTGTGCTTTGCTCCTTCTCCAGTGAACTAGTGGTAGGCCTTTTTCCATTCAGCATTTCCAGAGAATTGAGCTCATGGAGGAGTTGTTTCTTTCTCTTGAAAATGTTCCCATACACTTCTTTATTCCATGTCATCAGTTCACCCTTGAACTTCTGCAAGTCAGGAAACTCACAGCCAGTAGTCCAGGAGGAAGAGATGAAAGGGAAAAAATTCTCATGGGCAAGCCAAGAAGCCAGAAACTGAAGCCTTCTCACCTGGTTTTGTTTTCTTTTTTCATCCATAGTGTTGGTGAGGATAGGTCAGTGATCCGATTTAATCTTGGGGAGATGGAACACTGTTGTTTTGGGGAATTTCTGTTGCCATTCAGTGTTGCATAGACTCCTATCCAATCTTTCCTTCAACCTAGAGGCTTTAGTGAACCAGGTAAAGTGTGTTCCAGTGTATCCAAGATCCAATAGGTTGCAATCCTCAATGCAGTTGTTGAATGCTCTAGTCTTTGCAAAGTTGAAGGCAGCTCCTCCTTGTTTCTCCCATGATCGAGAAATAGAGTTGAAATCTCCTGTAAGGAGCCAAGGAAGGTTAGAACTACTCTCAATGATCCTAAGCCTATCACATAGTTCAACTCTATCATGATCATTAGGGCTAGCATACACAGCAGTAATACAAAATATAGGCTTTCCATCAATGAAACATTTCATATGGATCAACTGCTTGTGTTTATCAAGAAGTTCAAGTTCCAAGTTACTCTCATTCCAGAGGATCCAAATCCCCCCACTAAAACCAGTAGCATCAGAAACCTTCCATGAATCAAATCCAAGTGATTTGATCACACTAATGGCTTCTTCTCCACTAATTCTAGGTTCTAAAATGCAGACAATATCAGGTTTGTGATTATCTTTATACAACTTAAAAGTAGGCAGAAATTTGGGGTGCTTTGCACCCCTGCAATTCCAAGAGAAGACTTTAACCATTAGAGTGGATAAAACAAAACTTCCCTGGATGACTTTCAATCAAAGATCTTCAATTTTCCACGGCCATACCCGTTCCCTTCTCTTCAACAGAGCTGTTTTGTTCTGCTGCAGTGAAAGGTTGTACATTTTTAGGTGCTTTTGCATCATTCTCCAGGTTGCTGCTATAGACAATCTTCCTGGGAATTCCACTCCCACTTTCAGGGGAAATCTCCATTCTCTTGGCAGTTTCCTTAAGTCCCTTTTCTGGCGATGGATCCTTCATTTTGGGCTGGTGACCTGATTTAGCATCCTCCAGGAGTTTTTTTGTCACTTGCTTGTCTACTACTCTTGGAGTTTGAGGATGTTTCCTTACTCTTCTTCCCTGGTGTTGTCTTTGTAGTAGCAGGTGCTTTTTCTCCTCCCATCTGGTGATGTCCTTCCTTTTTCATGTTTGAGGTTGCAGGCATGCTCTTCTTGATTATCTGATTTTCCTGATGATATTTCTGGTGGTTTCTGGAGAGATTTTCTGATTTTCCTTCCTTTCATGTAGTTTCTGCTCCTTTGTTTTCTCTTGTACTTTCCATGTTCCTTGATTCTCTTTGTTTTTCCCTTTCTTCTCATTACGGCTTACCTCCTTCGAGCCAGTGGGGTCAATCTTCAATGTCCCTTCTGTCCGCTTGATTTGTTCCTTGGAATGACTTGGCTCAACTTCTTCCTTGGTAGTATCATCACCATCTTCCTCTTCCTCCACATTTTCCCCTTCCCTTTGTTCACTCAAGACATTGAATCTGGAGCCTTTATTATCCTTCTTTAGGGAGTCCCCTGCTTCTTTGGCGATGCATTCTGGATTCTGTTTTGCTGTTGTGGTTTAGCCCTCTTAGTTCTTGTTGCCAACATCCATGGACCATAATCTTCCATGATTTCCGGTCTAACCTCCTGTGATACGCTTGAATTGATGTTAACCTTGAGTCTGTCCTCAGGGGTTAGGGAGTTCTCCTGATTTTTCAGTGGACACTTATCCTCCAAGTGTCCATAGAAGCCACAGTCAAAGCAAACAGTGTGAAGCCCTTCATATTCAATCCTCCTGACACAAATGTGTTGATCCAAATTAAACTCAATTCAAATCTAAACCAAATCCAAAATCATTAAAATTATATGTGGGTCCATTTGCAGTCGACGGAACAAATGGACCAAATAGTGCCCTATAGAGCGCTGTCAGTGGCACGAAATTTATTCCGCACACAACTTTTCAATGCCACCATGAAGAAGAGTATGCAAATAACTCCAATTACTCCATCGTTCTCCCAACTGTCCGCCATACGATTTTTCCCATGAAGTATCCATTTATGTCCCAAATGAGACGCAATGCACAGTGTTTTCCAATACAGTGCATACACTGTTAAATTAACAATGACTAACCACTTGTTAATTACGAGTAATTGCAGCACAAACTGATAAATCATCGGCAATAGAATGAGTTCCATTTCTGAAAACAAATTCAAACCCTTGATACGATGATTAAAGGACGAAAAGATCAACCACTGTACTACACTCTTCTGTAAAAACGTAATGTATGGATAACCTAATAAATTCCAAGTTCGTCCTTTTTTTGTAGAACAAATCTAAGCCCCAAGTTCCACAAAGACAAGTCCAAGTCCATGGAGTAACTGACCTGTCGAATTGATAATTGAACAACATTATGCTCCTATATCCCTTCATTTTTCTCACTATAAAATCAGCACCTTATTCTCTAGTAGAATCAAACTACTCAAGATCTGCTTACAGTTTTGCATCTATCTCAAACATGGGTTCCTCAAAAGTATTGCATAGTCCCAAGAACAGCCATTTTACCAATGTTTCCACAGCCTTATTGCTCTTGGCTCCTCTTCTTGCCAGCCTACACACCACAGGTATACTTGCATATTTAGTATTTACACATTTTAAGTTGGTTCTATATTCTGGTTGTTTCACAATGATCTATTAGTTGCCCAAATCGGAGTTTGTTACGGGAGGGTAGGCAGCAACCTGCCACAACCGGGCGAAGTCGTAGCACTCTTCAACCAGAACAACATTCGAAGGATGCGACTCTACGACCCGCACCAACCCGCACTGGACGCCCTGAGGGGGACGGACATCGAGCTCATGCTCGACGTCCCCAACGACCAGCTCCGGTCGGTCGCCTCCAGTCAGGGCGCCGCCGACGCGTGGGTCAGAGACAACGTCGTCGGGTACGCCGCCGCTGGCGTCCGGTTCAGGTACATCACGGTCGGGAACGAGGTCGACCCGGCCGACGGCCGGTTCGCCCCGTTCCTGTTCGGGGCGATACAGAACATCCAGACCGCATTGAACGATGTCGGTCTGGGAGACCGGGTCAAAGCCTCGACCGCCTTCAAGTTCGATGTCATGGGCAACGCCTTCCCGCCGTCGGATGGATCATTCAATCAGCAGTACCGCAGCCTCCTCGATTCGATCCTCCCCTTCCTGAGGAACAACAACTCCCCGATGATGTTGAACCTGTACCCGTTCTTCAGCTACCGCGACAATCCCGGTAATAACCCGGGCCAGATCCGGCTCGATTACGCAACCTTCACCGGTCCGCCCGGTTTGGTCTCCGACCCACCTCTGAGCTACAGTAACTTATTCGACGCGATGCTTGACGCGACTTACTCTGCTCTAGAAAAGAAAGAGATGGGATCTCTGAACATCGTGGTGTCGGAGACCGGATGGTCGTCGGCCGGTGGTGGGGATGCCACGACGGTGGATAATGCAAGGGCTTACAACTACAATTTGGTTCAACATGTTAAGGTTGGGACCCCGAAGAGGACTGGGCCGATTGAGACGTACATTTTTGCAATGTTTGATGAAGGGGACAAGGAACCGGAATTGGAGAAACATTTTGGGCTTTTTAGCCCGGATAGGCAGCCCAAGTACCCGATGAATTTCAATTGAACGGCGGGAATGGTTTGATTATAGAGAGAGATTATGCATAACATAAAGCTTAATTATCTATTATGAAGTTGTGGGTAAAATAAGAGAGCATGAGCTTTGTTCCCTCCCTAATATCTACAAACTATACAGGGAGCACAATGTCTTTGTGTGTGTGGGGCAGAGGATAATGAAATACTATACTATTTATGTATTGATGTGGCATAAAGAGAGTGTTTGGAAATTGAAATGACATTGTGAAAAATTGTAACGACAAAAATAGTATTTTGAGTAACCAAATTTCAAAGTTTCAAAGATTTAATATCATACAAACAAAAAAAGCCCTTTTTCTCTAAATTACAAGTTAATATACCCAACACATTTAGTCATGTGTTTGCGAAGTCTGAACTTTGAACCCAAAAATTCTATTTTCGACCCATGTAATACACAACCCTCTTCTCTTCGGAAAAAATCTCAAGTTACACATGTTTTTAAAAAAAATTCTCAAAATACACATGTTATGAAAATAATTCCCAATCTACGCATGTTTAGGCCTTCACCGCATCAGAGAAGGGCGGTGATTGCTTCACCGCGTGAGAGCAAAACGGTGATTGCTTCATCGCGTCAGTCCAAGGCGATGATTGTATCACCGCTGTAGAGGAAGGCGGTGATGCAATCACCGCAGTAGAGAAAGGCGGTGAAGCACTAACCTGCGTCAAAACTTTAAAAAAACGTAACTTTGTGCTCGGTTAAAGTTTGACGAAATCGAAAAAAGGCTCGTTCGGAGTAGCAAACGACATTTTTTCGAGACGAAGGCGGGACCAAACCGCCTCCGGCGGTTTGCGGCTTGCAAGATCTCGAAAAATTATGCGGAATTCAAAAAAAATTTCGCTACGATCGGATAACCGAGCACAAAGTTACGTTTGTTTAAAGTTTCAACGCAGGTCAGGCCTTCACCGCGGCCGTTTACTGCAGTGAAGCATTCACCATTTTCGTCGACAGCGGTGATGCAATCACCGTCTTCGTCGACAGCGGTGATGCAATCACCGCCTTCCTCTGCCGCGGTGATGCAATCACCGATGCAATCACCACCCTTCTCTGACGCTGTGAATACCCAAACATGCGTAGATTGGGAATTATTTTCATAACATGTGTATTTTGAGAATTTTTTTTAAAAACATGTGTAACTTGGGATTTTTTCCCTTCTCTTCTTCCCTACTATCCTTTGTACAAGAACCCATAAAAAAAATTAAAAAAACTACTAGTTATTAAGTGACTAGCTTAGGCAGGATACTTCAAGTATCTCATATATAACATCATTTATATATTATGTGAGCAAATGTTTCTACTGATTTTCGATTGTCTGCAAATTAATTAATTCTAGCCTACAGCTCTCATGAATGCCTGCTTGCTCACTGTACATATCAGACAAAACTGATCGTGTCATCGTCCTTCCCTTTCCCATCAATCTCTCCACAGAACTGTAATGGCTAGAGAGCCAAGCCGACTCATATGGGAAAGAATCAAGTGGAACCACAATCTTCCCTTCCTTGAAGCTGCTGATGGACATGGCGGGAGGCAAAACACACACCACACCATTATACATGTGGTACAACTCCCTCCTCAGAGGAACCACAAGCAAACCACCCAACAAAAATCCAAAGTCGCCTTCATCTATGCACAAAGAGTGAGACTATGCAGTTCATCTGATTCAAACCAAATGACAGAGCTTTGTATTAACTGGTGACATTCAAGAAGGTATGCTATTGCCAAAGAACAACAGAAGCATAAAACTTATATCGCCTACCAGGTTATTCTGAGGAGATTTCCAGTAGAAACCCTGAATCACAATGACGGCTAAGTTGGAAGATACAACTATGAAGATACTCAAAGCATGTTTCCCCATCCACTCCAGTGGCAATGTCAACCATCTATAGCCGTATATATCAACCTACAAGTTCCCCCAAGATATCATGTGGGATGAGAATGCATTATTCAAGTTGAATTTGAGAAACAGTGATGCTGCGATCTTCGAGTTTTTACCAACAAGTACAGTGCGGAAAATGTGATGCCTGCTGTAGCAGAAGTGATCAACATGTAACTGATTGAATAGAGGGGTTTGTTGATAGGGAACCCTGAAATGGGAAAAGAGTGAAGAATTTATACGGTCTTCAATTATATGACAGAATCTCTGATGCAAGAGGCAGTGATTCTTGTAACGTACCTAGAAGGGCGAGGAACAATCCGACGACAAGGAAAGCGACTGAGAAGACACACCAGTTCTCCAGACGACCCTTGTGATCCTGCAACCCACCATTTTTTTACAGCAAATCAAATAGCTTAGGAGAACGAAACTACGACGAGTAAGGAGGAAAGGGTAAACACAAAAAAGAAACAAGCAAGTAAGCTCACCTGCAAATGAGCAAGAACATGGCCGTACTGAAGCCCAATTAAGCATGTCACTGCAGCTGTTAATGAGCTGTAAACGAAGTGGAACTGATGTCAAGGAAATCCATGCTCTTATTATTGATGAAACAGCTGAAGTGAAAAGGACTTGAGATTGCTCACCTAAGAAGGCCTTCAGGATCAAAGGGAGCATGGCACCATGAAGGAGCACTCTCAGGAACTACTTTATCTCTGGAGATATTACACTCCTGATCATACAAAAATTCTTGTTAGCTTATCGATCTCCTGCTTAGCAATGAGCGAATTGGTGATACTTGGCAAATAGTTGTACCTTGAGATTTTTATAAACAGGCTTTGCATATAAGTGATTGATACCAAGAACATAGCGATCAATCATTCCAGCAGAGTTGCAAGCAGGACCAACGTCGCCTCTTACAGAACATTTCACCTGGCATTCATGATACAAATACTTAGCAAATTCCAGTACTGGTTGTTACATCAGAAGACGAATGTCAGCAGTTCAACGGAGAAGAAGGTTGATCATGCTCATACCGTGTAGGCACGGGCATCGAGTGGAAGGTCGGAGTAACCTTGTCCAGGTACAAAAAATTGCCAGTCTGGAACATATAGGCCATATAATAACCCGAGATACACTGCAATAATAGCAAATGCTGCAACCCTGAACAATGGAAAAGGTTCACTATTGTTATCAATGAAAGAGTAGAAGACTGCCTGATTAACGGGGAACGGCAACATTTTTCTCCCATGACAAACAAGTATTAGTCATTTGGTTTCCAAAAGCAAAAGCCAAGAACTTTACCAATGCAAGTAGTAGCTTTTCAGGATTCCAACTTCTCTCCTTGTTCTGCGTGAGAGCCAGATCTCACAAAGAGCTCCAACAAGGTACCCAACTGATATTCTCTGGCTTGAAAGATGACAACAAAACACTAAGAATCTATAGGCATAACCTTACTAAAGACATAAACTTTTGCCACCCATATGGCTTCAACCTTCAAGGACAAGATAAATGAACAGAAGATAAATCATTCACAACATCATCCTTGCTTCAAACAGGCAGCCAGCTATTATAAAGTACCTGCAAGATTCCAAGCAGGCGTATTCTTTCCAAATCAACACCGTAGGTGAGCGAGTTCAGCCCGTGAAGGAAACCTCCTTGTAGAAGAATACCCAACAGAAATAATTTGGCTGCTCTGCCCACTGCTTTCCATGTGGCTTCTGATCTATTTGGCTCTTTCTGTGAAACAAAGAAGCAAAGCATTTCATCACCGGCATTCTTTATTTCCCTATCCCTTCAACTTTCAAGGCTGAAAAAATTGAAACTATACTGGTGGGAATTTACCTTGTAGACGAGGGCAATTGAGATACCAACGACGAAAAGAAAGAAGGGCATCACGAAATCCGCCAAGTGAAGCCCGTTCCACGACGAATGACCAATTATTGGGAAAACAGAACCTCCATAATCGACCACAATCATCAGCTAAAACCCATCCGAAAAAAAAAAGAAAACCCCAAATCACTGAAATCAGCACACGATAGAGTACAGTGAGCAAAGATTGAGCAAGTAAACAACAAATCGGAACCCAGATTGAGTAACCAACCAATCGCAACTGGGGAGCGAAATCGAGAATCGGAACAGCACATACGAAGACGCAGATACGGAGGTAGACATCTGAAGAACAGACCCGCCATTTTCAGAGCTTGAAATCGTCACAGTAATCCCCTATCACTTCTCCTTCAGTCTTAATCTGAAGGGGGAAAGAGAAGAAGAACACTGCGGCGATTTCATCAACTGCAAACGACGGAACTTCTTTTTGGTGGGCTCTAAACCCCAGTTGCTCTACTTGATCGGAGAACCCAAAGAATGAATCTTTTCCCCCGCGGAAAACAGAGTTCCTCCCGCGAAAGGGCGATTAGGTTAAAGAAAGGTGTGGACGGGACTCTCTTCGGCGCGATGGCTTTCGGTTGGAGGGGGAAATCAGACGCGGCAGGTGCTGATTGGTCAGCAGGGTTTTCGTTGCATCGGATTGCCGCATAAACAAATGTCGGCCAACCAACGACTATCGATAATGATTCTCTCAGTTTGAGGATAAATTAAACAAAAAAAAAAAATTAACCCAGTTACCCTCGTTTATCCCACGGTAAATTCTTACCCTGACTCAATGATAATAAGAATAACTAATGATTCAGTAATTACTCTTGATTACAATACTAATCCCAGAAAAAACAACTAACTATTCCATTTTTTTACTTCTAATTACAGTAAAAAATAAAGTTTGTGATGAAAGAAATTAAAATAATTTACCAGGCTCTGTTTTTTTTTACCAGATAACAGAGCCGATATAATTCCCAGATGAAACGGCAAAATCATGACGAGATGCATTTTCTCAACAACAACCAAACAGAAAGAGAAACAGAAATTGTTGGGGGCGTTAATCGAAACGGCCTGGCCTGCGTTTCGAAACGCGAATAGAAGAAAAAAAAAAGAGAAACAGAGTAAGGAACAGGGGAGGAATGCAGATACAGGGAAAATACTTACGAGGACGCAGAGGCCGCGGAAGGCGTCGAGAGAAGCGAGGCGTTTTGATTTTTTGTAGGGTTTGAGAAGCTGGTGGTCGTCGCCGTCGCCGGCGCCGGTGGGAGAGGGAGGGCGGAAGCTCTTCTGCATCTCCTCGTCGAAGGGGATTTGGCCATAGCCTGCTGCAATTGCCATGGCCATGAAGGAATTTTTTTTTTTTCCCCGGTGCGATTAGAACGCAAATAATATTGGGGAAGAAAGAATTTAGGAGAGATTTGATCGGAAAAAATGGGATGTAGAGAGAGAGATGGAGTTGTAAAAGGAACGAAGCGAGAGGAAGAGAAGGCAATTATATATCGTGGGTCTCCACTCCACTACTTTTTTTTTTTTCGGTTTTGATTTGTTGATATATGTTACGTAACAGGCTAAAAGGGTATATTTTCAAGAGAATTCAGGTAAATTTCTAATTTAATCTGATGTTGAGTCCATGCGACAACTTCGTCCAATTAGCCTCTGCCAATTCGTTTATAAAATTATAACTAAGATCATGGCAGAGCGACTGGCTTGTATCCTCTCCTAAATCATTTCTGAGGGCCAAAATGTTTTTATTCGAGAAAGGCAAATTGTGGATAACATCCTACTCGGGCATGAGTTAATGCACTATTTAAAAATTAAGACGCGCGGCAAGAAAGGGTACATGGCTCTGAAGGTTGACATGGAAAAAGCCTATGATAGAGTCGAATGGCCTTTTCTCCTAGCGGTCTTGGAAAAAATGGGGTTTAACTCGACTTGGCGAGGGTGGATTGTGGAGTGTCTTAAGACGGCCTCTTTTTCGGTCCTCATGAATGGGACCCCCTCGGGGTACTTTGCCCCCTCCAGGGGGCTTCGGCAAGGAGACCCTCTTTCTCCCTTATTGTTTGCAATCTGCACTGAGGGCTTTGCGGCACTCCTCAACAAGGCAATCTCTGAAAAACGACTTGAGGGTGTGAAAGTGGCGCCCCGGGACCCCCGAATCTCGCACCTGTTCTTCACCGATGATTCATACCTTTTCCTTCGGGGTTCCCTGCAGGAGTGCGAGAACTTAATCGTGGTACTAAATGAGTACGAAGAATTAAGTGGTCAGCGAGTGAACCTGGCCAAGTCAGCGGTTTGCTTTAGCAAAAACATTAGGTCACAGGATCAGGATTTCTTGGCACGAATTCTAGGGGTGGGGGCAGTTGGGGTCCATGATAAGTATTTGGGTTTGCCCATCCTGATTGCCCGCTCTAAAATGGCGACTTTTTCGTTACCTTGAGGAGAAGTTGTTGGCGCGGCTGCAAGGCTGGAAACGGCGAACCCTGTCTTGGGCTGCCAAAGAGACCCTAATTAAGTCTGTTGCTTTAGCCCTGCCGTTACATGTTATGTCCTGCTTCCGGCTTCCCTTGTCCCTTTGCCGGCTCTTGGATAAACATATCGACAGGTTCTGGTGGGGTGCAGAGGACGACCACTCTAAGGTTCATTGGATCTCCTGGCGTAACATGTGTAGGAGTAAACATGAGGGAGGCATGGGGTTTCGTCGTTTTGAACAGTTTAATCAGGCCCTCCTAGCTAAGGTTGGGTGGCGTATACTGAATGAGCCCCAGTCCCTCCTGGCCCAGGTTTACAAAGGGAAGTATTTTCCAAATGGGTCGTTCCTCCAAGCTACGGGCCGCTCTCGGCCTTCTTGGGGTTGGCAAAGCATTTTGTATGGGCGCCAGTTATTAGAGGCTGGAGTACGGTGGCAGATTGGTAATGGTGAGTCCGCTTCCCTGCTCCAGTCCAGTTGGATTCCTCAGCTACACCCTATTCCGCCTCGATACAACCCTCTGATCTTGCCGGATGGCGGGGAGCCGCGGGTGGCTGAGGTTATCGTCCCTGGGGAAGGCAGGTGGTGTGACGTGAAACTTCGGCAGTGGTTTGATCCTCTGACTTGCCGGGAGATTAAAAGGATCCCCCTGCCCCGCCAGGACAAGATGGATAAGTTGATTTGGCACGGTACAGCAGATGGGGTCTTTACAGTCAAATCCGCCTACCATCTGGCTGTCACTCTGGATAGACAGAAGGGCCGTTGGAGAGACTCCGCGAGTTGGATGGATAAGAAAAGTTGGATTAAACTGTGGGATGCGGATATTCCTCCCAAATTGAAGGTGTTTATGTGGCAGATATTTAACCGTGTCTTGCCCACTACTGAAGCCTTGGTTGAAAAACAAATTCCAGTTCATCCCCGTTGCCCGGTGTGTTGGGCTGAGAAGGAAACCATGGAGCACTTGTTCCTGTACTGCCCAGTGGCGCGGGCTCTTTGGGACCTGTCAGGTTTGGAACATTTAGGCCAGGGATTACCGCGTCAGACTCTCCCTTTGTTCTTGAAGAAGCTGATGGCCTTACTAGCCCAGCCCTCCGATTTTATGGCCGTAGTAGCCGTACTCTGGCGTATCTGGCGGTCCAGAAACTGGGTGGTTTTTGAGGGTAAACAGGTGGGGTTTCCGGCCTTGATGCGTCAATTTCACCAACAGTTTGAGGAGTGGGTCTCGTTGCCAAAAGATCCCTGCACCAGTCCCCCGAACCCCCACTCTGCCCCTGATCCTCCTGGGAATGGTAGTTCCCTGGTGTGTTTGTGGGATGGGGCTACTCGGAAGGGTTCTCATGCCGCAGGTGGGATGGTCCTCTTAGGAGTTGGTTGGGAGATCCTGTGGGCTCATGGATTTCAGTTCCCTGGAGTGGATGCGCCCGCGGTAGCGGAGTTGCTGTGTTTACGGGAGTCTATGCGTTGGTGCCTTGCCCATGGGTTGACAACAGTCTGCTTTGAGGGGGATGCTTTGGTGCTTATTGATAAGATTCAAAGGGGTAGTACTGCGGATAGCCAGGTGGGGGCTATTCTGGAGGAAGTTGTTCATCTCTTCGATTCGTGCGCGGGATTTGGGGTTCTGTTTGTAGGTCGGAGTAGTAATATGGCAGCCCATTTGGTGGCTAGGAAAGCCCTCTCGTTGTACCCGACTATGAGTCGTCTTTTTTAATTTTCTGACCTGGCTGAGATCCAGGGTGTAACTATCTATGTTTCAATCTATATGAGATTATCTTTTGTCAAAAAAAAAAAATCTGAAATATCTTTTTTTCTTTTCAAGATGAATATAACAATTTGTCTACCTAACTTAGGATTTTGGTAACAAGTTATGAGAATGAAACGTTTCATAGTATTTTGATTTTTGAGATTTTCATGAAGAGATCTATTGGGGATTTTGATGTTGGAATTTAGCAATATGGTTTGGGTCATGGAGTTATGTTTTTTTTTTCCTGCTTTTTGTACAATGAATTTTAGTTTTGGGAATTTTCAAATATCTAATTTTTGAAAAAAAAATATTTTGCTTTTTTTTCTTTTTATATCTCACTAAATACCCTTGTTAACAATAAATTATCACTACTTTTCGAATCATCCTAAATTCCTAATTACTATCGAGCAATAAATCTTTTATAAATTTTTTTCAACAATCTCAAGAGTTCGAATCTTTAGATTGTTTAAAATCTATAGATTTAGACTTCAATTATACCCTTACATTAGGTGTTGAAAAGCAACATTATATTGCTAAACCAATTTCTAGTATGCACACTTTACTATTGATAAATAAAAGTTACTTTAATTATAGATTTAGACTTCAATTATACCCTTACATTACGTGTTGAAAAGCAACAATTCTAGTATGCACACTTTAGTATTGATAAATAAAAGTTACTTTAATTGGGAAAAAAATTTAAAACGAATTCTGTATTTACCACTCATGGATAATTACAAATGTGTGTGCTGTTGTTTTGAAGGTCAAGATCCAACTTTCGTTATTTACCGACCCGTTTTAAATGTTATGTTCACTTAAATACATGCGCTAGGATATTTATTTTTTTTCGTTTTTTGTTTTTTGTTTTTTGTTTTTGGTTTTTAAACAGACATTGGCAGGATATTATTCACAGCAGAATAACAAATAAGTATGCCAAGAGTAGCATATTGGGGAATGAAGTGGAGTGAGGCCAAATGTCCAAACCAATATGGGACTATGGTGGAGTCACATTTTGTTTGGTCGGATCATTGCGTAATCCAAATTGATCGTTCATATGCACTTTTAATAATTTTGAATTGGAGTTAGGTTTGAGTTGAGTCCAATTTGGATCAATTCATTTGGGTCAGACAGCAAATGAATCTAGATGATTATATACCAAAAACAATATCAATCATTTCATTAACTAACTTCAACTCAATTACAACTTTGGCGTAGGTGTTGCCACCACCTTCTGTTTGTTTCATAAAAAAAAAAGAGACAGAAGCTGTATTAGAATAGGATATTTAAACACAAACTAAAAGATTTGGTATGGATTTGCCCCAAATAAAATTACGATTTGACTTAGAATAAATTGGGTTTGGGCAAACTCAAATATTGAGTTTGTTTTTTTGCCATTCCTTAAATTGATCTTAGCTATCTCCTATCATATGTAGATTTTTTTAATTGGAGATTTCAGGTTCTCGTTTTAAATCCCTTAAATAGTAACTAAAACAACGAATATCCGGGATTGCATCATTGCTATATAATTAAAATTGCATACTCCATTTTATTTGTGTTGTAAGTACATTAAAAATCTATCAGTAATCAATACAATTACAACAAGTACATATAAGATCGAATTTGACCCCAATTACAATCATCTAAAAAGATAATCGAAACTATATATATAGTTATGTCTTCGGTGCACTCACTTTTTTGGGTGCATTCAATGCACCCGCCTCATAATCGTCATTCTGAGCCGGCGGTTCATGTGAAAACGATGTCAATTATCACTTGTGGTTAGGGGTGGGCAACGGGAAACGGGTATTTGGGTATACCCGTACCCGTCCCGTTTATTAAGGGTTACGGGTACCCATATTACCCGTAATATTTTAAACGGATGGGACTTGGGATTGTACAGTCCTAATATGGGTACCCGCGGGTTACCCGCGAATACCCATTTGGGTAATATGGGTACCCGTTGTACCCATTCAAATTACAAAGACATATAATTCAGCCCATGCGCCCAGGCCCAACCCAATTTAAAATCCATTAAAATTACAAAATCCATTTAATTCAGCCCGTGAGAGTTGAGACGCTGACGCACCCCTAGGCCCTAGAAGACGCGAGACACGCAACGGTAGGCGGCAGCTTCTCTGGAATTTGGAAAGGTTTGTCTCTGTCTTGTGTCTTGTCCCTGGCTGGAGGAGTCATCTTCGCGGGTAAGTTGCACTTTCCAGGAAGCAGAACTTGTTCTCTTTCTGGGTTTTATTATTTGGTCATTTCCCCTTCCTTGATTCCTTTTCATCTTCATCATCATCCCTTCTTTGGGTTGTAGGAATTGGTGTAAGTTGCTACTTGTGCAGCCATTTTGTGTTTTGAAATGAATGCTTTGGATGTAATTGACTAATGTCTTTAGGTAAAATGTCATTTAAACTTTGGGTATTTATGGGTAGCATGGGTAACCGTTATCCGTCCCGTATGGGTTTGGGATATGGGATGGATTTTGGTCTCCAAATGGGACTGGGTACCCGTTTAAAACCCCTACTTGTGGTATGATGAACAAGAACCACATGAATTTGTACAAAAAAAAATCATTCAAGATTCACTTTAATTTGAATGGTTTAGGGTTTAGGAATTTAGGGTTAGAGTTAGGGTTTACAATTTGGGATTTTTGGTTGGGATTCAAAATTGAAGGTTAATAGGTTAGGGTAATGGACTGATTAGTTGTGATTTTGTGTTACATCAACATATTAGACTAATGCTACCCACTAAAGTTTTAAATTTGATGTATTATGACCACTTTTAGAAATGGACGTATTCAATGCACCCAAAAAATGAGTGCACCAAAAGTAGCCGCTATAAATATATATATTTGTTAAGAAAAGTTATCACCAGGAATCTAGGATGTATAATCCTTAATTAACAAAGTTTACGCTAAAGACGACAAACCGACTAGAACAAGAAAGTTGGGTACAGGTTAGGTCTCTGCACGAGCACATATATATTAATTAGTAGCTATAGGTATTACTAATGATCGTACGTGTACGTAAATGCATGCGTTTAAGTACACTCTTAATCCATATTTTGTTCATGTCACGCACCTACCATTACCAATAAGTAACCTAACTAAAACTTTAATCATAATTAACTACTCATCATCCACTTCTGGTGATCGTGTGTGGAAATGGGAACGGCTACGGTGCTAATTGTACAATAGTTAGCACCGTCCTAACCAAGGGAAAAACTACTACTAGTTTGAATTAGTAGTGATTTAGCTTAGATGTTGTATTGATTTTATAATAATCCGTAGTGATTTCGTTATTTTTAGTAGCTTTTTTTGCTAGTTATCACGGTGCTAACCCCTATAAGGGTTAGCACCTAATCCCATCCATGTGGAAATGTACGACTTAATCACGCTACTATATATGCATATGCATGTTTAATACTACGCCAAACCCAAAGGTTGGAGACATGAGTAAATGCTTCCTTTTTTTTCTTTTTTCTTTTCTATGGATTTTGTTCGAGTTTTTTTTTAGGATATAACAAAAGAAGAAGAAGAAAAACCAAATTTAGGAATTCTCCAAAAGCAAGGGAAATCATCTTAAAAAATCTCAAGAAACTAGCTCTAGACGAAGATTGCTACAAAACTTTACGTGTCATTTTATGTGCATCTTAGTTTGTCGTTTGACGGACCACCCTAAAATCTCAGGAAAGTATTCAACTTCATTGACTTTTATAACTAATCACGATGACTTGTTATATTCTGAAAAGTTTATAATATACATTTTTCACTTAATTTTTTATACAAACCCCTTCCCGATATTACAATTAAAAAATTATTCATAAATCGATTCCTGATCTGATTTTCAATATCGTGCTTGATTAACTTCACGTCTGAAAATTACTATTCACAACTTCCAGCTGCAACAAGTAGGGAATTTTTTTTGTGAATTGACACTTGTGTTTTTTACTTGCATGGTGCGTGAAGATTACGCATGAATTATGTGTCGTAATTCGAAAGTAAAGTGAGAAGCAATATGATGATGATGATGATTAAGTTGACGTAGAGCACTTGTCACACACAGATGCGTGGCTTCGTATCACAGGCTAGCTACATGTTAAGGAAAATTTGCTTGATTACCATTTCCCATTTGTTAAGTGAAAAACACGAGCTACTTGTAATCACATTTATCGTTAGTAATTTTTTGCAACATTTCATTTTGGAAAAGACTGGTCGGGATAAACGACAATGCAAAGAAGACAATAATAGCAAAAAGAAAAAAAATACATAGATTTACGTGGTTCATTAATATAATGTTTGTCAATTAGTGGACGGGTGAGAGAAAGCCAACTTCACTGTACCTGACAAGATACAAATTGCATAGAAGTATCATATCCAAAAGAGGAGGCCCAATAACTTTCGATCTATGGCAGATCATTCGATTCAAGTCATGTCAACTCCTCTTTGATCTTTTGGCTAATAATAATATAGATAATCATAATTATGCATATACAGACAAAAAACAAGATGAGGGAAACAAGGAAAGGCATGGAACAAGGCCTGCGACATCCCACAAAAACAAAATTGCTGGGGAACTGGAGCCTTGTCAATTAGTTTATTTTCCAAAAAAAAATTCAACTTTTTGCTTGTAAATTTACCTGCATTTGAAAGTTGAGAAGGGGTTGTAGTCCCTCCTGAATTCAAACTACGCTCCGTAACTGTTGTAGAGCGATCTGTTACACGCATGATGAGTTACAACTGGACTGCACCAAACCGACCCAAATCCGCATCCGTTGAGTATGATGTTTTATGTTTACACATAAGAATTAGTAGTTAGAGTAGACGACACATAACCTTTATCGAGTAGAATAAGGATTAGTTTAGGGTTACTGGTTGTCTACATGTGTATGTTTGATTTTAGCGTATTATCAATCGCAAAGTGTACGTTGTGCTCTACATCTCATTACCAAGCAACCATTAATCACAACTAATATGAAAAGTGAAAAGAAATTAAAGCATGATAAGCAAAAGGCCGGTGCATAGATGACGAAGGCAAGTAACATAATCGATCGTGGCCATTCGATCGTCGGCGTTGAGATTGCCAACTTTTGACGACATTAGTATTTGTCATGGAGCATACTTTCCTTTTCCAAATCTCATTTTCATATTCTACCAAATTTGCTTTTCCCCCCTTTTCAAAATTGAATGGTTTTTACATGAATAGACTAAAATGACCAACGTAAGAAGTTAGCAAATGAATAACTCGAGTTATAAGAACTAAGGGTAGTTTGGAAGTTGCGATTGTTAAACAGATGTATTGTTGAGAATGCATGTATAATATTGTGAACGGCTATTTGCCGTCAACCAAATTGCTATTTGCCGCCAACTAAAAAAAAAAATTTGAATTCAAAATTTGAATTTTCCCTTCCTTTCATTCTATAATTCGGATATCAGGAACATTTGACTCATTCCAACAAAAACTTCTGTTGACAAGCCCAGTGCCTCCGTCGCCGGCACCGTTCTTCCGTCGCCCTCAATCGTCGGAAAACAAGTAAGTTTACTTTTTCCGGCAAGTTTTCCAGTTTTCCGGCGAAAAACACGCGGGCCGAAAAAAATTGGGGCCCGAACGCCGCCGAGCCGAAAAAAATTTGTGGCCGGTGCGACGCCCGGTCGAAAAATTCTTTCGGCCCGGCGGCGCCTCGGTCGCAAATTTTTTTCGGCCGGTCGCCGAACACGCCTGCCAAAATTTTTCCGGCGGCGTGTTCGTCGGCCGGCCAAATTTTTTTTACGGCCGGCCAGTTTTTGTATTTAATTTAATATGTTAATTAATTAGTCAATAAAAAATTACTTAATTAGTTAATAGAAATTAGCAATTAGTGTTAATATTTATTTAAGTTGGTGTATAAATGTTTTTTTTTGTAATAGGCGTTTAATTACTTAGATTAGTTAATAGAAAATTAATTAATTAAGATTTGATTTAACAATTAATGTTAATATTCAATACATTAGTTAATAAAAAATTAATTAATTTGTGATTAATTAACAATTAATGTTAATAGTACATTAGTTAATAGAAATTTAATTAATTAGTGCGCATCTAAGTATGATATTGTGTAAATTTGTAGATAATTAGATATGGATGATGCGGGTGGGAGTGAGTTGTATAGATTCAATGGTAGGGTTGTTGATGCATCAACACGAAGGAAGGTTCCTAAGAAGAATAAGGAGAAGAAGAGCTCTCGAGATATTGGACATCAGTCAGAGGCAAATTTGGGGGAGGATGAGTTAGAGGCTCCTACTGTAGTTGCTCGTTCGGCATCACGGGCGTCTGGTTCCCATGGGAGGAACCAGGGTGCTGCATCGAGAGTGGTCTCGGCTGAGTTTGATGAGGACGATAATGATAAGGATATCGAGGTCCCTCCACCTACGCGTGGACATGGACGAGTGTCGTCTTGTACGGCAACATCACGTCCTGCTATGTATAGGGACCGAGCTGGGCGATTCGTACCACCTGCTCGTGAGGAGACAGAGAGCTCGGGGACTGGACGGAGTAGGGGAGGACGTTCGAGTGGTCCTCCACCGTGGGAGCTTGTTGGTGAGTGTCCTGGTGGACCTACGGATCCTAGCCTCATTAGGAGCTTTCGCGGCCACGTTGCCTATGCGCTTTGGACGGGGGTTGGAGATCGAGGGGTCATCAGTTGCTACAGTCGTACATCGACGGTTGATTATCTGGGTAGCTACGTGTTTAGTCATGTTGAGGCGGAGGATCTGGTTCAGCAGTCAGGTCTCCAGCACCTGATCTACTCTATGTTCAGCAAGATAGCGATTGACGAGACTTTGATCTCAGCTTTTGTGGAGAGGTGGCATCCAGACACGAACACCTTCCACTTGCCTTTTGGAGAGATGACGATCCTCCTCCTCGATGTTCAGTACTTACTGCAGATTCCTGTTGAGGGACGACTGATGAGTAGGAGTTCTACGCAGCTTGACCATCCGGAGGTGGGTTTGTGTGCGCTTCTTGGGATGAACTCGGAGCAGTTGAGTGGTCGTTCGGAGGCCCCTGGATATGGTAATAGGGGTAAGTGGTACGAGAAGGGTGGTTTTCTTGCAGAGATGGCGTCCAGATACTTGCAGAGGCACGAGACACATGTGATAGAGGCGCAGTCGTACTTGTTGTTGCTGTTGGGGTCCACTTTGTTTGTGGACAAGAGTAGAGACAGGGTTCGGCTGGTGGTGAGCCTATTTTTGGACGAGTTGGAGGAGTTAGATCAGTACAGTTGGGCGTCACGTACACTTGCTTGGTTGTGCAGATACCTTGGTCAGGCGTCTCGTGCTGGTGCCAGGGGGTGGCTGGTTGTCTCACACTTCTGCAGCGTTGGATGTACTAGTACTTTCCGGGTTTTAGGCCATCTCACTTTGAGACACCCGCCGTTGGACCTGATGATGCTTGGGCTTCACGATGGATTGGGCAGTCGGCACCTGGTTCTGTGGCTGATCCCAGTGTGAGGTTGGCGTTCTACCGTCGAGCTCTTGACAACTTGACCCCTTCTTATGTGTTTTGGACACCTTTCCATCAAAGGCCTCATCAGGCAGTGCGTCGCTCTTTGTACACTGGAGTCATCCGGTTCGCTGACATAGGCGAGTTCTATGATACAGCCCGTTGCCTCCGACAGTTTGGATACCGACAGATGGTACCACATGCCCCTTCGCGTCCTCAGCGAGCAGACTGACCAGAGGCACCTGGTGGATATGTCATTCGGATTCCTGAGAGTTTTGATGCTGCATGGGATGATCTGCTATCCCACATGGTTCACATAGACATGTACTCTCAGCTGTGGACGACATATCCATATGAGACTACGATCAACTATCTTGACTGGTTGTGGCGCACTCTCATTGTAGAGTCCTACGGGATGATGAAGATGCAGATCGACTAGTTGACTCCGCAGCAGTAAGATTTGACCACTAAATCGTTACTCTATTATAAATATACTTAGCATGAAACTAACAATTGCTCTTGTTTTTTTTATGCAGCGTGCTCGCGACCTTTTGTACACGTTTGCACCTGCGGTTCGAGCAGCAGCAGGGACCGAGGAGGAGTTTCTTGAGCATTCTCGACGAGCCTACAGGGCACTGCACGAAGTGCAGGATGTGTGGACTGAGTACTAGGCTTCTCAGGGACTCCCCCCTTCAGGGGATTTTTAGTTGTTTTGATGTTTGGATCATTTATGATTTGTACTATTTGTGTTTAGACTGCATGTTTGCATATTTATGTTTAGATCGGATGTTTGACTACTTATGTATGTTTGGATCGGATGTTTATGTTTAGACTGCATGTTTCCATGTTTATGTTTAGATCGGATGTTTGACTACTTATGTTTGTTTGACTACTTATGTTTGGATCGGATGTTTGCACACTCATGATTAAAACATTGAGGGTAGATAATGAAATTCATAATGAAATCCATAAGTTCATAATGACACTAGGGTCATTTAAAATACAACTAGAAAAACAACAATATATAAATAGAGCATTGCAACACTATGCATTGTTTCCTTTGTTTCCTGCTTAATAATTGCACATGCAATGTTGAAATTCTTCTTGACTGGAGTAACCCCAATAATCTCAACCCATGGTCAGCCGTACCTGTTGGTCTTGTAGTTCGAGTCAATGAGGATGACGTACGGCCATTCATGCAACATCTGAATGGACGTTGGGTGCGCAAAAAACAGATTAGTGAGCACATTATTAGAGTCCTTTTGCAAACAGATATGGTACCCACGCTGTTCAGCTCCGTGAAGCGCAAACTGTATCGCATCCATTTCACCCATCTCATCCAATCTTGTCTTGTAATTTCTGTTGTACATCTGTTTGATATCATATGCACACCCCCTTCAGTATTGAGTGTCGTCTTCTGCTGATTTGGTCTCACCCCCACCTTTCTCATTAATCTTAACCTCTCTTTTTCAGCCTCACTAAACTGTTTGTTGTGTCGGTGATGTTCTGGATACAGCACTTTTTCATGGTTGTGAAACCCTCTATTAGCTCCGGTTACACGACTTGTCACTCCCACTATGACCCATGTGTTTGGACCATTCTCTTGTCATACTTCCTTAATACATATCTGAAACTGGCAACCAGTACCCTTCGAACTAATATTCCCACGCGTCTCCTTCGTAGGGTCTGGTTTATAAGACTTAACGATCCTACTACTTCTGTCGCAATACATACAGAGGGCAGTAATAGGATGTAGTCCAGCAGTATTCGGTTTTCATGCTCCTCTAACAATAAAGAACCCACACTCCTGAGCGATTGCTTTTGCAGCTAACTCAGCTAACTCCACACTTGCATAATGGATCCCATTCTCAAATTCATGTGTGTAATCATGATCGGCCGGTAACCACTCTGACATTTTTCCTACAATTACAATATAACACATCAATATTCCTGTGAACCTAAACGCTAATTTCAAGTCTTAATCGCTAAATTCAACTCCTAAACTTTAAATTCAACTCTTAAACGCTAAATTCAACTCCTAAACTCTAAATTCAACTCCTAAAATTGAATTTTTCCAAAAAATTCCAAAAACAGACGGTGGGCCGAAAATTTCCAACAGCAGGAGCCAGGCTGAGCCAAAAATATCTTGTGGCTCAGCCTGGCTCCGACCACCGATTTCCGTCGGCCCAGCCTGGTTCCGGCCGTCGGAATTTTTCGGCCCGGCCAGGTTCCGGCGGCCGAAAATTTTCGGCCCACCGTCTGGTCGTTTCAAATCGGCGGAAAAATTGTTCGAAACTACAAAAAATTTACGCACCTGCTTAGTGATGATTCATGGATGCATGTACGCAGTATATGTCGAGGATAGACTTTCCCGATGATTTTCCGGTGAATTTTCCGGCGACCGTCGAATTTTTCTGATTCAATACGTTCTCTGAAAGTTGGATATGTTGTAGATTGTGAAACTCCTTAACCAAAGATGTACATATATACTTTTTATTTTTTTGTTGGCGGCAAGTAGCAATTTGGTTGGCGGCAAATAGCAAGCCCATAATATTATACATGTATTGTCGAATTTGATACATTGTAGAATACAACGTTTGGTATGTGTTTTGTATGTCGCATCAGCTAAAAATTGAGACAAAACAATCACAACTCAACTATCTCAACAATCACAACTAAAAGTTGAGATATAACAATTACTCAAACTGAGTGATAGTTTCTGTCACATAATAGAAACAATCCATGTATTGTTTTTGCTAAAAAACAAAAACAAAAAACGATGCATTGTAAACAATACATGTATAATGACAATCTCAATAAAACAATCGTAAGTTTGGCATTGTAAACAATACATGTATAATGACAATCTCAACAAAACAATCGTAACTTCCAAACCAATCTTAAATGATTTTAAACTTTGAATAAATTGAAAGCGCAAATGTAAAAATTTGACTAAAGGATCATACCAAATGTTTTAACGGTGTATGGAGGGGTGAGTCATTTCCATGAACAGAGTTGGACTAGCACCACCATTGATCAGGATCAATCCCACCCAAAACAAAGACGACATCTCTTTTTATCTCTTTTCTTTCCAATTCCCAACATGGAAAGGATAACAGGAATCACCCCTGTTGAAAAACGACGAATGAAGCATCAAATCTACTCACTATTCCACTGGGATGAAATGTGAACCATGTGTCTGTCTGAAAAGTGAGAATCACTTCCGAGTAAAAAAAGAATGGCTTTCCTTGCATGCATTTGAGTGAATGTGATTCCATGTACTTTTCAAGCATAACAACCCTTGAAATTGGGTTCAAACCCCATCATCTACATATCAACAAAGAAGAACAAGTAACACATGTGCCTTGTCTCATCATAAACCAACTATGCAATTCGAAAGCGTAACAGGGCTCGAGTTTGCAATGTGGCCTGACGATCATAGAAGCAGAGATGCACTTCGATGCATCTCATCTCTCGTCGTTGGATCGAATTCGTCGAATCCGGCAATGGCGCCATCAAAAACACCGTCCTGCAAATAACCCTGAAACACACCATAGAGCACAATCTTAGCCCCTGTAATCTCTAAAATATCTTTCACTAATGATCGTGATTCTCTGTCCCGATCCGTTGCACACCCGCTAGTTATTAGCACATGACCCCTCAACTTGGATAGTACTTAGTAGTCTAGTGGTCTAATTAACTATTGGGTTAATTGTATTGGGTAAAACAAATCCTCATTTGACCGGTAACGTGGTAGCGCCGCCCGAGACAGAGAGCTGAGTTTTTCAAATCCGCCTCCCGTTATATCTCGTCCGACGACCGAAACCCAGAAATAGAGAGGAAGGAAATGGCTGTCACTAAACGGCCGAACGCCGGCGCAATCGCCCCGCTCTTTCTCCTATCGACGGCCGCATTAATCCTCGCCTGCGCAATCGCCACCTCACACCTCCCCATCGAGGAAGCCACCGTCGAACAAATCCAGCAGGCATTCGCCCAAAATCAGCTCACATCCAAACAGCTGGTCAACTTCTACTTTGACCAGATCCGGGCCCTGAATCCCCTGCTCCGCGGGGTGCTGGAGGTCAACCCGGACGCGCTCCGGCAAGCGGAGCAGGCAGATCGCGAGAGGGCGGCTGGCCGTTCGTTGGGCGATCTGCACGGGATCCCGATCCTGCTGAAGGACGGGATCGGGACGAAAGACGCGCTCAACACGACGTGTGGGTCGTACGCTCTGCTGGGCTCCGTGGTGGCGCGTGACGCCGGGGTGGTGGAGCGTCTGCGGTCAGCCGGGGCGGTGATACTGGGGAAGGCCAGCCAGAGCGAGTGGTACAACGTCCGGTCGTTCTCGATTCCCGGCGGCTGGTGTGCCCGAAGCGGTCAGGCCGTGGTTAGTCTTTATAGTCAAAATCGCGTTTTAAAATTTCAAAACCTAAGCTTTAATACTTTTAGGGTTACTGAACGCGCTTTAAATTATATTGCTTACTACTTGATCACTTTTGCTAATGAAAGATTAGATTGCGGCTAATGTTTGGGTTGATCAAAGTTTAGAACCCTTACGTGGAAGGCGGGAATCCATGTGGGTCGAGCAGCGGGTCGGCCGTATCGGTAGCAGCCAACATGGTCGCCGTCTCACTAGGAACAGAGACCGACGGTTCGATCCTCTGCCCGGCTGACCGCAACTCGGTGGTCGGGATCAAACCAACCGTCGGGCTAACCAGCCGGGCCGGAGTGATTCCAATCTCCCCTCGTCAGGACACAATCGGGTAATAAGTAATAACCAAACTCTGTTCAAGTTCCTTCTGCTTACCTTGTAGTGATTCCAATGCCTGCCCTCCCTAAAGGCTAAAGCTTTGAATCGTTTCGCAGGCCTATATGCAGGACAGTGTCCGACGCGGTGTACGTTCTCGAAGCGATCGTGGGCTACGATCCTCGAGACCACGAAGCGACGAAAGAGGCAGCTGGGTTTGTACCCTTGGGCGGGTACAAGCAGTTTCTGAAACGGGATGGACTCAGGGGGAAGAGGATAGGCGTAGTGAGGAGTCCGTTCTTGGATTCTGTCAATGATTCGACCGTTTTAACCGCGTTCGAGCTCCACCTCAAGGTGTTTAGGCGAGGAGGTGCGACAGTGGTGGATCATCTGGAGATTGCCGAGATAAATGTGATTCTGGATCCGTTTAAGAGCGGGGAAGTTCCTGTCTTGATGGCGGAGTTCAAGGTTGGGATCAATCAGTACCTCGAAGAGCTCATCGAATCGCCTGTTAGGTCCCTGGCAGACATCATCGCTTTCAACATCAACAATCCGGAGCTGGTAATCAGCTGAAATGCTAAACCAATTCCAGTTTCATTCTCTATGAGCATGCTTGTTACAAGTTGTAACACGCTATATTGTGCTGGTGCAGGAAAACATGAAGGAGTATGCACAGGACCTGTTGGTTGCAGCTGAAACGACAAACGGTATAGGGGAGCAGGAAGTCGGAGCGATACAGTTAATGGAGAATCTGTCGCTAGAAGGCTTCGAAGGACTGATGAAGCAGCACCAGTTAGATGCTATGGTGACGTTCGGCGCAGATGCTGCTCCGGTGCTGGCTATGGGAGGATACCCTGCAATTTCAGTCCCTGCTGGTTATGATGGCAAGGGAAGCCCCTTTGGGATTGCTTTTGGAGGATTGAAAGGCACCGAGCCGAAGCTGATCGAGATTGCTTATGCCTTCGAGCAGGCCACCAACATCCGCAGACCTTCAAAGCTGCAATGTGAAATTTGAGTGTCTTTCCATCCACTTACACTTTCCTTCTAGTAGTTCTGCTTTGCTTTAGTGCCAAATCAAAAGGTTCCCTTTGAGATGCCCCAATGGTATGTATCGCGATCGCTATTCCTAGATTTGAATGAATAAAACTCAGCCATCAATGCACTGTTATTTGCAGCAGAAGGGAAAAGATGAAAAGGGCAGATGATTGCAATGAGGAATATCAGAAATGTACTACTTATATATCATATCATAGCTGAGAAATGGGTTCTGTTGATCACCAATAACAAAAGGCATAAGCTTTCACTGAGCATGACAAAAGACACGTTTTGATTGAATTCCTCTAAGCTTATATCTCGACACTTCCTAATATATAGACATGAAAAAGGTAGATAATGTGGGATGGCAAAGTCTATCTCGGTAGGCGGTGGTTGTCTACTCGAACGCCCACTGGTTCTCCCTCCTGACCTCTTCCTCCTCCTCCGGGGTGAAATCGTTCTTGATGTTGAACGTCTTGCGAATCTCCTCGGGTGTCTTCCCCTTGATCATGTCCGCCACAGTCTGGCAGGTCAAATCCAGCAAGCTCTTGATGTTCAGATAGTTGGCAGCCTGTAAACAAACCAAAAAGATTCGAATCATCAGCAACTCCAAACACTAATGCAGCTTAAACCCATCAAATTGTGCAGCAACATTATAAGTATGGGAAACTAGATTGGTCATAAAATGGGGAAAATGTATAAATTCTTAGCAACAATGGCAGCGATTTCTGTATACCTTTATCCTACAGAACGCAGGAACAAAAACCCCTGACTTTTGGATCCTATCGATACATGATACACATAAGTTCAACAGAATTACAAAATGACTATACTCTCAGGCAGTGATTCCATAATCTAAGACATAGGCAACACAAACGATTGAATGTTTCATAAACCCTAACCATAAAATATCAGACGCGCAAACCCTAGATGAAGCAGGAACAACGAAATCGAGGACCAAACGGAAGAGATCCAAAGAAACCGAGAGAGGGGGGAAGGAGACATTACCAAGATGAGGTCGAAGAGGGTATTCTGGTCGACCTTGACGAAATCAGCGTCCCAGGTCTTGAGAGCCTCGTCGGGGGAGGTCGTGAGCTTGTCCTTCTCCTTGTCGGCGCCGGACTCGACGTGCTTCCGGCAGTACTCGATCACCTTGGCCAGGATCGCGCTGGTGACGTTGGGGAGCGGGATCTCGCTGTCGGCGCAGTCGTCCTCGATCATGTGCTTAATAGTCTGCGACTCGACTGCCACCGCCTCCTCGACCTCGAAGGTCTCGCCGTCCGACGACCTCAGGGTGAACTTCTTGGGTGCGGTCGCCATTGTCGCCGGTGATTAGGTTTTTGCGGAAGACGAAAAAATAGGGCTGGAAGGAAGGTTCTAGAGCAGCGGAAGATGGAAAGTGAAAACGATGCCAATCAAGAAAAAAGAGTATTTATAGAAGTACTCCGAGGGTGAAGCCAGTAATTGGGCCGTTTCCTTTTAGGCTTTGGAGAGAAACAGAGTTATATCCGTGCTTCTTAATTATGTTCGGATTCTGTAAGAGTTCACGTTTGGAAAATTGGGCTGGGCCTGCTGATACATTTTGTCTACCGCTCAGTTAATTGTAAACCAAAGCCCATCGATTATAAAAATAAAATAAAAAACAAAGCCCATTATCTTAGGAGGGTGCATTATGATATCAAGAGAGTAAATTATACATGGCTGTAAATTGCCTTTCACAGGTGAAACCAGGCTTCCACCATAGCATTTCAGTAAAATTACAACACTATTGATCTCAGCAGCCTCAGGTTGTAATCCTGGCAGTTTTTGACTTTTTTTTCACAACTTGGAAACAGGTAAACCTGTGAGAAAGAGCAACACAAGAAGGTAAGATTCTGTGGTAGGAAATGGGATACATGGGCAATAATGGAAGAACAAGACTTGGAAGGAAGCTCACCGAGGGCTTTGGCATTCACAATGCTTGGACTGGCAGCAGGAGGAGGTGCATTTTCATTCAGGAACGGATCTACTCGATTCGGGTCGTGCCATACGGGGAACCCTTTAATCTTTCCCTGCAACAATGATAAAGTTTGAGAAACAAGGGTTTTGATTAGTTATACAAAGTGCTTTGGTATCTTGTGAAACTGTACTTTGTAACTTCAAGCTTAAAATACCAGGACATTTAGAGCTGCCAAAGTTGCCATCCCCTCACGAGTCCACTGCAAAAAAAAAAAAGTTCATTACTGGTCATTTGTTGAGTTCTGCTGTATGGAATAAGAGCTCTTGATCAAATCGTAAAATCCTGTGATTTTCAAGAACCAGTTTACCTTCGAAGCAGAAGCAATGTGCGGCACAACAATGGCATTCTTCATTTCACCAAGACCAGGTTTCATGTAAGGCTCATCCTAGTATAACAAGATTGATAAAAAGAACTTGAGTTGGCACAGGATTTAGAACATTGCAGGGAAGAGGATTTGAGTTCCGGTTTTTACCTCGAAGACATCGAGACCGACTCGAAACATGGGATTCTGTTTCAAATGTTCGACAAGAGCTACTTCATCAACCACAGGACCCCTGCTGCAGTTTATCAGGATAGCTTCCTGTAGGAGATATCATGTGCATGGAATAAGAAAATGTATTTTCTTAACGGACTAAAAGCTCATTTGTAACAGGAAATCTTTTCTACCTTCTTCATTGTGGCAAGACTCTCCTTGTTGATCAAGTGGTAAGTGGTCTTGTCCAGAACTGGGTGAAGACTAATCTACAGAACGAAACATCATGTCACGACCTAATGTCATCCATTACACGAAAAACACACAACTATGCCGATGAACACGATGCTGTAGACGAAAGAACTTACCACATCAGCCTCTTGAAGCACCTCGCTCATGGATGATGCTCGTTTCCAGGTCACCGGCTGCTCGCCATTTGCCTTGAGGAACTGACCATAAGCAGTCACGAACTTCTCCAGCCTCGTCGATTGGTAAAGGTCGAAGTATATGAGATTCATTTTGAACCCTTCAACCTGTAAAGGAAAACAAACGAAGAATTCAAACCATAGGCCTTAGTCCTTACTACAAGCTTTCACACAATGTTGCAAAAGTACCATCATTCTAGCATAAGCGGATCCAATTCGGCCAGCCCCAATGACACCAACAGTTTGTCCCTTGAGCAAGTTCCCAACAAACCTAACCCGCCACAAACACCAAGTCACAGGAATGACAAAACTCTTCTCAGACACATTTAATCAAACACATGGTGGGCGGCTCAAAAAACCAAAAAAGTTCAACACTCACAAGTGAGGAAGCCATCCATCGTATAATCCAGCTCTCATGAACCCATCAGCCTCGACAATCCTTCTCGCTGCCGCGAGCGAAAGCGATGCTGCCAACTCCGCAGTCGTCTCCGTAAGCACTCCCTAAAGTAAATCCCCCCCAACCCTACTTAGCCATTACCCGCCAACCATCTACACGAAACAGAGAACTTGAAAAAAAGAAACAAGCTTACAGGAGTGTTTCCAACTGCAACTCCATACTTATTAGCAGCATTCACATCCACGTTATTATAACCAACTGCCATGTTGCTGAATGCCTTCCCTCCAGCTTTGCTCAGCGCCGCGAACAAAGTTCCCCCCCAATCTTCCGTCAACTGGCCGATGACTCCGTCGCACTTGTCGCCGATCAGAGCGATGATGTCCTCCACGGAGAGGATCGTTTTCTTCTCCGTACATATCTACAAACCCCACACGAAATTTCGTTACTTGATTGGATGAAATTGAAAACAGAGGAAGTAAAAAAGATTGTAACTTTATACCTCGAGACGGCAGTCTTGCTCGATTAAGAGATTGATCCAGCGGGTGCCGGGCATGGATTTGGTGCTGACGACCCTGTACTTCCCACTCGGGTTCCATACTTCAATGGAGACTGGCTTCGCCATGAGAAGAGAGAGCTCTGCAAAGTTTTTCTCGCTTGCTCTGTTTTGAATTTCCTGTAACTTATTTTGGATAGAGAGGTAGAAGGAATGGAGTGGAGGGGAATTGATTGTCCGTTTTTTTTGAAACTTTGGATAATGATGACTTGGACTCGTGGATGAGTGCCACGTAGCTCCTACTTTATCGCTTTAACTTTTGGCGCCAATTGGCCCTATTGTTCTACGCCGAGAAATCCATTTCCAGGTTGGGCTTGTGAATGACATGGAGGCCTGGTCCAGTCCAGTGAACAGGCCGAAACTTTGGGCCTATGTGAATCATGGATTTGGCCTGGGGGCAGCTGTGTGCGCGTGGCGGGCACGAGCAAGCTGAAGGAAGGGCCGTGGAAAGCGCGAGCCGGATTCTTGTGGTGGGTTTTGAGCCGGCGAGTTGGATTTGGAGCTGTTGCTCAGAGTTGAGTTTTGATCACTTGTTTGAAAGCTTCGTGTGATGGGAATTTCAACTCGCCCCGCGGGTATTACTCGATTTGATCCGTGATGGGGCGGGTATTACTCGACCCGAAGTAGTATGGGGCGGGGCATGGGTATCTATTTCGGACCCGCCCTGTCCCGTCCCGCCCCGTTCTACACTCATTTTATCTCAATTTCTTACAATATCTATACATATTTCTCCTATTTTGACTTTTTTTCAACTAGTTAGAGTCGATTTTTCAATTTGTTAGGCTCAATTATCCATTCTATTATCAATACTTTTCATTCTTAAAGTGTTTTCCGTACGTTTTATTGTAAAAAGTAAAATTTGCTTGTATTTTTTTTAACATGTAAGAGTGGGTCGACCCGCCCTGCCCCGTACCCGCGCGGGTTTTACCCGCCCCGACCCGTAATAGCGTGGGGCAGGGCATGGAAATTGAGGTACCCGCCCCGCCCATTGCCATCACTACGTGGGGATGTTGAAATTTCAAATTCACCTGTGTAATTTACAGTCACTTGTTAGAGAAAGTAGAAAGAATATGAAGTTCTGTTTGCGATAGCTGAGCCAAACAAATTTAGGGACGGGAAATCGAAGAAATGAAACTCGGGCGAATATGAATCATGATCAAACTTTATATGAACTCTATCGATTAATTAAGATCGATTAATCGAGATTTTTGTGCATGCATTCAAACTCGAAAATCGTAACCTAAAAGATTATATTGGGGGCAATGAATGGAGTGGGGTGGCTACAAATAGACCACAAGTTTAAGGAGGATTGATGAACGATTATTCCAAATGTCCACTTTGGTAGGGAACGGAATTTTCAGATGACAATGGAGTAGTTTGATTTTTGTAGTTGGTGGTTGGTACAAAAGGTGTAGATTGCAGAAAATTAATGGATGCCCACTAATATCAACTTATAATATCATACACTTTCTTGGAAAAAAGTATTATGGACAATGACAAAAAGAGTTTGGCCGCATAACCAATGTTTTAATATCAAACTTGTCTTTCCGTTAAAATTTTCAACAATACCTCGTCAAACACGATCAAATCGTGGTTTATATGGCCTGAAATCAGCAAAATGGTAGGGGAATGATAGTTATGCTCCTCCATTTATTTCTCTAGGGCTCATTATGGTGAAATTATCAGGAGTATTGACTATATCGAAGAAATCAACAAATGTTAAAGTAAGATATTATTAGGGTAAATATTTTACGCATTTGTGTCACACAAATCACGTTTTGATCTAGGTTGACGGTTTCTGGATGGAAATTTTAACAAAAAAAAAAAATTGTTGATAATTTTTTTAGAATACAGAGATTTATTTGACGTAAAAAAAAAATAGATAACCATGTTTGATAAAAATATATAGTAAAAAAAACATAATATACCTAATAGACTATTACCCCTAAAAAGTAGAATAATATTAGCAAAGCTACAACCAATGCCATATTTTGATCTCAGTTTGACTCTTAACATTGAATTCTTTTGTTCCTACAAAGCCAGAAACGTAGCAGATTTGAGTCCAAAAAAAAAAGCCAGAAACGGGAGAAAGTGTTTAAGGAACGAGGACATTCTCAAACGAAAAAGGAAATACAGGAAGAGTTTTAGGAAAAAATCTTACCCGGTATCGCCATTAATTAAACCCTCTTTTCTTCCTTTCTAGTCGCCAACTTACTTTATCTACACCAACCCAAACCAAAAGCCCAAAATTTTCCACTACAAAAACCTTCTCCGCCTCTGGAAAACCTTCCGGCGGAGGACAGACCTCACGTCACGACGAAGAGTTACCCCACCTCAACGATGGAGAGGCTGCTCTACTCTTCTTCTCCCACGGCGCCTCTCAAACTCCACTGCAAGCCCACTACTTCTTCTCTGCCTCGTCTTCCGCGAATCGATGCCGCGAAACTCGGCGGCTTCCCGCTTCTCCCACGGCCGCCGCTGCAGCGCCGGCGAGCTAGTACCATCTCCTGCAAATATGAGACGAACCCACCGTCGGTAGCGTCCGTTTCTTCCGGGAAATTGCCGTCTCTGGCCCCTCTGCAAGTCGATTCCTGCGGTGGGTCGGCGCCAAGTTCTGATCTTGTCGAACAGATCCCGACTGAATCCAGTCATTATCCACGAAAGGTAGCCTCCTCTTCTCTGGGTTTAATTGTCTTGAGATAGGAATAGGATTAGGAATGCAAGGAATATTCGGTATCTATTTGAATTTTGAATTATGTGTGGGAACTGGGATATCATTTCTTTTCCTGTTCGCCGAAGCCCTAGGTTTAGCTGTTCAATTGAATTTTGAACAAATTAGTTAATGGAGAGTTTGGCGGTTTAGATGATTTCCAACATTGATTGTCAGGGGGAAGGGATAAAATTCGGTTTTAAGTACATGTAATGACTTCAGCTTGTTGTACTTCATATTCCCAATGAGATTAGGACTTCGATTCTGTGATGCTGGTAAAATGCTAAGGGAGCTATTTCAGTACTTATGTAAAGAACTATCTTGGAGAAGTAAGTTTGAAACGAGAATGGTCAAGCTTGATTTCAATCTGTAATCAAATGTTGGTGATTTCTGTTTCAATACATTATTGAAATTTTCTGCAGGCAGTGAGTGTTGTGGCTTGTGTACTACTCTCGGCTATCTTGATGTTCACGATGCACCCAATCTTTGCAGCACCAGCATTAGCTACCTACCAAACAGCAGCCAAGGCCACTGCTCCCGTCGGTCTAGGAGCAAAACTAATCCGGACCGAACTCTTAAGCAGCGCATGGACTGGTTTCTTCGCTGGTTGTCTCCACACACTCTCAGGTCCAGATCACCTTGCAGCTTTGGCTCCACTCTCAATTGGTCGAACGCGTCTTGAAAGTGCCGCTGTTGGAGCTCTCTGGGGATGTGGCCATGATGCTGGCCAGGTAATCTTCGGTCTTCTGTTTCTCCTGCTCAAGGATCGGCTCCACATCGAGATCCTCAGAACTTGGGGCACTCGAGTTGTCGGTCTTACCCTACTTGTCATTGGTGGTATGGGGATAAAGGAAGCTTCTGAGGTCCCCGCACCTTGTGTTGCCCTAGAAAATGGAGAGTGTGATGTGAGTGTCTATGAATCCCTGGAAGCCGCACCTGCAGTAGCGCAGAAGAAGAAGATAGGGTTCGCTACCTTTGCTACTGGGATTGTTCATGGATTGCAGCCTGATGCGCTCATGATGGTCTTGCCTGCACTCGCTTTGCCTTCTCGGGTGGCTGGTGCGGCTTTTCTGGTCATGTTCTTGGTGGGAACCGTCGTTGCAATGGGGTGCTATACGGTTTTCATAGGGTCCTGTAGTGAGGCGTTGAAGGATCGGGTGCCTAGGATAACTGAGAAGCTCACGTGGGCATCTTCCTTCATAGCTATCGCTCTTGGTGTCTCCATTCTCGTCAGCCAGTTTTTCGGGTTCAGCTTGTATTGAATTGATTGATACTTCTAAATAGGTATTTGCAAGCTACAGAGCTACAGCTTTAAAGGTAGAGAAGAGATGATTGAATGAGCCATTTCGGTTGCATTATGCTGCTGAGGTCTTGCTTGCACAAGCAATGAAAAAGGAGAAGGCTAGTGTCATAATCCCTCGCCAATCTATCAGTTTTGAGAGCTCTGTTTTGTTTTGTCTCTTCAGTTTAGAGTTTCAGGTCGTAATTCTCGGGCGATTTGTGTTCGACATGTACTGGTAAGGATTTTGATTATTGATTTGCTTGTACTTTGCTCTAATTTTCCAGCAAGAGTTTCGAAGGAGCTATAATGCTATATGATATGAGTAAGGAAGATTAGTTCCATACTTCCATCGGTTATGGCCCGATGTTGCAGAACATTATACATGGGAACTATTTATTTCCAGATGTAAATCATGTGAAATTCAATCTAGTTCTATGGAAAAGGGTTTCCTATATCATCACAGGAGTTTTGAAACTTGGATGTGTGAGGCCTAGAAATTCGGCACGATGGACTTCCTCAACTTCTGAGATCTATAACTAGACACAACCAGCCAGTGTTCTGAAAGGAAACAATGCCACACACGGCAAAAAAAAAAAAACTAAAAACCACACCAAACTCTCAAAACCTGGTCCAGTGGGATTAAACCACATGAACATATCTTGCACCAAGCATCAGATCTTTCCTTCCCACGGCAATGAACAAGACACAAGTTGTGGAAAGACAAGAAGTTAGAGAAACCTGCAAAGTTGCAGTACAGTGACATTGCTGCGCCCACCCCGAATTAGTGTTTTTCCACATAAACATAAGAACGCAGGAACTTTGGCTCATGGAGAAACCTTCCCTTCTTCTTTGCGGAAACCATGGAGAGCATTGTCAAGGGCTCTCTTTCTTGTTGATGTCGTGAAGGACACAAATATCTGCTGCCGTCTTCATCTGAGCAAATTCAAAATTACTCAAATTAATAAAACTTTAAAATCCAGAACTGACGATTCTAAATGTCAAAGAGAAACCATCAGCTTATCATTGGAGTATCATGTGCTACCTGTATCACATTTACAACTTGTTTGATTGCCCATCCGAACAAACTTAAACCAACTAAAATCGAGAAAGGGGAAATCTCTTTCGTCAAGGACAACAGGACCTGAAAGTCAAAATTTGTGAGAAACCACTAGATTCAAAAGGGCATTTTCCCTTCTGTAACTACGATGAAAAAGGAGAGAGGACTTACATCCATCAAATGTTCAGTTGGCTTTTCGGCTAGAAGATATAAGGAAATATAGAGAACCTGTGGCCCAAGGAATTGTACATTCAGAGTAAAAGAAAAAAATCAGTATCTTCATTCCAGGAAGTGACAAACTCTAAAAGGATAACCAGGCAGACTAACCCTTCAACAATTACCTCACACGCAACACAACAGTAAGCCATAAACATACGGTTGCCATAGTAAGCCCTGAATAGCCAGCTGGTGCTGTCTTTCACATCTTTGTGACTAGCTTTACCTAGCAAGAATGTACTGCAAATCCAAGCATTCCAAGGTACAGTAAATGGAAGTTAGTACTTGAAAGAAAAGTTGAATGCAATTATATGCATCCACCTTAATCAAAGTGCAAAGAATCAATCAAACTACCAGTCCTTAACACATCAACTCACCTGTACATCTGCAGCCAGTGGCTACCAATATCCAGGGCAAGCAGTGATACAAAAGTCAAACCAGGCCTGCATGATCAACCCCGAAAGTAAGAATTGTGGTGCCACAACAGTATCGCCAAGCAATTGCTACAACCATGCAAGAGAGAAATACCTGTATACTTGAGAAAGGATTACAAGCAGACAGGCGGTGCTAATCCTGTACAGAAAACACGATACTCAACACTCAGAAGCCGTATTGAAACACACGCAGCTACTCCAATAGCCTAAAAGCCCTACCTGTCTGTTATCATGTCCAGAACTGCTCCAAATGTTGAAACTGAAATAGAAGAACGTATATCAGGAATGACCCTTTACTGAACTGCTGAAACTTAATTTCCTATACCATTTGACAGGCCTACTGAGGTGGTTTTCTGTAGTAATTTGAAGTTCAGCTTCGAAAATTAGTGGAACTACAAGTATTCTGGTTCAATCAATCATCATCCAACATAAAGCAGGAAAAATGAGTTCTTTTCACCTCTATTAGTTACACAATTACACATACTGGAAAAAGTCAGTGAAGAGTGGCAATACCTTGATTGAATTTCCGAGCAGCCCAACCATCAATCCCATCACACACAAAACTGAAACGAAATTCCAATCTTACCGTCAAAACTTTACAAGCAAGCTTTCAAATTGAACACATCACCATCCCTCACCTAATGAAATAAAGGATGCAGAAAAGCTGCTTGTTGGTGAAACATATAGCAAAGGCATAAACATTCATGAGAACCCGCACATAACCTGGTTACCAAAAACAGCACTCACTGTATCAACCAATAGAAGGAAAATGAACTCATACAAAAAAAAAAAAAAAAAAAAAAGTGAGGTCAAAAGAGCAAAAACCCACCAATTATGTTGGGAATATAAAGGTAAACGGACAATTTGGAGGGCTTTTTAGGTCTTGACTTGTTGATTGCCATTTGAGAAAGATTCCTTCACACCCTCGCTCCCAAATCCGCGCAATTAGCAGAACCCAAAGATCCAACCTTTTTTTTTTCTCACCAGCCCTAGAAACCAGAATCGGAACAAATGGGATTGCCAAGAGCTCTACCCAGCTTCTCCCACCAAGATCTTGGCCCGACCCAGGAACTCTGTCGGGTAGATCAGCTGAGTCGGAAACGGCGATCAACTCTTGTCGAACAGGGGAAAAAGGGCGAGTCGTGTTATTTAGCAAGCGGGAAAGTCCTTCGAATAATTCATTCCTTCCTCCTGCCTGCGTGCTTTGAGGTTTTTCAAGATTCCTTCCTTGCTTGCTTCGTCAACCAAAAGAAAAGCTTCGAATTTTTCTATTTTTTTTTTTTTTCACTGTAAGAGGAGTATGCTCTCGAGTCTCGACTGACGGACTGAGTGAAGGAATTATCGCCGTGGCAGTCCCCGCTGCCGCTGCGCTGGCATTTCACTCCGGTACCATCCGCCATCTCACCCGCGATCTTTCGTTTCCGCCAAATGGCCCGTGGGCTGCAGCAGATGTACTCTTGGACCGGGCTGGCCCTGTCAGGCCCATCAGTTTCAAGCCCTAACCGAGTAGGCTTCTTAGGGAGGGCCCAACTTTTATGAAAGAAGGTCAGCTCAGCTCTCAATGTCACTCCTTACTATACGTTATTTATCATAATCGAAAATAAGAAGGATAATTAATAAAATGAATATTATGAAGATAGTTAGAATTAATTATCTTAATATAATATATTTTAATCATGAGAGTAATTATCTTACTAATTAAAAGGTGATTTATTCTAAAAGAAAGAGGAAATATTTTGGGTTTTCTGCTCATATAAATAGCAGACACCTAGACCCTTTTAACGCACCTCAGTAGAGCACAAACACGAGAGAGAGAGAGAGAGAGAGAGAGTTAGTTTATAGAGCTCCGGTTTTCTCATAAACCGCGAGTCAAGAAGTGGTTGTTTTATCCTTGAGGCGGTCGGTTGATAGTCCGTCGTGCGCAACGAAAGCAGTGCCAAGAACATCTTAAAGAGATCGACCTAGTCCGCGACTCAGCCAAATCGATACCCTGTTTTTCATGTTCAAATAAAAATGCAACTCTTTACAAGGTTTTTTTAGTATCGCTTCACCGATTAGAGGTGTGTACGCAACTACCCAGTCTTGGCCATAGCAAATTCACGAGAACCCGCAATCCAACAATGAAAAGACATCTTAAAATCAACGAACAGAACATCTTTGCATGCGGTTCGGTTTGATTAGTCCCAAATGTTAATTCGTTCCATTTTTTCTTCAGTATTTATAAAAAAATCACGAAAACAAAGACCACCCCGTAGTATAGCCTATTCGGTAAGATCCGATACGAAATCAAAACGTTGCACACTCATAAATCAGTGAGTGTGGATTAGAGGAGTAAAAGAAGTCAGTAAGTGTGGATTATGACGTGGCTGCAGTTACCACCGAACGGTCAAAATTCCAAGTCAACTGCAACTGCTCTCTCTCTATATATGCTCTGTATATTTTCCGGAATCGCGTGCCTGCCACCGAACCGTCATTTTCCGATACGAACTGCCACCAAGAAACAGCGACCCGATCAAGAAAAATATTTATTTGTTTTCCTTTTTCTTTCGTCGTTAGAAAAAAAAAGAAAGACAAGAAGTGGGCCCCACAGCACGAGTTAAATGCGACAGAGTAGTGGGTCCCGCCGATGCTGGCAGAATGCAGATACGCTAATGATGGTTGCCGCTGCGGCTTCCCACCACCGAAAATGGAGAAACAGCACTGTACGACCGCAGGCAAGTGCCATAAATAAATAAATAAGGCGGGAAATTAAGGACCACCTTCCCCACTTGGACTTGGGCCTACCCGCAGTACGAGGTCCAGAACACTTTGATCTCCTCCATCCAACCTGCCCTACACCATCCCAGCACAAAAGCCCATTTATTATTCGGTACGCACGACTAAATTGATCCGAACCTGAGACCTTCATAGATGCGATAAATCGACAAACTTTGATTGTGCTATACAAAGTAGGGTTGAATTTTTGGCATTGGACTTACTTGAAACATACCAATGCATAAGACAATTTCTTTCAATTATGGACCATAAAGCCAAACTTTTAGTGTTTGGTATTTTCAGGGAAGTGTTTTTTTTTTTTTTTTTTCAAGAGCCCATTGACAAATGTTAGGCTGTCATTCATAAATGCAACATCAAATTCCTAACAAGAAAGCTATGACATGGTTTGAACTTTGAATGTGGGGAAGACAAGTCACATGAGGATGGTTCTATCATCTATGGGGTTTTTTTTTTTTTTTGTTACAGTTTATGGGCTCAAATCTTTGACACCACAAAGGGCCAATGTCTTTTTCCTTTCTTTTCTTTGTCTTGACCCACCATGTTTGATCTTTCAGCAACCACCATCCATCATTTCTACAAAGTCATTCATGAACCATCTAATAAGGTAACCAATTTTTGCCAAGTAATTATAACATTTGATTCCATTGATCACAATGTGGGAACCAACCACCACTTGGGGGAGTTGAATTCAATCAATGTGATTCAACATACACACAATAATGGACCCAAAAATGGCCACCTTTTCTTCCATCTTCTCTTGTTTGTATCTTTAATTATCTCATTCCTTGTTTCTTGTTTGGGTTAGATAAGTGATGAAAATTCTTACTTAAATGTGAATGCTTATCTCTATCATTGAAATGATAAACAAGAAAGTTCAAAGAAAAGGCAACCCACTTATGGCTTCTTTCATCAGTGAGGGAGTGATGAGAGGAAAGAACTACTCAAAATTGGAAGTGTGTGGTGGGATGTCTCTGTCCTATGGAACATATGGGATGCAAGTTTGTAATCAACTAAACAGATTATTGCTAAGTCTATACTTGAAGGATGTTAGGTAACACCGGTGTGGTTAACTTCAACTACTATTTCAATGCGTACTATCATTCATTAGGGTTTATGGTTAGGTTGTTTCTTATTAGATTTCACTCCCTTTTGAATCATTCAATTCATTAGTCTCAATCTAATAATAACAACATAAAAATATAGCCGACCAAAATAAAAGAAGATTGGTCTAATTATGGAGCGACTTGAGTGGTCGCCACCATTATAGCCAGTACATCCAATCTGATAACAACTGATAACCACTACGTAAGAGCATATGCCCTACTTGAAAAATTGTATCGATATTACAAATAATGTTGGTTCACCTATTTTTTTTTTTGGTTCCATTATAAGGAAATCTCTAACGACTTCAGAAAGTCTACAATGAGAAAATAGATGCAGATTAAAAAAAAATGTATGTAAAAACGGAGAACCACGAAGAACGTCGTCAATAAACTAGACGGACAGAAGATGAATCTGTAAACCTGGTGATGGTAAACTACCAAAAAACTATCAGATTGGTTCTAGTTTCACGGATCTGACCATTGAACATAGACATCATTACCATCTTTCAAACTATGCACTAAAGCAGGCCTAGTTAATAAGGGAAATGGACCAGAAATTGGTTAAAAAGAAACCAACTACTCTTTTCCTCCTCTCTTCAGATTGAATAGGAGAGAAGGGGAAGTGGAAACAGTAAAGAGAAAGGGAAGGGACAGAGTAAAAGTGAGTGATTGAATCTGACATCTGCTTTCTTCAATCCTCGCCCGTCACTCCCAAAATTGGCCACTGCCACTGCACTATTTTGTTGGGCAATAGCCATCGCCCTTGCTGCCACAAAATCCACCCAGATTTTTTCCAGTAAAAAACGAAACAAAGAGTGGGGTTGGCTGGTTAAAAGTGAAAAATTAAAAAGAGATCTCTTTGATGTGACCATGTCCTCTTCCTCCACTGCATGTTTGTCATGCCGGCCGGCGTGACACCGGTTGTACCGGGTTCAACCGGTACAGGTCATAAAACCGGCGTGACATCACCATCGATATACAAATCTCTAAGTAAAATAACCTTATTTTAGTGAATTTAATTGATAAAAATTATTTTATTATTTATTTTATTAGTATAAAAGTTAAATATCAATGTTATTTGTTGGATTCAAGTATGAATGTTTAGGTATTGACGTTAAATGTCATGTTTAAATATGAGTACTTACAATTTTATTTGTAATATTGACCGGCATGAACCGGCACAAATTGGTATGTGCCACCGGTTGAATCATTCCACTTGCTAAATCAGCACACTGGCATAAACCGGTTTGACAACCTTGCTCCACTGTAAAAAAAATAAAGAGTTTACTGTGCTCCTGTCCACTTTCATTGATACTGATAACATTTCTGCCCGTCTGTCTGTCTGTCACCATCTTGTTGTACAATGACCACAATCCTATTCTAATCAAAGTTTACCCCAATCTACCCAAATGGGGTTAAAAAAACCCTCCTAAACTGGCAAACATATTTACCAAACTGACAAAACAAATGAAATGAATTGGGTCACCTCCCTTTTTTTCTTTTTACCGCGGTAAAAAAAAGGTGAAAAAAACCAAACTTTCCTCTCCCTAGAGACCATCAATCAATCCATCATCCCATTAAAGCCTCAATCGTAGCCTTCTTCGGCGCTTGGCAAAGCGGGCAGCGATCAAGAAAAGCGTCACATCCGTTGCATGAGCAAAGGTGCTTACACGGGAGGAACAAAACGCACGCTCCCCGAGCCTCGCAGCTTTTGCACAACGCGACGCCGTTTCCGTTTCCGTTTCCGCCGCTCTTCCTCCTCCGCGTCGCATTTCCCCCTTCCTCGTCGTCGTAGCAGCACGATCCGGCGTCGCCGGCAGCCGCTCCGCCACCAGACCCGCCGTCGTTAACATTGTTGTTCGGCATCATTAGCGACGGATTCTCCCTCGCTTGCGCGAGAGTGTGGCTGAGCGAAACCGCGATCGCCTCGCTCTCTCTCGCCGTCCTCTGCCACGCTTGATTCTCCATCTCCAGTTTCCCCAGAAACGTTTCGAGATCCGCCGACCGTTTCGCCGCGCGCGCGATTTCCTCGTCCTTTTCCCGCAGGAGAGCCGCGGCTCTGGATTCGATTGTTTTCAGGAGCAGGGATAGCTGCTGGTTTCTCTGTTCTTGCAGCATCTGTCTCAGCCTCTCGTTCTGGATTTGAAAGAAGAATTAAAATCAGGCAATGGGGAGAGGGGAAAGAAAAAAATTGGAATCCGGGGGGAAAAAAAAGAAGAAAATTGGGGGGTTTTTTTGGATTTACCTGTGCTCTGATGTATTGGTCGATTTCTTGCCTCTGCTTCTGCTCATAAGCAGCCATGGAATTAAGACCCGGATTCACCCTACTGCCGTGCGTCGTGGAGGGAATAATCGGGAATCCGGCTGAGGAAGGAGCAGGCTTTTCTTCCTCAATCTTGGAAACGAAGAAGCCATTGTTGTTATTATTAATAAGATTTCCTCCATTGCTCTGTTGCTGCTGCTGCTGCTGCTGCTGAATGTTGCTGTTGTAGAATTGCTGTTGCTTCTGCTCGAGATTGTTGATCGAGAAGCAAGAATTGTTGTTAACGAGACCTCCACCGGCAATGAATCCGTTCTCCACCGCCGGCCATTCCTGGGAGCCGTAGAACTGCGCTTGTATCGCCATTGCCGGAAAACAGAGAGAAGAAAAACAGAGCACCCCCCAAGAATCAATACGAACCCTTTTTTCTTCTCTGTTTTTGTCACCCGTTTGAAGCCGTTGGAGCGAAACCCGCTTCTTTTTTTTTTTTTTTTTACCTCAAAACAAGGAAACCGACGGAAATCTCAACTGGGCCGGTCTCAAAAATCCAGTCTTGAACCGAAAATCAGTAGCCTTTGGGGAAAATATCAGAGTTGTTGATGATCGGAGACAGAGTAAGAGAGGGGAGGTGGGAGAAGTGATGGAGGGGAAACAAATTTCGTATTTATATTTGTGTATTGTGTATGGGAAGAGTCAAGAAGAGAGAAATTTATGGATTTGGTTTTCAAGAAAGTAAAGTAAATAAAATGGCACGATTAGCTTTTTTTTAGAGAGAGAGAGAGAGAGAGCTGTACTTACTTACTTTCTCTGCAGATCTCACCTGCAAAAATTGGAGAAAATAAAATAAATATATGAAAATTCTGGTCTTGGTTTGTTTTCTTCAAGGATTCTAGAGTTTAGGAGTTATTATTGTTGTTGGATTCGAAGCAAAAAAAAAAAAAAACAGGGGAAGAAGAAGAAAGAAAAAGGAGAGGGAGACGCGGTAAAGCAAAGGGCAAAGTGACGTAAACATGCATATTTTGTGACTAAACTATCCATTCCCACCGGTCAGACCAGATATCCGAGGACCCTGTTTGTTTGCTTGCTTATTTTGGTTTCTTTCCAAGGAAAATTAACGATTCTAGAATAATTACATTTTCAGTCCTTGTGCTCTGTTGCTTTTGTCATTGTAGTACTATATGAATTTTAAACAGAAAAAATAACCTCGAAATGATGTACAGACTACAGTGAACAGTCTAGAACATGGATTTACTAAGGGAGTCAGATTGATAGATGTTAAATTATAAGGATGATTTTGTGAAAATGTCATAGTAGGGGGTCAGAGATTTGTGTCAGTTGGGTCATTTGGGAAGCCTGAAGAATAGGCTATCTACCCACTATTTTTAATTGAGGGCTCTTCTTCTTCTTCTGGTCTTCTTCTTCTACGTTTCCTTGGCAACATAAATATGATTTCTTCTGCCACATCTTTACTTAACCCGATGGCTTCGTTCATGGATCTCGATTTTTTTCCTTTCTTTTCTAGGGTTCATAATTGTTGGTCGTGCATGGGATGGGAAATAGGATAAGTTATTAGAAAAAGAAGAAAAAAAAGGGAACAGTGGTTGATATTAGATCACTAGCAAATTCGTCATTGAAATTTGAATATCTTACAAGCTTATCGCCAAAGTCGCGGAAATAACTAATTTGACAATCACTTCAACCATTTCCGTAAGATTTTTCCGTCTAAATCGTCGATATATATATGTGAAAATGAATTATCGTAGAAACGCCTTGTCACATAGATTCAATAAGATGATACAAGTTAACAACTCGTTTCAATTTGTACACCATCTAGATTATATTTGCCCAAAGTACTTCAATCCGTGTTACATGAAATCGTGATAAGCTTTAGTTAGTTTAGTTAGGTGATTGATATATTTTGAGGGGGGGGGGGGGGGATTAGAACTCCTTATTGAAATGAATATTGTAGCGCGACTATTGTCTTGCCTAGTGATAGAAAGATACGATAACATTCATCATACACTTCGATAACAAATTTGTTAAGATTGAGGGACCTTTTATTAATGATATCAAAGTTAAGTAGTTGACACAATTTTCTTGTCGTTATATATGTACAGTTTAAATATAGTTCACTCAAAGGGGAGAAGATCAATTACGGCAGTTTTTTTTATGCCAGCAGAGCCTTGAAAACTTAAAGTTAACTAATAATAATATGGGTATGAAATTTTAACAAAGATTTGGACACCATATTTGTCAAAATTCAAGTACCATAATAATAGAAGAAAATAATTAGATAAATAGTCCAAACCTATTTCTGTTCACGTTGTTATCCTGAATCGTGTCGCTGTGATTAGAAAGCTAGAATGTCGACTATTTGTGTACAAAGTACAATGAATTCCTTAATTAGCAAGTACAAAGGAAATAAAGCTATTTCTTAAGGAATGTCGACGTGCTTACAGTTGTATTTTTCTCCAATTTATATTATTTAGCTTCTATTTGTCATCGTTAGGAGGGAAACTTCGAAATTAATTAAATACTCTGTTAGTTCTCCCAATAAATTTAAAATTGATCCATACGCTTAAAAGCGATTAGCTAGCTGGTATAATTATATTTTGATCCGCTATCCACCTACATTTTTTTTCAGTGTGGGCTAGGTAGGTTGCAGATAGGTGCGGTTGGATTGTGGGTTGACCGACAAAAGCAATTTTTCAACTAACCATTAAGAAAGTGCACTAACATTTAAAATAAGTTTATCACCAATATGTAAGACTATACTAATTCAGACAATTCTCACTTTGTCTCCTCTGGATCCGTGTAGTATTTGCATCCAATTTTTCATTATTCCATATAACAATTGTATATATAAAACTTACGCATTTTATGACTTTGGTACAATTAATAGTTTATAATCTTGCATCTCCATATCTGATCAACATTACCAAACATAGTAGTCGATAATAGTAGTCCATATATATCCTTTACTCTCCACCTTTAAAAGTCGATGGTCAGTGTCTAGCGTGAGTGCGTGACTAGAAAATATGGTGCAGGTAGTAGATTTATGAATTTGCAATACACTCACATAAGTCGTCCACCCACTGCGCGATTCGAGTTATTTATGGGAGGATCTGTTTATCCATAAAAAATTAGTTTGTACCACATCGATTAACTGCAAGAGACTTAATGGATTTATAAGGCCAACTCAACATTAATAATTAAAAGTGCTAGCTGGGCCTTGTTAGGTTGGGTTTTTGGGACTAAGTGGCCAAACCCCTTCTGCCCTATACGATGGCCGACCCGTCTCCTTGGCCCCCATAGCTGGACGTTGCCTCCACCCCTTGGTATGAAATTTGGCTGCCAAAAACTAAGTATGGAAAACAAGGCAACACAACGCGGGCCAAACGATCGGGTACCAAGCCTGGTACCAAATAAGGGGGCCAAACAAGAGGGTATCAAGCCGACAAGGCATGCCTGATACCCAAGTAAGAAATTTGGCTAAGTATGGAAAACAAGGCGACACAACGGGAGGCCATCCAAAAACTAAATCTGGAAACAAGGTGACACAACGGGGTGCCAAACAACTGGGTACCAAGCCGGATACCAAATAAGAGGCCATCCAAAACTAAATCTGGAAACAAGGGGACACAACGGGGTGCCAAACGACTGGGTACCAATCCGAGTACCGAATGAGGGTGGCATATATACGACAGGGTGTCATTCCATTCATAGCAATAGGAGGCAATCAGACAAGGCAGACACCAAAATACATGAAATTTGGCTAAGTATGGAGCCAAAGGGGGTACAGCCGACAAGACAGACTTGGTAGCCAAGCAAGGGGACAAGGTGCAAAGCTGAGCCCTTATGGGGCCATATAGAGACCAAGCCACCAGGGCTGGATTGGTAGCAAGGGGTGTCAAGTTGATTACATGGGCTTGGTGGCATGCCAGATGGTATCAAGCCGATGAGACGGCTTGGGAACATCCAATAAGTTAATGAAAGAGAACTTGGTGTCATGAGGTGGTAGCGGTCTCAAGAGCGGGGATTCATCAAGCAGTTTAGGGTGAGATCAAGACCTCATCATGGTTCATGGAGGCTAAGGCAAGAGCCTCAACCCCATCCAGTTATGACAGAGCGATAAGGCTCAACACCAACCCGACCAGACATCGAGGCCATCAAGTACCCACCAACCCCAAGACGAGACAAGGGCCCCCAAGGCGACGGTTACCAACTAGTCACCAAGGCGGCGACAAGGGCCCCGAGGCGGTTTGGAGCAAGAGGTCAGCTAGCAGTTACCAAGGCAGTTACGCCGAGTGGCTATAAATAGAAGAAACGAAGAAGAAGCAAGGGTTCCACAACCAACCATTTGACGCATAATGTCAAACTTTTATATTTTCTCTGCAAATTAGTCATAGCCTTAGTTTTCGGAGCTCTCACTGAATCTCCATAGGAGTAGGTGTAATTAACTTAGTTTGTTCCCAAAAAAACCATAAAAAACATCGAACACCCTCGTTCGAACATTGTTCGGAAAGGAGTGAACCGTGTAATTATCGTTGTTCAAGAAGTCAAATGTGCATTCATTGTGTTCAAACACCAGTTTTCCTCGCCGAAAAATAGGATTGATGTCAACCCACGGATTAAACACCCACGTACCCACCTTAATGATTATGGTGTCGCTTCATAAGTAAAATAATCCATATCATCAGGTGTACACATCTAGCTAATAATTATAACTCGAACACAAAAACAAATTGGTGCTCCCTTCGAGTAAAGTTTCTGTTTAGTTCGACGTCGGCTAAGGACCAATTTTGCTTGCGCATTATTATTAGTCCATGTGGAAAAGGAGTTTCCTTCGTGCCATGACTTTCTACGTACATTATTGATAAACTTTGAAATGGGTTGGAGTGATGATGCAACGTTTAGGTTTATGGATTGAAATCAAAACTTGCATGCGGGTCTATGGGGCAACAGTACTAAGTTGTCAACAACAATAATTAAGCTCCCTTCCTTTTCAACTCGCTGTCTCCATCATATTTTCTATTCGATTGGAACTCGTAATCACGAATTGATAAACATTATTGATATTTTAATTAGGTTGTTAAGTTGTTGATAATTGTGTGTGCTTACGCGTGGTTTTTGGTGTAATTAATTAAATATTTTTATGAAAAATATATTATTTATATGCTAATTATCAAATATATTGAGTAAAATAACGACCATTTGTATTTAGTCAAAACCAATTTTGATATCTTTTCATAAACGAACAAGTAATTATGCAAATAGTAACTTATACTTCTATTTATTTATTGCCGGTTCGGATCGCATTGGTCCACATAGGTAAATAGATCCCAATTATTATGCACACTGCTGCATTTCGCATTGAATTATTGCACTGCGATCGGCTGAATGCATGCACACAAAGTGAAGAATTCAGATTTCAGACATAGCCCAGCTGCTACTATCTTTTGCTGTGGTCACCCAGGAACCCTGCAAAATCTAACAGGCACAACAACTAGGGAAACTAAACAACCACTGACTAGGTCGCAAAGATGAAAGGGTAAAAACTTTCTTATATTCTTTTAATAACTCGAATTGTTGAGATAACTGAATTCCTTATAAAATATTAAAATCTTTGATTAATAATAAGGTTTATGTTTGAATCCTCACGATAATCCAACATTAATTGACGGTTATTTTAGCACATTGAATAAGTTGTGTGAATGTGAAACTCAGTGAGGCGATTTTCATGTGAAAGTGTCTGTAATTGTATAAGGTTGATTCTTATTACACTTGTACCAACGATTGAATTTGGAGGGGGTTGGTTTCCAATTGAATGGATCCGAAATCACGGAAATCTTGTCCATCATGTTTCATCTTTCATGTCGACCACTTCATTTATTCATTAATTGTGGCTGCCTAATTTACGTAAAAGCTTAGCTATTTGTAGGGCTTAATAGGCGGTTTATTCTACAAACCCACCAAGGCACCAACACAAAAGTGTCGTTTTTTTTCCCTCCCTCTCGCGTTTCTTTCGTTGACACCCCCATCTAGCTTGCTAGCTTAGCTGGTTTAATAAGCTACGTAGAAGTGGCTTTGCTTACTCTCTTGTGAATTGACATAAGATATGTCTAGCCACTTAAACCAAGTGGGTGACACATACCCAATACTGGTATGAGGGTCCATAAGGCTAGGGTGAGGACGTGATTCTTTTAGGATTATTTGGAAACAAAAAAAAGTGACCACACCCGATTATTCTATATAATCTATACAAAACCCTAATTCTACCCTCCCTCCAACCAAACCCGCAACAGCCGCCTCCATCGCTCCGTCGCACTAATCCTGTCGGCCGCCTACACCAGCACCTCCCCTCGGCCACCCCCGACGACCACCCTCGACGACAACGAGCCTAAAGTCGGCCACCCTTCCCTCGGCCGCCCTTCCGCCGCCGTACTCGAATATCTCATCCTCCCTCACCCCTCTTATTCTCATCTCCTTAGTCCCTCCTCCTCCTGCCTCCCCAATTTGTTTATTCAGATTCCTCCTTCTCCATACCGGCAACATTGATTTTAGCTCCTCCGACATTCGCGTTCGTTTCCCACCGCAATCAATGTTGATTACAGCTTTGCTTCTGCAGGTAATCTAGAATGGTAGTGTTTGCATTGGTAGAGGATTTGCTTTAGTAGCTACCTTGTATTTTATTTTGGTATTGTTTGCATTATGCTTTGGTAGTGTTTGCATTATGCTTTGGTGGTTACCTGCATCTTCTTTGGTAGTGTGTGCATTACGCTTTGGTAGTTACCTGCATTTGTGTTGGTTAGATGGAGCATTATGCTTTGGTATATGCATTTGGTTTGGTAGTGTTTGCATTATGCTTTGGTAGTTACATGTATTTGTTTCGGTAGTGTTTGTATTTATTTATTTATGCAATGGTATTATTTTGATTTCACAGTAGTAGTGATATTTGTTGTTTTGGTATTTGTTTGACTTTTGTAATGGTATAGATTGTTTATATTGGTAGTTTTCGTGTAATGGTATAGATTTATTTCTGCAATGGTATTGATGTTTTTCAAAATGGTATTGGTTGTCTAATGGATTGGTAGTGATTTCGTGTTTTTTCTTTTGCAGAAAGATTGAGAAAAATATGGAAGGAAACATGGCTGGAGATTACGGAAGTGAGAGAAAGAGAAAGAATTGTAAATAATAGATTTTTGTAACTACATAAAATATAATTTATTAAAATTAATTAATTAATATAATCTATTTTTTCATACCCAATTTACCCTTAGTAATCACCGTAACCGCTCCCAAATTTTTTGACATGATTATTTGTGCGATCGGATCTGATCCAACCATTTTGGGGGCGGGTTCGGCTCGAGTCGCAGTAGCGTGGGTCGGCAGATGAGTATTGCTTTTTACCTGTGTCCGGCCTCGTTCTGCTCGTTCTCGACCGTGTTTTATCATGATCTTACCTGTATTTATTGACCTTTTCAAACTCATATTTTCAACCCAAAGAAATTCAACTATATAGACTCAATTATTCATTCGGCAATACTCAGCATTCATTTACGAAGTGTTTTCTATGTATCTTATTTTAAAATAGTTAAATATCAACATACATTTTACAAATAACATATAAAAATGGGTTTACCCACCCCACGAAATACCCGCGCATACATTACCCGATACAAACCACATTCGACATACGATTTATAACATGTGCTGGCCACCTAACCCTAATTGGGTGGGGACCCGGCACCACATATGCGTCCAATGTCCATGCATGCCATTGCCATCGTCTAGCTTTCACTTTCGGCAGCAAACATTTCATGGCTGACCTAATTGGCAATGGCAGCCGCATCGTGCAGGCCGGCCGGCCACGGCCATTGATATTTGCTCATTGGGGCCTGCGGCTGATCTCTGCTTGTCTAACTTCTCAACTACTTCATCATCACTTTCTCCTTCTCGATATATATCATCCCGTCGTCTTTGTTTCTTCTTTGAAAACCAAGAAAAGTGCATTAGAGTGGTGGTGCTTTTGGATCTATACATACATACAACATGCAATTTCTTTATTATGGGTCGAGCCAGCTAACTAGGGCACTAGGAATTACAATGGGTTGATTCATATATAGTGTCATTTTATCCAATTACATTGTCATTTTAATAGTTTTGTTTTGAATTGTGTGTTTGAATTGGGTAAGCTCATTTGAGTCAGACTCGGATTCTAACGAGTATATTGAAATACAGATGATTGTACACACAAAAGACAAGATCGTTCATCTAATTGAGTACTGTCTTCAACCCCAATTACACTTTTAGTGTTGGCCTTTTCACATTTTTCTGTGTGTTTCATAGGAAAATAATGAAACTAAAAAGTTTAGATATGAATCTACGAAAAACAAGGGGTGACCCAAACCAAGTCCACACATAGAGAATGTGACGTCGGACAATTGTATGAAAACGAGTAGTACAAAAGATGATGAATGGAATTAATGGAAAAGGAAAAGAAGAAAGTTGTTTCAATTCGTCTTCATGGAAACCATGTTTTGGAGGTATGTACCGATGAACTTTAATTATTCGGATCGGAAGCCGACTTGATTGAGACTTAAAAGAGAAGATAGCAGGTAGCTAAGGAAGGGAACAATACGATAGTAGGCAAGAACAAGATGCTGATAATAGAGCTGACAACGATAGCACTTATACTAAACTATAAAGCATTGGTGTTTTAATGTATATTTAAAGTTGTATCATAACGTTAAATGTACAAGTTCACGTTGTATCATAAAAGAATTTGTACCATTATATTATGGTACAACTTCACGACTTGAAGTTGTACCATCAAATAATAGGTACAAGTTCAAATTGTACCATAAAAGAATTTGGACAAAAAGTATATCTGCAATTTGAAGTTGTACCATAACATTAAAAGTATAATTTCAAATTGTACAATAAATATAAAAACCTATAACACCAATGTTATATAGCATTGTAAAATTTCTCAATGATAATTTTTGTTAGTTGCAGGGTCTCCGTTCAATTTCCTATTTTCTTCCTCAATTTATGACCTTGAAGGAAGGGTTGCCCTCCCTACGTACAAAAGTCTGCAGGGTATAGCTAGAGATGGAGAAAGGGACCAACGCCAAAGTTTATTTTATCAGTTACGTTAATACGTTACATAGATTGAACACTGTTGACTGTTTTATTGTGTACATAATCATACATGAAATAAACAGTAGACGAAATGGGGTCCAGCTTGGCTGCTGTCAGAGCAGAAGCGTGCAATCGATAATCCAGAGCAACACAAACGAACACGAATTTAATGTGGTTCACTAACACAATGTGTGCTAGCTAATCCACGGGCAGAGGAGAACAAATTTCACTAATTTGAGGAGAGTACAGGTTACAAACCAAATTCCAAACGGACAAATCAGACAAACTAACCTGACTGACCTTACTACAGACTAAGGTGATGAAGAGTATTTATAGAACTCTTCTCCTAATCCCAAACAGAAAACCAAATACCTTTTCCCAAATATACAAGGAAAAGGCGAAAACAAAGCCCAAACATATACCCAAACAAATAGGCCCAAAACACAAAACAAATCCAAATCAAATTCAAGTCATATCCTAACAGCTGCCATGGCCAGCTACTGGTCGTCGGACCAGCTAGCAGTCTAGCACCATATATATACAGTACGACTGTGGCGGTGGTCCACCGGCTGCAACCTCTGACTCGATCGGATCGCACCATGACCAACGCCAGGGCCCAATTTCATCTTGAGGCCCATCAGGCAAAAGAGAGAACAAAGGGCTTACAATCTATATTCTATAGTGTTTGCTTTGTGATAGACTCATAGTGATGGCAATACTTAGGGATAATAATTTTTTAACCCGCCCTGCCGAGTATTATTCGTCCGAACTCGAGATGGGACGGGTATTACCCGATTCGTCGTAGCGTGAGGCGGCACATGGGTATCAACTTTCGTTCCACCCGATCTCGCCCTGTCCCGTTCTTAGTCCGGTCAATTTCTTACGCCATCCATTCATATATCTTCTATTTTTGTTTTTCTTCAATTAGCTAGACTTGATTTTTCAACTAGGTAGACTCAATTATCCATTGTATTATCACTATTATTCATTTATGAACTCTTTTCCCCTTCATTTTATCTAAAAAGTAAAATTTTGCGTGTATTTTTTTCAAATAGTATTTAAGAGTGGGTTGACTCGACCCACCCCGTATCCGCAGGTGTAATTCCCGCACGACCTATAGTAGCGTGGGACAGGGCATGCGTAATGAGATACCCGCCGTGCCCCGCTCTATCCATTGCCATCACTAAAGTGAGTATCCACAAATACCTATACTCAGCTTTACATCAAGAGCGAGTCTAATCGAATAATATATTTTTGGCTACGGGTCGTGACAGTTCAACCCATCATATCCTATTTGAAAGAAAATATTTATTTTTTTAACTATAAAACAAATGAAAATAGTTCACAAATAAAAATAGAGATAAATGGATAATAGATTGATTACCTTAGTCAATTAGTTGAAAGATGAATTCTTACACTAATTTAGGATGAAACTATGAGTTAAAAAGTTAAAACAAGAGAAATAGAGAGAGACTTTGAGACTAAAGAAGATAGAACAGGGCGCACAAAGCAAAAGTAGTACCATACTCCACCACGCGGTATTGCAGATAAGGTATTACATGCCCCAACGCGAAACGAGTTCAAATTGTCATTACTTGTTTGTGCGCCTCAACACTACCAGAATGCCATGTTGGAGGTTCTGAACTGAAGCCGGAGTCCTTTTCCTCTGCGGATTAGGATTGTTTGAAGATACAGATCGCCTTAGTTGATGCGGTGTCGTTTCCAAGAAAGAGTCTGTTTAATAAAGGCAAAATCTTGTCTCTGACTAAGTGTTCATTTGGTCCCTATTATTTAAGTTTGGTCAGTAGAGTCTAGATAGGTTGTTTGTCTGTTAAGAGTTTCTTGTGATCATGTAGGTAATGCAAGCTGATTAGTAGGGCTTGCTGTTAGTAGTTGGAAGCATTGAGCCGAACTTTGTGGCTCGAATGCTGAGTATTTAATCTTTGTTTTATCATCATTAATAAATGTCAGTTTGCAATATAGTAGTGTTCTTCATTGTGGTATCAGAGCACTGTTAGCAGACTGTAACCAAGAGAGAAAACAACATTGAGTGAAAGCATTTGTGATATGGGATTAGGGAAACACAAGGGTTTTTACGTGTGAGGAAAGTTAAACTAGGGTGAGTGAAAAGAGACATCATGGGAGAGAATGGAAGCAGTGCTCAGGTTTGTATCCCAAAATTCGATGGAGATTATGAGCACTGGACCTTGTTAATGGAAAACCTGCTCAAGTCAAAGGAATACTGGACTGTGATTAGTCCTGGCTTCCGGGATCCTGCAGCAGGAGAGGAACTCACAGCAGCTCAAACAAAGAGTCTGGAGGAGTTGTGGCTGAAAGATCTAAAGGCCAAGAATTACCTCTTCAGCAGCATAGACAGAATACTGTTGAAGACCATTGCCAAGAAGGGAACATCAAATGAACTATGGGATTCTATGAGAGAGAAGTTTCAAGGTAGTGCAAGGGTCCAGAAAGCTCAGTTACAGGTACTCAGAAGAAACTTTGAATTGCTTGAGATGAAGGAAGGTGAATATGTTTCTGAATACTTTGCTAGAGTCATGGTAGTTGCTAACAACATGAGGAACTGTGGTGAAGACATGCCAAATGATAAAGTAGTTGAGAAAATTCTGAGAACCTTTACTGATAAATTCAATTATGAAGTTTGTTCCATAGAGGAGTCTAAGGACATAGAAACCTTGACTGTTGATGCACTTCAAAGTTCTCTTTTAGTGCATGAACAAAAGTTCAACAGGAAATCTGTTAGAGTTGTGGCTGGAGAGGAGCAGGCTTTAAGGGTCTCTCATGAGTATGGAAGAGGTGGTAGAGGTTCAGGAAGGGGATTCTATCAGGACAGAGGTAGAGGACGAAGAGGCAGAGGTTGAAACAAAGATCTGTTGAATCCTTCAGATGTCATAAGCTGGGGCACTTTCAGTATGACTGCCCTGAGTGGTACCCAAATCAGCAGGCTCATTATGCAGCTTCTGGTAATGTGCATGACAGAAGTTTTGGGGACATGAATGAGGATATGCTATTAATGACTTGTGTTGAATCTGAAGACTCTAATGAGTGGGAATATGAAGCACGAGGTCTGATGGCTAATCTTGATCGTGTCAAAGAGAATGCCAGTGTTGACTGGTGGTTCTGGTTGCAACAACCATATGAGTGGTGACAAGAAGTGGTTCACCAGTATTGACACCAAATTTGCTTGCAAAGTGAAACTGGGAAACAATTGTAAACTGGAAGTTGTTGGAAAAGGGGAAGTTAAGATGATGGTGAATCAAAGAAGCATAGTCATACAAGAAGTTTTTTATGTTCCAGGTCTCAAGACCAATCTGCTGAGTCTGGGGCAATAGAAAGAGAGGGGTTTAACTTTTGTTATCAATGAAGGAAACTGTAGAATCTTTCATCAGGAGAAAGGGCTGATCTTGCAGACTAATATGAGGACTAACAGGATGTTTTGCTTCATGCTGAGCACAAACCTGCACATCAACAGTCTCAGTGCCTCAAAACTGATGTTGTCATAGATCCTACCCTAACACTATGGCATCGCATGTTTGGATACTTGGGAATGGCAAATTTGCAGCTTCTCCAAACAAAGCAGCTTGTGAGAGATCTGCCAACACTGAAGGGAGGACTTGGAATCTGTGAGACCTGCATGATTGGCAAGCAACACCGGACTTCATTTCCCAAGAAGTCAACAGAAAGCAACCAAAGCATTGCAATTGGTACATGCAGACCTCTGTGGACCCATCACTCCAGTATCCAATGGGGGAAGAAGGTATATTCTTACTCTGATTGATGACTTCAGCAGGAAAATGTGGGTATTCTTCATGTTAGCAAAATCAGATACTTTAAACTGCTTCAAGAAGTACAAACTGCAAGTTGAAAAAGAAATGGAAATGGAAATCAAGTGTCTGAGAATAGATAGGGGAGGTGAGTTCATGCTGAATG